ACACAAACCCTAAACCCTAAACCCTAAACCCTAAACCCTAAACCCTAAATCCTATACTGCCGAACAGCCGAAGCACAGAACTCAGGAAGAAGATGATCAGCTCCAGGGTCGAGAAGGCGTCGTTCTCGGGAAGGTCGGATCTCCGGGTTGAGGCGGCCTCGCCCGGGTTTAGGGTTTAGGGTTTAGGGTTTAGGGTTTAGGGTTTAGGGTTTAGGGTTTAGGGTTTAGGGTTTAGGGTTTAGGGTTTAGGGTTTAGGGTTCAGGTCTTACTGTTTAGGGTTGAGGGCTCAGGGATGTTGAGCCTGTAGGGTTTGGGGTTTAGGGTCTGGGCTTTAGGGCTAGGGAGTGTGCCGGGGATGCTCCTTGCATGTGGGGTTAAGGCTTTTCTCCTGAGAGACACCCTAGCCCTTAAACCCTACCTTAAACCCGACCCCAAACCTTTGGGTTTTGGGTTTAGGGTTAAAGGGTTAAGGGGTTGGGGGATAGGGTTTAAGGGCTCAGGGCTTTCAATGCTAGGACGTGCCCCAAACCCTAGACCCTAAACCCTCGCAGGCCTCTCTTAACTTGCCAAACATCAGCAGGAGGCGGAGGGCAGAGGCGTCCGCTGCGCCATCTTTGGCTCCGCCCCTCCTTTGCTGTTTTCTTTGGGGAAGGAACCTCCCTAAACCCTAGATCATAAAGTCCCTAAACCCTAGTTCCTAAACCCTAAACCCTAAACCCTAAACCCCAAACCCCAAACCCCAAACCCCAAACCCTAAACCTTTTCATCCCGCCCCTAAGAAAGAACTCAAGCCGTGCTAGGGACTAAAGCGCTCCCCAAGTTGCTCTAACCCTAAACCCTAAACCCTAAACCCTAAACCCTAAACCCTAAACCCTAAACCCTAAACCCTAAACCCTAAACCCTAAAGCGCTCCCAAGTTGCTCCAGCGCGGTGACGGGCGGCAAGGCCAGACCCGGCATGGCCACCGGGCTCTCGTCCTCCGCTTCAGGTTTCGAGGGTTTAGGGTTGAGGGTTTAGGGTTTAGGGTTTAGGGTATAGGGTTTAGGGTTTCTAAGCGTTTCGGGTTTGGGGTTTGGGGTTTAGGGTTTAGGGTTTAGGGTTTAGGGTCTTTCTTTAGGGTTGACCTTCCAACCCCAAACCCCACCCCAGACGGGCTAATTTGAGGTGCTGATTGTATAGGGGGTTTAGTCAAGAAGAAAACCTCCCCTGATAAACAAAGGGCACTTGAACCACGAGATTGGCTCCGAGTCGTTGTTATTGTGCTTTTCTTGCGGGTTTAGGGTTTAGGGTTTTAGGGCTTAGGGCACTGGAAAGCTTAGGGCTTAGGGTTTAGGGTTTAGGGTTTAAACACCTAACGTCCTAGACACCTCTAAGCCCCTAGACACGTACAATCCACAAACGCCCCCGAAAACCTGCGCGCGACACCCTCAACCCTCCTAAACCCCCCATTTAATTCGACCCCCATAACACCCCTAAACCCGAGCGTTCAGGGCTTACGGGCAGTTTGTGATGGCGTCGGGTTTGGGGCTTGGGGTTGAGGGTTTGGGGTTTAGGGTTCGACGAAACCCTGAAAGCAACCCTTGTGGAGGGCGCCCGGAGTCTCTTAAACTTCCTGGGGCTGAGGGATGATGGGGGTGTCGGGTTGAAAAAACTTTTCTTGTAGGCTCTGCAAGGGAGGGGGGATTCAAGGCAGGGTATGTAATTCAAGGTGACCACTACTCCCTAAGGCTCTCTTCTGGTTCCCTAGGTACCTACCCTAAACCCTAAACCCTAAAGCCTGAACCCAAAATACCCCCAATGGAACCTCTTCCCTTAAGAACGCTAAACTCTCCCCAGTCCTCAAGGTCTTCATTCCGAAGCTTCTTGGCCAGGGACACCTGAGTTTGGGGTTCTCAGGTTCAGGGTTTAGGGCGTAGGGTTTAGGGTTTTTGGGTTGGGGGGGCCGTTTGGTTAGGGTTTAGGAGGGGGGGGAGGGGAAGGGTTGCAAGACTAATTCATTTTGATAGATTTCTGGGAAGACATTGGAGCCTGACCAAAAGTCCAGATAGCAAGCCCGAAAACCCTGAGCCGTGGACTCTAAACCCTACACAATTAAAGGGATCTTCTAACCTAAACCCTAAACCCGAAACCCTAAACCCTAAACCCTAAACCCCCAAAGCCCCCAAAACACCCAAGCCTCTCACACTTGGTCAAGGGACTCAAGGGGGGACCCTTACAAGGGACCTTGGGGGTTGTTTGGGGTTGAGGGTTTAGGGTTTGAGGACGTAGGTATATGCGGACTACATAAGGTATAGAAAGGAGTTCTTGGGGGGAATAAGATTAGGGGTCCTTTCTAGGGGTCCTTCCTTTTGCCTCACCCCCTGAGGCTCTGAAACCTTCGCACACCCCCAAACAATGAAACCCCGACACCTAAGGATTAAACCGTCCAGCTGGCTATCGCTCGCTTCTGCTTCGCCAGCTCTTTCTTGAGCCCTCGCGAAGCACGACTGGGCGAAATCGAAGTGGGCATGGATGAGTCGGTGGCCATCTTACCCACCTGAGCAGGACTGCGCGCGTGTGCACGTGTGCTTGAAGACATGTTCTAGGACACGGCGCCTGTAAGAGGCCGTGCGTTTCAGCACATCTTATGGGCTTTCAGTCTCCTTGGGGGTGGGGGGGCGGGGTAATTACGTTCCTTGAACTTTAAGCCTGAGGAAGAGGAGGCTTCCAGGTTCTACACTGGGCACCAAAGCTTTTTCAGGCCCAAGAGCAAAGCAAAGTGCCAGGTCCAAAACAAGCTTGAAAAGTTGAGATCCGTCGCTCAATGCAGCTATACGACTGAAGCAAAAAATATCTGGAACTGAAGCAAAAAAATTTGGAAGCAAAAAACTGTTTGCTTCAGTCGTCATGCTCGACAGGTTTGGCATTGCACAGTACAGTAGTGCTTTGTCATTTCTCGTTCTTTGCAGCCATTTCGGCAGTCTATCCCCGTAGAGCTCCATGAACGAAAGCTTGGAATCATTGTGACTGCTTGAAGATTAGAGCTGCATCCGCTTGCTGTGGTTTGAGCTTCTTCATTACAGTTGAGTTTAGCAAGCTGGTGCGAGTCCAGGCAGGGTAGAGGTGGCTTCTTCAGCTTTCAGCTTAGTCGGGTTCGAGCTGCAAGTCAGGATTGCTTTGGCCTTCGCACGGGGCCTGGACCCTCCTCCCTCACAAGCACCGAGCACTGCATGCTAAATCCAAAACCCTTCCCAAAACCGCCAGATTGCAAATGGCTCGTCAACGAGGTGCCCCACATCGTTTACTGATGCCCAAAAACCCCCTTGTTGGCAGAGGTACTTGGGGGCAGGTAAACCCAAGCCAAGGAAGATTGCCTAAGCTAAGCGCCAAGCCCTCATCCTCAAACCAAACCCTGTATTCCTTCATCCCTAGAGCCTCGCAGCCATTGGTAAGGTTCCTCAACGAAGGGGTGTTGAACTCCGTGGTAACCCCAAACCACACCCTAAAGCCCAAAAGACTCCAACCTCTAAGCACCCGGGTTCTGGGAGCCCTAAACCCTGCAAAGCCCTGTAAGTCCTACATAGACCCCATAACCATACAGTATAGGCCAAAACCCTAAACCCTAAACCCTAAACCCTAAACCCTACACCCTAAACCCTAAACCCTAAACCCTTCAGAGCCTCAAACCTCAGCTCCTCAGGCCCCCCTTTGCGGGCGTGGAACATGGAACGCCAAGTCCGGGTTCGAGGTGCTGCGGCGCAAGTTTGGTTCGGCGGCGCCTGATGGCGCCCCTAAACCCTAAACCCTAAACCCTAAACCCTAAACCCTAAACCCTGGGTTTAGGGCTGCTAAGGATGAAGGGCTTTAAGGGATTTAGGGGCTTCGTTGAGGGAGTGTTAGGAGCAGAAGAGGCCGTTGTGTACCGGCCCTGTCATGCACCAGAGGGAGGCCTGGCAAAGAGGGGATACAGCGCTGGATGCTGGATTTTAGAGCAAAGGAGTCAGAATGCAGCCTGGGTCAACCTGAATCTTCGTTCCGCCTTAGGAGTCCCTCGACGGAGTTGGGGAAGAGATTGAAAAGGGAGCGAGCAAAGGGTTCGAAGGGTAGGTTCTGGTTCAACTTGACTAGACGCAGCACTTTCGCATGCGCAGTGTAGTACTCGAATACAACGGGAGGCAACAGCCCCCGACCCCATAACCGTAGACTCCAAACCCTAAACCCTCACACCTCGCAAGCCTAAACCTTGGCAAGAAGGCAATGGACCCCAAACCTTAAACCCTAAACCCTGAACCCTAGACCCCAAACCCCTAAACCCTAAATCCTAAACTCTAAACCCTAATCCTTCAACCCTTAAACCCTGAGCTCCGGCCTGTACTCGAAGCCTCCGGCAAGCGAGGAAGGACGATCAGGGGTTGACAGGTTCGACTGCAGTTCGAATTTGGGGTTTAAGGGAGTTCGGCTTTGATAGCTTTGGTGTTTAGCTTTTTGGATGCTAGGGTTTTAGGGCCAAGGTTTTGAGGCGCTGGGCTTTTCGGGGGTTTGGGGTTCAGGCACAGGGCTTTGAAAGGGCTCAAGGTTGTGCGGCTTCGGTTGAGCTAGCGTGATACCCTCCCCCCTCAGACCCTCAACCCCAAACCCAGTCCTCCGAGTGTTCATTCCGAAGCCTCTTCGCCAGGGACACCTGAGTTTTGGGGCAGGTGTGGGAAAGGGGGGGCGGGAAGGTGCATATGACAACAATCCATACAACCAGCCCTCAGCCCTACACCCTACACTCTTGCAGAAAGAAGTGGATCCAAAACAGAACCTCATCTGCATCACGGCCCCCCCACACCCCCACAGAAGGTGAGTAAGGTGTGAAGTCGGGTGCTGGGTTGCGGGATTCGGGTTGGGCGTTTATAGGGCCCTGCTGTGCTCATAGGGTTTCTAGGGCGTACGGGTGTAGGGAAGTATGTCCACGGGGCTTACTGGGGGCGTTACCCATTTCAGCCTGACAAGATGTGGACTCGGTAGAGTTAACCACTTAATGCATCCGGCTGGCCAGCGCGCGGTTCCGCATCGCAAGGCTCCTGAGCCCTCGCGACGCGAAGCCGGGCGAAATCGACGTGGGCGTCGCCCCCGGGTCCCTGGCCGCCAAGTCCGTGGCCATGTTACCCACCTGAACGATCGAGGGTTTAGGGTTTAGGGTTTAGGGTTTAGGGTTTAGGGTTTAGGGTTTAGGGTTTAGGGTTTAGGGTTTAGGGTTTAGGGTTTAGGGTTTAGGGTTTAGGGTTTAGGGTTTAGGGTTTAGAGGAGGGACCCCTAGAAGGGACTCTTCATCGTATATTCCCCTACATAACCCTTGCATACACCTTTGAGTCCCTATGTACCTAAGTAGACCCTAAAGAACCCTTGAATAAGGGTTTAGGGTTTAGGGTTTAGGGTTTAGGGTTTAGGGTTTAGGGTTTAGGGTTTAGGGTTAACCCCCAAGGTCCCTTATATGGGTCCCTCCTTTTAGTCCCTTGACTCAACGCAAAGCTAGTGACAGAGGCCTGCGGGTGTGGTAGAAGCCGAAACGGTTGTGCTTCGAGAACGCGCGCGAACGCTTTTGAGGCCAAAAGCAAGCTGAAAAGTGGAGATCCATCGCTCATGCAGCTACCGTAGCAAGCTGGTGCGGGTCCAGGCAGCGTAGGGGTGGCTTCTTCAGCTTACAGCTTCTGGCAGCAGCTTGAGCGTTAGCATAATTGGGCTCGAGCAGCAAGTGAGGATTGCTTTGGCTTTAGCACAGGGCCTCGAACCTATCCCTCACAAGCACCGAGCACAACGCGAAGCCCTAAACCCCAAACCCAAAGCCCTAAACCCTAAACTCGCCACAGCCCTCAGTTCATGTCCGCCGAAGGAAGACTCCCTGACCCCAAACCAGACGCCATATTCTTCCTTAAGCCTACTGCCATTCTGGGCAAGCTCCTTCACCAAGGTGGCTGGACTCACTCCCCAAAACCCTGAACCCTAGACTGTCTATACACCAAAGTCTCAACCCTAACCCCTACAAACACTACAAACCCCCAGGAGCCCCATGAACCCTCGAAATTCTACATAAAGCCCTATGACTCTGTAGACAAAAACCCTCAGAAGCCTCAAACCTCGGTTCCTCAGGCCCCCCTAAGCCCTAAGCCCTAAGCCCTAAACCCTAAACCCTAAACCCTAAACCCTAAACCCTAAACCCTGAACCCTAAACCCTAAACCCTTGCAGGCGTGCAACATGGAGCGCCAAGTCCGGGTTCGAGGTGCAGCGGCGCAAGCTTGGTACAGCGGCGCCTGTTGGGGGCGTCAAGGGTTTTGCGGCTTTTGAAGTGGGTTATGGCTTTTTTGGGGCATGGTTTTTTTTGTTGTTTGGTTGAATTCAGGGTTTGTTGAGGGTTTTCGTGTTTAGTAGACTTTCCGGAGAACGATGGCCAGGTGTCGGAAGAGGCTGTAGAAGTCGTTTTGAGGGATTGGCTTGTTGGGCTTAGGGGGGGGGGGGACTTGAGGGGGGGGTGAGTTCGTTGGAATCTAAGAGTTTTGGGGTTTGGGGTTTAGGGTTTGGGGTTCACACGGACTTGCTTGGGGTTTGGGGTTGAGTTGTGGTCTCTTTGGATGCGATGACAATTGTAGAGCTGCACGAAGGGAGCGAGCAAAGGGTTCCAAGCGCTTAGGCTTTAGGGTTTAGGGTTTGCTGTGATGAAGGGATTCCAGCAGGTCCTACAAGCTTGAGGGGGGTCCCAGGGTCCCAGCGGTCCCAGACCCCTAAAGCCCTGAAGCCTTAAAGCCTGGAGCCTGAAACCTTCAAACCCTCGAACCCTACTAAACCTAAACCCCAAAAACTAAACCCCAAAACCCTTAGAGCCCGAACCCAAAAACGCTAAAACCCTAAAACCCTCAAACCCTCAGACCCTCAAACCCTCAAACCTTAAACCTTAACCCCTAAACCCTTAAACCTTAAACCGCTAAGGCTTGAAACCCTAAACCCTAAACCCTAAACTCTAAACCCTAAACCCTAAACCCTAAAATCCTGGCCTGTATCCGGAGCCTCCGGCAAGCAAGGAAGGCCGAGCTCCTCGGCGTTGGAGGTCTGGGGTTGAAAAGTTCGGCTGTATAGGGTTTAGGGTTTAGGGTTTAGGGTTTAGGGTTTTGGGTTTTGGGTTTAGGGTTTAGGGTTTAGGGTTTAGGGTTAGGGTTTAGGGTTTAGGGTTTAGGGTTTCGGGTTTAGGGTTTAGGGTCTAGGGTTTAGGGCTTAGGGGTTTAGAGTTTCGGGTTTAGGGTTTAGGAAACCCCGAACCCTAGAAACCCTGAAGACAGCCCTGGAACCTAAAAACCCTTAAACCAATATTCCCAAAACTACCAAACCCGCTCGAAACCCCCAAGAACCCTAGAGCCCTAATAGCCCTGCAACTTGGGATGTTCCCCCTTATTACTAGCAGTTCTTTATAGGGATGGCAATAGGGGATACTATAATCATACTATAAATCCTACTAGGGACTGTTTAGTATAAGGGCGAACCTCCCAAACCCTAAACCCTAAACCCTAAACCCTAAACCCTAGAAACCGCCCCAAGACTCAGGTAGCTCGGCTGCAGGCTTCGCAGCCTGACCACAACGGCAACCAGTCTCAGCCCCAGAGGTTTTAGGGTTTAGGGTTTAGGGTTTAGGTTTTAGGGCTTAGGGCTTAGGGCTTAGGGTTTAGGGTTTAGGGTTTAGGGTTTAGGGTTTAGGATTTAGGGTTTAGGGCTTAGGGTTTAGGGTTTAGGGTTTAGGGTTTAGGGTGTAGGTGTAGGGTTTCGGTTTTAGGGTTTAGTGTTTAGGGTACGCCCCCCTTCCCCCCACCCCAGAGTGGCGCTTTGCGGCTTACCGGGTTTTTGGGCTTACAGGGTTGTAGGGGTTTAGGGTTTCAGGGTTTCAGGAATTCGGTTTTAGGGTTTAGGGTTTCAGGGATTAGGGTTAAGGTATCAGGGGTTTGTAAGGTTTTCGGATTTTAGGGTTTTAGGGTTTTAGGGTTTTCGGATCTTAGGGTTTCAGGGTTTGCGGAGGGCCTGGGGCGGGATTCCGGTTGAGGGTTCAGGGCCGGTTTCTAGCATGAGGGCTCATGTCTGACTGAGTCCAGGCAATCTTTTGAAGGGGGACGTTGGTCAGCTGAGGCAACACAGAACCCTAAACCCTAAACCCTAAACCCTAAACCCTAAACCCTAAACCCTAAACCCTAAACCCTAAACCCTAAACCGTCAACCCCACCCCCTAAACAAGGGCCTCGATCATCGGTTCTTTCAGGGCCGCGACCTTCCAGGCGGTGCGCCAGGGCCTCGGGCGCGTCAGGCCGCGCGAAGAGAGGGTTTAGGGTTTAGGGTTTAGGGTTTAGGGTTTAGGGCTTAGGGTTTAGGGTTTAGGGTTTAGGGTTTAGGGTTTTAGGGTTTCGGGTTTAGGGTTTAGGGTTTAGGGTTTGGGGTTTGGGGTTTGGGTTTTGGGGTTTGGGGTTTCGGGCTTAGGGCTTGGGGCTTAGGGTTTTCTAGTGCAGTTGAAGAGTTCGAAAGAGTTCTGCAGGGCTTTGATGATGCGCAGGTTTCCCGGAATTGGGTACCCTTTCGAGGCGTGCACTGCGTTTACCTTCATTTTTAATATGAAATGCATGAATCTTATTAGAACTGGGGTGGTAAGGACTGGCTCAAAGAACCTGATGTTGGGGTCCCGAGGGTGGGTTCTTAGTGGCTTGGAAACAGAGGTTGGGTCTCAAGGTGTGATGGGTGAACAAGGCTGTAACTGCCCACATGGGATTCCTCTCATGAGGATTTACGCATTTCGGGGAGGGGGGTATCAATCATACAGCGGTTTGGGCAATGCCCATATGCCCTAAACCCTAAACCCTAAACCCTAAACCCCAAATGTTAGCATTTCTAGATCCGTACAGAGGGCTGTCAGAGGGCTGAGCAGTTGCAGGCGTTGAGGGTTTCGGAGCTTCGGGTCTTCGGGGTCTCGCCATCGGTCGGGCGACGACCGCGTGATGCGGCAGAAGGCCCGGCTGACTGGCTTTGTATAGAGCTTGCTGCGGAGAAGGTCCTGATGCGCATGAGGGCTATAAACCCTCAACCCTAAACCCTTGAGGGCAAGGCAAGAGGTAAGTGACTTTGGGTCCTGGATGCCTTCAAGTCCTGAAAGCAAGGAGCCGTCACTGCAAGGGTCAAACAATGTGGCTCCTTGACGGCCTCAGCCTCCGCGTCGTTCTTGTTGTAGATGCCGGCAACGATGACCTCAACTGCCCCCGGGTTTAGGGTTTAGGGTTTAGGGTGTAGGGTGTAGGGTTTAGGGCTTAGGGTTTGGGGTTTGGGGTTTAGCCCCCCAAACCGGGAACTTCACGGCGGCTTAGAGTTTCGGATCTAGGGCTCAGGGTTCAAGGATATCCCTCAGCCCTATAAACCCTAGAACTGCAAAACGCTACCCTAAACCCTTAACCCTAAACCCTAAACCCTAAACCCTAAACCCTAAACCCTAAACCCTAAACCCTGAACCCTGAACCCTGAACCCTGGACCCTGAACCCTGAACCCTGAACCCGAACTGAGTAAGCCCTAAACTTCCCCACCCCCTGCCTTCATGTTGCTCAGCATCAGCTGGATCTCTTCGGCCAAGGTGGCAAGGATGGGTCGGAAGAGCTCGCCACGCAACAGCGGCTCGCTCTGGGCAGGCGAACAGCGGGGAAGGGTGGGGGGGGGGATGGGGGGGAACATTTTGGACCAAAACTCCTAAACCCTAAACCCCAACATCTCAACAGCCCTAAATCCCGAAACCCCTTCAACCTAAACCCCTAATCCTTCACAGCCCGAAGGCCCTTTCAAAACATAGACGTAAACCCCTAAACCCCATTGAGTCCCGAAGCTCCTAAACACGGGGGGGGGGGGGCTTGGGACAGAGGACTTGGTCACAGAGACTCCCGTCCCACTACGAAGAGTCCTTAGATCAAATTAAGACGTTTAGGGTTTAGGGTTTAGGGTTTAGGGTTTAGGGCTTAGGGTTTAGGGTTTAGGATCCCTGAAGCAAATGGAAGGAAGTTTCCCCACACCCCAAAAGCCTGCTTTCTTTGAAACCCTGAAGCCTAAACCCGAACCCCCTCATCGTACTAGGGAAGATGCCGATTCCTTCAGTAAGAAGTATTGGAGTCTCCATGGGTTTAGGGTTTAGGGTTCAGGGTTTAGGGCTTAGGGTTTAGGGTTTAGGGTTTAGGGTCTAGGGTCTAGGGTCTAGGGTTTAGGGTTTCGGGTTTAGGCTTCGGAGTTTAGGGTTTAGGGTCCTCTTGCATAGGATGCGCCCAGGCTACAGATAGATTCGGATGCCCCGACATTTCGGGCCAGGGACCTAAACCCTAAACCCTAAACCCTAAACCCTAAACCATAAACCATAAACCATAAACCCTGACCCTAAACCCTAAACCCTAAACGCTAAACCTATTCGGGGTATTGGAAGTCGCTGGGATCCTGACAGACCCCTGGCCTAAGCCCGAGGCACGTCCGATCCTACGCCCCACGTCTTAAGACGTAAAATGTTCAATGCCGGCACGTAACTACTCTTGGCTTTGAGAACCACCGAAAAACATAAATTGTTCTTCCTTGTAAGGGCAATGTAGGGGTTGGTGTCTTCTGACTGTTTTGGGGTTCTTAATCAAATAGTAGGTAAGGGGAGGGTTTGGGGTAGGGTTTCTCAAGCTCTGCAGCCCTAAGGCCGGAAGCCCTCTTAGTGCCCTGAAGCCCGCAATCCTAAAGGGCGGAAACCCTAACGACCGAAAACTGCACCATAAGGACCTGAGGAGTCTACTTAGCCTTGGGGTTTAGGGTTTAGGGTTTCGGGTTTCGGGCTTCGGGCTTCGGGCTTCGGGCTTCGGGTTTAGGGGTTTAGGGTTTAGGGTTTAGGGTTTAGGGTTGAGGGTTGAGGGTTGAGGGTTGAGGGTTGAGGGCTGAGGGCTGAGGGCTGAGGGCTGAGGGCTGAGGGTTGAGGGTTGAGGGTTGAGGGTTGAGGGTTGAGCGTTGAGGGTTGAGGGTTGAGGGTTGAGGGTTTAGGGTTTAGGGTTGAGGGTTGAGGGTTTAGGGTTTAGGGTTTTTCGGGCTTGGCTCCTACACCCTACACGCCAGGGCCTTGGCTGCAGCCGCCTTGGCCTTGGCCTGGCGGCATCGGTGGCCCTGAAGCTACTAATTGCTTAAGAGTACAGAATTAAAATACTGTACATTCATGTTGGTCTAATATGTTATAAACAACACAAAATATAAATAAAACAAACAACAGGCAAGAACACAACATAATAGAAAGCTAGGACATAAACAAGCCCCCCCCCCAAAAAAAAAAAAAGTTGTAAAAACAATCCTCCTTATAAGGGCAATATAGGGATTTTCTTTTTTGGGGTGTTCTTAAGCACATAGTAGGAAGGTCTAAGGATTTCCAAGCCCTCAGCTCTAAACCCTACACCTCAGGCTCCAAAGCCTAAAAACTAACCCTGAACCCTAACCCCAAACCCCAAACCCTGAACCCTAAACCCTAAACCCTAAACCCTAAACCCTTGGGCTTCGGGTCTGTAGGGTGCAGGGTTGACCACTGTTGCTTCGGAGGGCATTGCAAGACAAGTAGCTGCGTCTTCAGGGCTTGTAGCGTTTAGGGTTTAGGGTGTAGGGTTTAGGGTTTAGGGTTTAGGGCTTAGGGCTTAGGGTTTAGGGTTTAGGGTTTAGGGTTTAGGGTTTAGGGTTTAGGGTTTAGGGTTTAGGGCTAACCCTGCACGCCAAACCCCTCTTCGGGCTCAGGGAGGTTTGGGAAGACGGGCGCGGAGGTATCAAAGCTTGGGCCTTAGACATCTAGGTACCTCAACCAAGCCCTTTAACCCTACACTCAGCCCTTTAAACAAAACGAAGAAAGCCTAAACCCGAAAACCCTATGCCCTTATGATAAGAGAATCCAACTATTTGGGGGGTTGATATTAAGGGGTCCCTTATTTTCGTTCTTAGGGGCTCATGGAACTACTCTTAGGGTTTAGGGTTTAGGGTTTAGGGTTTAGGGTTTAGGGTTTAGGGTTTAGGGTTTAGGGTTTAGGGTTTAGGGTTTAGGGTTTAGGGTTTAGGGTTTAGGGTCGTAAACCTCCCAATAACCCCTAAATCCGGCACCTTGTAAATGACGGAGCCCGCTCGCAGAGTCATGCGCTTCTGCGGCTTCTCCTTGTTGGGGTTTAGGGTTTAGGGGTTAGGGTTTAGGGTTTAGGGTTGAGGGTTGAGGGTTGAGGGTTGAGGGTTGAGGGTTGAGGGTTGAGGGTTGAGGGTTGAGGGTTGAGGGTTGAGGGTTGAGGGAGGGTTTAGGGTTTAGGGTTTAGGGTTTAGGGTTTAGGGTTTAGGGTTTAGGGTTTAGGGTTTAGGGTTTAGGGTTTAGGGTTTAGGGTTTAGGGTTTAGGGTTTAGGGTTTAGGGTTTAGGGGTTAACCCCAAACCCTAAACCCCAAACCCCCGACCTCCAAGAAACCTTCACATTTAGCATTTGCAGGGCTTTTGGGTGGTGGGCTTTGGCTGTCCACTCGTGGGTTTGCGAAGAATAAGCCGCCTTAAGTTGGCGCGTGCTGCGGGTACCTGACGTCGTCACTTCGAACGCTGACCCTAAACCCTAAACCCCAAACCCTAAACCCTAAACCAACCCCAAACCCTAAACCTCAAACCGTCAAACCCTCAAGCCCTCACACCCTAAAAAACCCTGAAACCCTGAACCCCTTGAGTAGGCTGGTGTCCAAGATCTGAATGGCCCAAAGGATGGTTCGGAAGTGCCGCGTCACCATGCGCAGGCCTCTCGTGCGAGGGGCTCCAGGGTGTGGAGGGGTTAAGGGTTTAGGGTTTAGGGTTTAGGGTTTAGGGTTTAGGGATTCAGGGTTTTGGGCGTTTGGAGGGTCTAGGGTTTGGAGTTTCAGGGTTTTAGGTTTTAGGGTTGTGGCTTCTACGGTTTTAGGGTTTAGGGTTTGGAGTTTAGAGTTTAGGGTGAAAGGTTTTGAGTTTAAGTAGTCCCTTACATAGGCTGACAGGCCCCAAAACCCAGGCAATGGTTCCAGCTGTGCGGGCTGTGCAGCTCCCAAAGCCCGAAACCCTAAACCCCCAAATCACCCGGACCTGAACCCTCAATAATTTCAACGAACCCTAAACCCTATAAACCCTAAACCCTAAACCCTAAACCCTAAACCCTAAACCCTGAACCCTGAACCCTGAACCCTGAACCCTTTCGTTTCCCGGGGCCTTTCTCCAGGTCACGGAAGAGATCCGCTTGAAATGGAAGGGTGCCAGGCTCGTCCTCTCTTCTCAGTAGGGTTTTACCATACTCCCCTTTGAACCTTACTCTAAAAAAAAGTAATATCATCTTCTTGGGTCTTATATAAACACGAATAAATATAAAAAAAAAAAAAAAACATTTCCAAGGGGGATATAGTTTTGGGTCTTTGGGTTGTTAGGGGGTTCTAGCGAATTAGGGTCTTAGGATTTTAGGGTTTTTAGGGTTTTAGGGTTCTGGCGTTTGGGGCTTTTAGGGTCCTAGGGTCTTTAAGTTTTAGGGTTTTAGGGTGCTACGCCTTGACCCTCAGCCCAAAAGGCATTTGGGGTTCTAAGGCTCAGAAAGACAGTTGACCCCAAGGCCTAAAAGGCCAGGAGGCCTTCGGGCTCAGGACAACTGGTAGGCTCAGGGTTCAGGGCTTTGAGTTTAGGGTTTGGGAAACCCGAAACCCTAAACCCTAAATCCCAAGTCCTAAATTTTACATCCTAAACCCTAAACCCTAAACCCTAAACCCGAAACCCGAAACCCGAAACCCGAAACCCGAACCTCTTCCTTATCATGTGGGCTCCGGGCTTCGCTACACCGAGCGTCCAGGGCGTAGGGCAGCAGGTTCGCGAGCTCATCCAGGTCTTCGTAGATCTTGTCTTGCCAGTCCACCTGCCTCAAGAGGCTTGGGAGGGCCTAAAAACTTCGAAACCTGCGGTTTAGGGTTTAGGGTTTAGGGTTTAGGGTTGAGGGTTTAGGGTTTAGGGTTTAGGGTTTAGGGGTTTGGGTTTAGGGTTTAGGGTTTAGGGTTTAGGGTTTAGGGTTTAGGGTTTAGGGTTTAGGATTTAGGGTTTAGGGTTTAGGGTTTTGGTTTCATGCCAGTCTGCCTCTGGAAGCCCTTCTCGACGTCGTCTGCCTCTGTTGGCTGAAGGTCCTCCGGATCCAGCACCTCCTGGCCGAGCTTCTGAACTCCTCGCCCTGAACCCTAAACCCTAAACCCCAAACCCCAAACCCCAAGCCCGAAACTCGAAGCAGGCAAAACTCTGAAACCTCAACCCCCCAACCCGCAAACCCCCATAGATTTCGGATTTTTCACAAAGTTCTTCGAGATCCCTTCGTCACGAAGAACGTGTATCTTAAGGCCAAGCATATTCCTTTCTTGGAATCCGGCATGTCCTCCCAATATCCCATCGATTTCAAGACGATCTCTATCGAATCTCCTATTTATTTCAATGCCAGGCCCTACGCCGCCCTTCTCATCCAAGACACCTGCAAGCCCTAGACACCCTGTAAGCCACATGGGCCCATGTCAGCCCTGCGAACTCTGAGAGCTACGAGGGCTCTGGGGCTCTGGGAGAGCAAAGCATATAAGCCAGGAAGCCATGGCTTAACCCGAGACCCTCATTCAGGCTCGTTTTCCCGAACTTAGGGATTTGCACCCGAATGTTTTGAATTGAATGTAGGGAACATTCAGGGTATTGGGTTGTCGGTGCCCTGAAATGGTCCTGGACCACGACCTGATAAACCACACGAAACCCCCTCTGAATCCCAAACCCCTGAATCCCAAATGTCCGAACTCCTTTTTCCAAACCCTCTAACCCCCAAATCCTAAACCCCGAAACCCTAAACCCGAAACCCTAAACCCCTAAACCCTAAACCCTACACCCCAAACCCCTTCAACCAATCCTGGGGCTCCTTAACAAAGCACGAGACCCGGCTCAGCCCTCGCAGCATCCGCTGTTTCGCCTGCCTTCGGGCGCTGGAAGACCTCGGCTGAGGAGGTGGGCTTGGACTTTGGGGTTTAGGGTTTGGGTTTAGGGTTTAAGGTTTAGGGTTTAGGGTTTAGGGTTTAGGGTTTAGGGTTTAGGGTTTAGGGTTTAGGGTTAGGGGTTAGGGGTTAGGGTTACCCTTGAAGTAAGGTATAATTCTTACACGGTAATAGTTTAGGGTCTAGGCTGGTTTAGAGTTTAGGGGGGGATCCCAATAAAAATCGAAAAGATATTCCCTAGCCAAGGGTAATGGTTAGCTAGCTCCCCTAAACCCCCGAACCCTAAACCCTAAACCCTAAACCTTAAACCCTAAACCCTAAACCCTCAATGTTGGGCCATTGGCAAAATCAGGTCCACGAGCAACAGCACGGCAACGCCGATGAAGGTTCCCACAATCTTTGCGAAGAGGAAGCTGCCATCGGCAGAGGTTAGCTTCACCTTGCTGAGGGTTTAGGGTTTAGGGTTTAAGGTTTAGGGTTTAGGGTTTAGGGTTTAGGGTTTAGGGTTCAGGGTTCAGGGTTTAGGGATGCTGGCTGGCGCGCTTCTTGTCCACATGCATGTTGCGGGTTTGGGGTTTGGGGCAGCGGTTCTCTGAGCTTAGCGTTGCATGCGAGGAACTGTCCCTCCGAGCATCTCCACCCTGGACCTAATGTAGGGTTTAGGGTTTAGGGTTTAGGGTTTAGGGTTTCGGGTTTAGGGTTAAGGGTTTAGGGTTTAGGGTTTAGGGTTTAGGGTTTAGGGTTTCGGGTTTCGGGTTTAGGGTTTAGGGTTTAGGGTTTCGGGTTTAGGAAATATAATAGTTCCGGCGAGATTTCGAAAGCAACACAATACTGATACTGTTAAGCAAGGTCGAGGAGTGCTCTTGCATGTCAAGTCAATGAGTGGTTGTCCGAGAAAGATCCTGCATAATCAAAACAAACACCAAAACTCACAAACTCCTCATTCAATAAATATCATAAACACAAAAGCTGCATCACGCTGAAAAACAAACACGCATAGCCCACACTTCAAGTAATGATGTGGGGGGTGGGTTGTTTGATAACTGTGGAGTGTGTTGTCACGTGTTTAATGTTGCTTTTTTGATTGATCGGTGAGTGTTACCTGTTATGGATTTGTTTACGTATCCGCTTGTCAAAAACAGCGGCGCGCAACTTTTACGTCTGTGGCTACGGCAGAATTGCATGGCATTGTTAAGCCGGCCTCACGAATCCATGTCATAGCATTGTGCGGCACGAAGACCTGCGGTTGAACAACAGCCGACTTCGAACGCTTCTGAAAGAAGTCACACAAAACATGCCAAGCCACCTTGCGACTCCGCTCTATGCCGAAAGACGGCATAGTTCTTCGGGTACATGTCCTGGTCAAACCAACAATCATGAGCGTGTTTTAGGCCTATCTGCTCAGACAGCAATCCTGCAAAAACGGCACATGCAGAACGCCGCTGCGGTCTTGTTAGAGTCTTGTAGAGGGAGGCCACGATACAAATACACTCCTAGACAAGTCTCATCACTATGTACGTGTAATGAATCGATGTGCAAACATGCGTCATCCGCGCCTCGGATGCAAAGATCTTGGGTGCACTGGAACACCACTTGTTCTCCGCCTTTGTTGCGGGTCTTGACCGGTTGGACCACAGCAGCACCTGCCAGCAGTCAGAACTTCATGATATCAGATTACGAATCTAACCTGAATGCAAGCCTCTGCGGGACGGTTGAAGAACCACCACCGCTTGACAGTATGGAGGATAGCCATGAGATGGTCGCGGGGCGAGCCTCGCGCATCGCAAAACTGATGCAGTGACGTTATGAAATTTCAAGAAAAATCAATTTCAAGAACCTGGTCGGAGTGGCATAGTACATGGCCGTTTCAAGCAGCGGAGTCACGTAGATGCCAGGGTGCCAAAACTCATGCTGCTCATCCTCAGATTAAAACAAAACTCACGTCATTAAAGATCGCGAGGCTCATTTTTAGTGCCAGACGTTCGATGGCAGAAGACCATACTGCAATATGCTCGGAAGGCATTGTAGTGGGCATCCGTGAAAATATACAGGAAGGTCTGACGACAAATCGCCCAAGACTCACTAACTGATGATTCAAACTTGAAACATGCCTGCATCCATCTTGTCGTACTCGAGTTGATGTTCTTCATAATCGCCGCGAACCCAGCGATGCACCTGTCTCAGACTACATGGAGTTCAAAGTACGCAGCAACATTTGTCTGAGGACCAAGCACGGGGTTCCGGTAACTCGATCAGAAATTCCTCAAAGAGATCGGGATGGTTCAGATCCCACGGCTGTGTGCCGACCTGATGCGGCAAACAGAGTGATGACCGACGCTGTTACCACCCCAGTCTGAAGTCTAGCCTCCCATTTGCCAGGTTTTGTAGCGTCCCAGCGCCAGCAACGATGCGCCGACAAAGAAGCCATCACAAAGACAAGGTATAAGAGCTTTAAGCCGAAATCTTGCGCAAGGCAGACACAGTGCTTATGTATTTTGGAGAACGATTCATGTGAAGCCAACTCAATGACCAAGACTCTAGGTCTCATGCACGACACACCAAAAAGCTTCGAACACCGTTTTTTTAGGCATGGGTTTAGGGTTTAGGGAACAGGGTTTTGGGGTGATTACGGCACAAATATAGCGGGACCATGCTGGGCTACTATTGGAAAACTATTCCGGCCCCCTGGATTCGATCAGCTTCAATGCAGCCCCAATCCCTAAACCCTAAACCCTAAACCCTAAACCCTAAACCCTAAACCCTAAACCCTAAACCCTAAACCCTAAACCCTAAACCCTAAACCCTAAACCCTAAACCCTAAACCCTAAACCCCAATCCCTAAACCCTCAACCCCTAACCCCAATCACCTCGTAATCCCGGAAGAGGCCGTTGGGAGGCATCGACGATGAGGTGGCAAACGCCACCGTTAGCAACGCCAGGCTCCCGTGCTGCTTTGACCTTACTGTTGGTTAGTAGGGAATGGGGAGATGAGGTATCCTACAAGTATATATTCCCTTAAACCCTAAACCCTGAAACCCTGAACCCTAAACCCCAAACCCTAAACCCCAAACCCTAAACCCTAAAACCATAAACCCTTAACCCTAAACCCTAAACCCCCCTGCTAACCAACAGCAAGTGACTGAAAGCTCACCAGGATCAGCGCTGTGACCGTGACCTGCGGGGACAACTTCAAGGCTCTCTGTGGGGGGATTTGGGGAAATGTCTAGGGTTCAGGGTGTTTATGGTTTAGGGTTTAGGGTTTAGGTTTAGGGTTTAGGTTTAGGGTTTAGGGTTTAGGGTTTAGGGTTTAGGGTTTAGGGTTTAGTGTTTAGGGTTTAGGGTTTAGGGGTCGAACATACATTAAAGAGCAACTTACATGCATTCTGTTCTTCGTGATTAAGGTTTAAGGTCTAGGGTATTTCCCCTTTTGAGTCAACTAGCTCTCTCTTACTCTCACCCTCAACTCCCTGTATGCTTTCTTCACCGGGGGGATAGGAATCCTAAACCGCGCCCCCCTTACCTGCGCAACTGCTCAGCCGAATGCCTCTTTCAACCGGCCACCCCTAGCCCCGAAATCCAAAACCAGCCATGGCTATGTAGTACCCGAAGCCTCCCAAATACGAAAAGACTCTAAACCCCAAACGCTAGACCCTAAAACCCTAAACCCTCAACCTAAACCCTGCAGCCCTCACTCCCAGCCCCAGGCGCATACCTGCCCAGAGGTTCGGGGTCTAGAGTTTAGGGTTTAGGGTTTAGGGTTTAGGGTTTTAGGGTTTAGGGTTGAGGGTTTAGGGTTTCGGGTTTAGTGGTAAAACCACCATACCACAAAACCCTCACATCAACTGCCCCTCCCCCCCGGGGCCAGCTGGAAGATTCCGAAGCAAACCGCGCGGAAGGGGAGTTGGATTGCGAAGACGCGCTGCGCAATGCTGCCGACCACAGTGCCCAACACAACCCCGTTCCTGGCTGTTGCTGTTGTGAGTTTAGGGTTTGGGGTTTGGGGTTTAGGGTTTGGGGTTTGGGGTTTAGGGTTTGGGGTTTGGGGTTTAGGGTTTGGGGTTTGGGGCTTAGGGACTTTAGAGGACCAGTGCCATACTCGAATTCAACCCTCCCGAAACCCAAAGCCCCATAGCCCCTCGCTCCTCTCAATCCAAAACCCTAACCACCTGCAACCCCAAACCCCTAACAACAATCGTGTGAGACACATACATGCTTCAGGCTCCAGGGGGGGGTGAAGGTTGACCATACCCAAATCTTATTCCCTTTCATCCCTATATGGGGGGTTTCCCAAGTTTCCCTAAACCCTAAACCCTAAACCCTAAACCCTAAACCCTAAACCCTAAACCCTAAACCCTAAACCCTAAACCCTAAACCCTAAACCCTAAACCCTAAACCCTAACCCTAAACCCTAAACCCTAAACCCTAAATCAGGGGTACCTTCTTGGGATCCTTACTATCAAGAAATCCTACTATTTGGGGGACTATATTGGGGGCCCCTGGTTTTTGCACGTAGGTATGATAGCCTGTTCCAATGAACCCTAAACCCTAAACCCTAAACCCTAAACCCTAAACCCTAAACCCTAAACCCTAAACCCTAAACCCTAAACCCTAACTAGGCCCCAAGATCGAAAAATGCTTCAAAAAGCCGTGGGTCAAACGCCGCAGCGTCAGAGGCAGGCTTGAGGCCGTGAAGGTGTAGATGATGACCTAAACCCTAAACCCTAAACCCTAAACCCTAAACCCTAAACCCTAAACCCTAAACCCTAAACCCTAATTAAACCCTAAACCCTAAACCCTAAACCCTAAACCCTACCCCCTAAACCCAAAACCGCAAACCCGAAACGTTGCAAGAGCTTTGGGGGTGCATCGGGGGCTTGCAGCTTGGGGATTTGCCGCCTCAGAAAGGGCGGGGGCGGGGGAGAGCTTCGTCCAATGCCATCGGATTACACTCACCGTGGACGCTGGGGTGGAGGAGTACGGCGCAATGACGTTTGAAATGCCAAGCCAGCCAATGAGGAAGGTGAGAGTGAGGGAGATCGTGTACCGCAGGACGAAGCGGGGGTGCGTGATCTGGCGCTCATACACCTTGATCTCCAAGTGCGCCTGCGACAAACTCAGCGCGGGCTTCAAGTTCGCAGAGCTCAGTGGGCTTCGGGACTTCATCTTTCCTTTGGGGCGAACGTCCTGAATCTAAGCCCTTTAAGCCCTGAATCCTGGAGCCCTACGTCAAGTCTCCAACCAAGAAGCAAGCCTTCTACACCCTAAACCGAGTGGGTGCAGGGGGCCTGCAGAGACCTCCACCAGCATGACCTCACGGTGTCTTCCTGGCAGGGTGTGTTAAAACTGCGTTGTGCTAGCCTAGGGTGTAGGGAATTGACTTAAGGCTTAGAAAGCAGAAACATGCAGACCATAAGCTGTTGAGTCTCTTTCGAGGACTGAAGAGCAAGACTCGCATCTGCATGATTCGATTCTGCTTTTTCGACCTCTCTAGCTCAAGTGCAGCTTCTTCGCACTGTGAGGACTAAGGGCTTGAACAACGAAGCCATGGCCCGAGAATCTCCTGATAGTCCAGTTCCTTGTAGCAACTAGGGAATTAGGCACCTAGGACCTAGACCCTAATATCTCTAAAGCCCTAAACCCCTAAACCCTTCAAGCGACTATGTAGGGCAGCTAGTTCCCGGATTCCCTGCCAAAAGCACAATTAGTTGTGGGAATCATGGCACTCTCTCCTTGCGGCAAAGGGTGCCAGACAAGGGGTTTAGGGTTTAGAGCTTAGGGTTTTTAGGGTTTAGGGTGTAGGCGGAGGGTGTAGAAAATGTCGGGCCGGAACCTATTGCGCAGCGCAACCTCAGTGGGACAATCTCTGTTAACTCGGGTTTTTACGGGAACCCAGCCGCACTGGGAGAAAGATCAGCCTCATCGCCGCCCTTCATCTTTTGCCCTAAACCCCCTTAAGCTCCACTGTCGCCCACACACCCCATACAGCTTAAAGCTCTGAAAGCCTCAACCCTAAACCCAAAGCTTAAACCTCTAAACCCTCAACCCTACACCCTCCCTAATCCTAAACCCCCAAACCTGGCCTCCAAGCCATAGAGGTCACCTAAGCCCCCAAACCTGGCCTCCAAGCCATAGAGGGCCAGGGAGGACAGCGAGTCGCAGGTGTCCTTTTCAGGGATTTTTTGTGGCTATAGGGTTGCCGGTGTGTTTGGGCTAGGGTCTACGGTGTTGAGTTGGGGTGGTTAGAGGCACCAGGTTGAGGCCTCAAGCATTCTCGAGACTTCCCTAAGAGGGTTTAGGGGTTGAGGGAGGGCTTAGGGCTTCATCCGGGGCTTGGCTTAGGGCTTTAGGGTTTTAGGGCCCAGGGTTTCGGGCTTCGGGTCCTTCACCACCCCGGCCAGGGTGAGGCTGAAAACCAGGGCCGGCGGCAGCAGGAGCCTGGAAATTCGCTGTCGGCAGCGCTTGCGTTCGGCGTTTGGGGTGTTGGGGTGTTTGGGGTTCAAGTTTTAAGTGCGTCGTGTGCGGCACTCAGGGGGGGTGGGGTAGGGGGGGGGGGGGGGGGGGGGGGGGGGGGCCATGAGGGAAAAATGAAAAGGACTTGGAAAAGAGAGTTGAAAGTGCTTGAAACCGCTGAACTGGAAGCGAATGGAACTAGTGCTCTGGTTGAGATTGTTGCAGGTGGCTGCGACATTAGAGCTATCTTGGCCCGCAGCCGTGTGTTGACTGGTTTCCTGCAGAGCTCCACTTCCATGGCGGAGACTCCTAAATCCTGAGAAGACAAGTCGGTTTTCTTGGGCTTGGCTGCACGCAAGCCACAGAATCTCAGAGATCCACCCTTCCTTCGGTGGGAAGTAACAAAACCTCGCGCATCCTAAGACAGCACAGGAGGACAAAGACAGAGAAGCTTGACGCGCTAAAGAAGCACCTAAATCCGGATTCCTTAAGGTACTCGGAGAAGGCTACGAATGAATTCAAGCACTCAGCTGTCACCACCCCCAGGAACCTTGAGAAATCCGACAAAGCGACAGCTACAGGCCCTAACCCCCGAAGCCCTAAAGACCTTCAAGGCACGGGGCTGGGAGATTAGAGGTCCAGCAAACCTCATTAAACCTTAGACCGCAAACCCTAGCTAGTTTACGGTTCAGGTTTCGGTTCAGGGTTCAGGGTTCAGGGTTCAGGGTTCAGGGTTCAGGGTTCAGGGTTCAGGGTTCAGGGGGGTTCAGGGTTCAGGGGGGTTCAGGGTTCAGGGGGGTTCAGGGTTCAGGGTTCAGGGTTCAGCGTTCAGCGTTCAGCGTTCAGGGTTCAGGGTTCAGGGTTCAGGGTTTAGGGTTTAGGGTTTAGGGTTTAGGGTTTGAGGTTTGCAGGGGGCCCCGGTGCGAACCAAGTCGCCGATCCGGCTGCTGACCTTGCAAGAATTCGGACGCCAGCTGCATCTGAAGGGCCTCCGAGAGGGCTTCGGCTGGAGGGTCCAAGATTCTTTAAGGGTATGGGACTTCGGGCTTTAGGGTTTAGGGTTTAGGGTTTAGGGTTTAGGGTTTAGGGTTTAGGGTTTAGGGTTTAGGGTTTAGGGTTTAGGGTTTAGGGTTTAGGGTTTAGGGTTTAGGGCTTGGGTTTTGTTTTTGGGGGTTTAGGGGTTTAGGGTTTAAGATCTGGCCATGGGCTCACATGGAGGACGTACTGTTGTGGGGTTCCGAACATGGGCGGGGCCTATGCTTCGGGTCAAAGTTGCAGGGTTTTGGGTTCAGGTCGTGCGTGCTCGAGAGAAGCACGTAGCGCCGAGGGTTCGGGTTTAGGGTTTTGGGTTTCGGGTTTAGGGTTTAGGGTTCAGAAGGGGTTCAGCGCTAGTGCGCACCTGCGGATGCACGAGCCCTGCCCCCTTGGTCGTCAGAAGGCCCAACCCCCAAAACCCCCCGGGCTCGAAATCCTCAACCCTGCGCCCTACATGCGAAATCACACCCAGAAACTGAACCCCCCAAACCCTGACCCCAAAACCCCACAGCCTAAAGCCTAAACCCAAAAGCCTAACCCTAACCCTCTACCCTACCTGCTTCTTCTCAAGCAGGACATCGACTACCGGCTTCACTTCGTCTGGAGTCTTCACCTTCGAAGCTTCTGGAGGTTCAGGGCGTTGGGTCAGTGCTTCAGGGGTTTAGGGTTTAGGGGTTTAGGGGTTTAGGGGTTTAGGGGTTTAGGGTTTAGGGTTTAGGGTTTAGGGTTTAGGGTTTAGGGTTTAGGGTTTAGGGTTTAGGGTTTAGGGTTTAGGGTTTAGGGTTTAGGGTTTAGGGTTTAGGGTTTAGGGTTTTGAGGAGGAGGAGGGTTTAGGGCTTTAGGGCTGCATGGGCATCGGGTTTCGAGCTCATCAACTGGCAAAGGCGAGGTTAAACTGAAATAATCTTCTAAGACAAGGACACCCAAGAAGGTGCTTGGTAAACTTCCTGAACCCTAAGCCCCGAGCCCAGGCCCTACTTAAACCCTAAGGCCTCAACCCCAAACCCTAAACCCCGAAGCCTAACCCCCAAAACGCCGAAGCCTGCAGCCCGAACCCTACACTATACCCCAAACCGCAAACCCTAAACCCTAAACCCTAAACCCTACAAAGCCCGAGTGCTGCTCTTCAGCGACTGAGGCCCTTACGGCCATCAGCGCATTGAGCGTGCTGGACACCAGGGCGCACTGGTGGCGAAGTGATGGCAACATGTTCACCATCTGCTCGGACTCCTCGTTTGGGGTTTGGGTTCAGGGTTTTAGGGTTCTACGGTTTTAAAGGTTTAGGGTTTAGGGTTTTAGGGTTTTACGGTTTTAAAGGTTTAGGGTTTAGGGTTTAGGGTTTAGGGTTTAGGGTTTAGGGTTTAGGGTTTAGGGTTTAGGGTTTAGGGTTTGAATACGAAACGCCCTACACGCTTGAATCCCAAAGCGACGTGCGAACTGCTCGAGCACCGGAGGCTTAAGTCGTAAACCCAAGCCAACGACCAGCCTGGGTTTAGGGTTTCGGGGGTTGAGGGTTCAGGGTTCAGGGTTCAGGGTTCAGGGTTCAGGGTTCAGAGTTTAGGGTTTAGGGTTTAGGGTTTGGGGTTTAGGGTTTAGGGTTTAGGGTTAGGATTTTAGGTTTTTAGGGTTTAGGGTTTAACCTAAATCCTAAAACCTGAACCCTGTTGTTCCTGCCCAGGTAGCAACTCCTGGTGAGAGGGGTTTTCCACTTACACGCTGCCCGGCAAGTAGAAAACCCTAAACCCTAAACCCTAAACCCAATTGACAGCCTAAGTCGCCCTCCATGGCAGCTACGTCAACCCGCAGCCTGAACGCCGAACCCTCGCACCCTAAAGGGGCCAGGGATTGGGTTCTTGGGTTTGGGGTTTAGGGTTTAAAATTTAGGGTTTTGGGTTTAGGGTTTAGGGTTTAGGGTTTGAGCTAGGGCACACTTGGGGTTCTGGGCGTTTGGGGTGTTAGGGGTCACAGGGTTCTGGAGCTCTAGGGCGGCGTAAGGCTTCAGTGCTTTGAGGGCTTAAGGTTTAAGGGCAAAAAATCGGTTTAGGGTTTAGGGGTGTCCTTCGTCGGCACGGCCGCGGCCGCGCACAGGACAGCGTCGAAATTCTGCATGGAGGTCTTCCTTGGAAAAGGATGCGAAGCCGCCAAAACCCCAAATCCTTGGGGCAAACCCCACATCCTAAACCCCAATTCTCAAACGCGAAAGCCTAAATGCATAGAAGTTGATGTGGGTCACTCAGAACCAGAAGTTTCGATTGGCTAGCACATGGCTTTTCCTAAGCCCAACACGACTCAACGACTCACATGTTCACACCACTTCAACACGATGGTAAAGTTGCCACTCTGCTCTGCACAAATCTCGGTTCTTCACCTCCCATCCCCCTAAACCCTAAACCCCAAACCCCCATAAACCTAAACCCTAAACCCTAAACCCTAACTCGGAGCCCGACAGCCCATCCATGGTTTGGGGTTTACGGCTTTTGGGAGGGGGGGGGGGTTCGTAAGGGTTGAGGGTTTAGGGTTTAGGGTGACACTAGGTATCCAGACCAAGCTTCAGAATCTCCGCGAAGGCCTGCAACCAGCGTCGGTAGCGCGCCCGTTTTCGGAGGATGCTGAAGTCCTCAGCAGCAACCCCACAGCCCCTAAACGCCCCTAGTCCCTAATCCTGTTCCCTGTTCCCTAAACCCTACACCTTAAACCCTAAACCCTAAACATAAACAGTCCAAAACCACCCAAACTCCTCTGCCCCACACCGCCAAGGTCCTCGAACCACATGTGGCCCAGGTGAAAATCCAAGTCCTTTCCGGCTACAGGGTTTTGAGGCTTCAGCGTCGCAGGGTTTGCGGGAATATTGGGTTTTGGGGGCCTAGAGCTTCGAGCCTGAGGCGTTTAGGGCTTCTTGAAGGCTTGAAGGCTTTTGGGCTTTTTCTGTTTCGTTATTAGGGCTTGGAGGTTTACTGGCTTTTAGAATTTAGGACTTAAGGCTTTAGGGTTGTCGGCTTTGGGGCGTAGCAAATAGGACTGTATGCCCTATGGTAAGGTAAGGTAAGGTAAGGTGTGACCGCACAGCTGCACCCAGGAAGAGGGCTACAACAGCTGACTCTCGACACACAGCAAGGGACGCGCCCACTTGTTGTCTACCGAAATGTGCAGGCAGCGTCATGGCGCAGATCTTTCACTGGCCACCGGGTGCTTGCACAAAGCTGCAGATCAGAAAAAGGCCAGTCGAAGGCACGCGCCCACGTAGTTCTGAGCTTCAAGCCACGTTTCTGGTGCGCCAAACAACGTGCGCAACAAGGCTATACTTAATGCCCTGGTCGGGCAGCCAGGAACCTTATTGCGGAAGGATGCGAAGGCTTCACACGTGCCTGCACACTGGCACAGTAGATGCCCAATGGAGGCCTCCGGTTCCCCACAGGCTGGGCACGTCAAGCGCAGCGGGAATTCTTTGAAACCGAAGAGCGGCAGAGGCCACCTCGCCGTAATGCGGACTAAACACCATGCTCGAAAATTGAACCACATGACATTGGGGGTTTCCAAATGAAAGATTTCCCAGTCCAAACTCAGGGTGTAAAAGCCCAAAGTTATCAGCGAGCACCTAAAGACTGGAATGTCATAAGACAGGCACTCAGCGAGATGTCTCCTGTCGTGTTCCAGCAGTATTGGTCTGATGACTTCTTGGCGATACTTGCGCAGGATCTGTTTGCGTAGGAAAGCGTCAGTTCTAGCTGCGCTGATCTCTTGACATGTGAAGATGCCACAGTCCGACAGCGTTGGCAGCGTTTGGTGCACCGAAGCTTCCTGAATGAGGGCAGGCACCTGGGTGAACCAAGACACACAGGGCGCGGTTTGCAGACATGCTGCAAGTCTCGCTGTGGGGTGATCTGCAGGAAGAAGAACAATTCTGGCACGCATCATCACCAGCTCGAGGAGCAAGCAAGTACCAAGTCTCATGTCCCAGCCACACTGGGCCACAACCAAATGATGTCGAAGTTCGCGCTGATATCTACATCCAAGGATCGCTTTGCCCCAGCGCCACTGCAGCTGATTTAGCTTGCCCAGTACGCCAGGTGCCAGAGCAATGAATGCTGCAACACACATGATCACTGGGTGTAACCTGATGATGACCTGGGAAACCAAGACCGGAACTGAAAAACCTCCAGTTTCAGCCGTGTGAAACAGGTCAACGAACATGGACCAAGCCCTTGCCAGGGTTGCACGCAACAAGGGTTCGAAGGTCAGTTCTTGATCGAACAAAACACCAAGGATGGTTTGTTGCGAAACAACTTCGCAGTCCAAGGAGCAAGGGTCGAGGGGCGGGCTACTCAGAAGCGCCATGGTACATGTCTTATTTTTGCCATAATGAAACTGCGACTTGGCGCGAGTCGCATACCGTGTGCAAGCTGAGGAAGCTGTCTTGTTGACAATACATCTCACTGCTCCGGGAGAGGAGCACGGAACTGTAGTATCATCCACGTACTGCAGCGACTCTACTGGGCAGGAGCCCAGGGCGTCAAGCAACGCACACCTGTCTGCGAAACCAGACAGGGAGGTTAGAGCCTCCTGTATTTCACGAGTTTGCTGGTGTGGCAGCAATGCATCGTCTTGTAACCGCTCTAAGACGGGCTTGAGGATCCCCTGCTGTGGCTTCGACGAGAAATCCAGGCTTGGGTCAGCCAAATCTATTGAAGATACAGCTCTCATGACTTTCTTAGGGAGCCAGGCACACACGCCATTCGGGAGAACACGACGAACCTCATCCCGCAACCCAGAAAGCAGGCAGTTGAAGACATGCACACTGAAGCGACGACCCTGAGCGATGCCGCAACCCAGAATGAAGACCTTTGAGAGTAATCCATGAAGATGGACACACTGCCTGTCTAAAGAAAAAACATCATCAATCAGTAACCAGTCTGTGCCGCAAACTCCGGCTTCTGAGCAAGCCAGTCTCATGTTGTTGAGCCTAGCCACGTCGAAAGCCCACCGCAAATCTAAAATGGCCAGGTGCAGCGGCAGGCCCTGATAATCTCGAACTTGGGCAAGTAACAGAATAGCAAGCAACAGTAGCTGAGTGCCAGAAACCCCCCCAACCTGGCATGGCCCTGCTAGCGTCTCCATCTTGAGTCGGTTACGGTTTAACCACAAACCGTCTACCACATGCGCCATGTCCGCGGTGAGGGAGATGGGGCGCAAGCACTGGATGCGACGGACTGCCATGCTTCCTGATTTCCGTATGTGGGCAAATTGCCTCAACGACCACACAGTGGAAGTGAGCCCCACATGCCTGGAAAGATTGGCCAAGCTCAAAAGCAGTTGTCTGTGCGTTGAATTCCGTGCCTTGAGCAGCGCAAAACAACCATGGAGACACTTCTTGGAAGACTTGCATTTCTGCAAAACTTGCTCCAGTTCAGCCTCGGTGTAGAGATCATCTTGCGCAGCACTTGGAGTTGCTTGAGGAGCATCCGGGTTGTTGGAGTTGAAGCCGCCCAGACGCCGCACTTCCGCAACAGCAGTGTCAACTTGCCTTAGCAATTCACTATCTGCCGCGAAATTATTGTCAACTCGCGCCATCATATCTTCCACAAGGGCCGACAACATGTCCTCTTCCGAGAGACTCTGCCCGGTGTCTTGGTCTAGCAAGCTGATGCGAAAACGACTTTCCTTATTAAAGAAGGAACTCAAAAACTTTTCAGAAGCACCACGATCTTGCTGTCGCAAGCGAGCGTAGGAATTCACGATGCGAAACTGTTCTCGCGCAGATGCTTCCTTGACCGCCGCTTTAAACTCCTCATGTGTTGCGTAGTCGGACGGGGAAAGTTTTTCACCCTCTGGACGACGGGCCCCGTGCACCTTTACTGCCCCAGCTATGTGACCTGCAATGACTACAAGGACATCTCTCGCCCAAGCCGCAGAGTCAAGGATGCCTCGGCGTAGCTTTTTGGAGGTCTTCCCTCCAAACTGTGCAGGTCTTAGGTCCACACACCTCAAGGTATCGGCAATGGCTTCCTCTAAAGACTGCAGGGGCAACGAGATCATGCTCAACGCTTCGTCCCAAACTTCCCCAGAAAGCCAAGAGATCCTACCAAGCGCGCCTGCGTAACAGCAGGAAACTTGCAAACTTACCGAGGTGGATACCAGCCTGTGGTCAGAACCCCCTAAGCGACCAGGATGCACAAAGGCCTGAACATCAAGATGAGCCGGAACCAGGACCAAGTCCAGGATACTGCCATTATCATGTGTTGCGACCGCAGGGTTGATGACACGTAAACCTGCATGACCAATCATTGCCTCAAGCCGCATGTCACTGGCGCTTTGCCGACAGTGTAAACATCAGCACGTGTTGGGGTGATCAAACACGTAAGACAAGTGGGTGTTGGCATCGCCTAAAAGAACGAAATCATGGGCCACATATCGTTCCTTCAGCTGCGCGTACGACTCCAAGATATGTGACCATGTTTTAAGGCCTCCACCTTGGGCGCAATAGAAGCTACAACAAATGAGTCCCTGCTTCTGCGCAGGCTGTCACGCTTGGATACAAATCCAACAAACCCTTTCACAACACAATTCCTCAAAAACCACCACGCTATCGAAGAGGTCCGAATCAATGAAAAAGCCAGAGCAGTTCCAATCAACTGACCTAGCGCCAACCCATGTCATGGGGAACCTTTCAGGCAAAAGCGCACCTGGTGGCAATCTAGAGCCAGGCAGTGCAAGCACATGGAGCCTGTGTTCTTGCATTGCGGCCGAGATGGCCCACAGACGCCAATGCAGCAAAGCATCTGTGCCTAATTGCGATAAGCCCGTGCGCCCTGGATTAAAGCATCCTAAACCAAGAACAGAAATCAAATTGGTAGGCTCTGCTTTTGTGGCTCCCGCAGAGGACGAATGCGCACCCGCGTAGGGTGTTATGATACGTTCACTGTGCTCAGAGCTAGCACGAAGCATTGAAGCAGCATCCCTTTTTAGGAAATTATACAAACAACCAGCAAGTAGGAAAAGTTGTCTTGCTGCGTCAACAGCCACCGTCTTGCTGCCTGCTCGAATGATGTCAGGAGCAGCTTCCAGTAAAGCCTGTACGTCTTTGAAGGCTGCAAGCCTCTCAAGGCGACGGGGACCTGTTTGTAGCCACTGAAGCAGGTGGCTGCGCAAGAGAGTGTCCATGAGGGCAGCTACCCTGGTCTTTACAATGATCCCTCGGGCATGAAGCTGAAAGCGAAAAAAGAAAGAAAGGAAGGCAAAGAAGAGAACAAGAGAGAGAGGAGAAAGAAAAAAAAAGAAAGGAAAGAAGAGACAAGAAGAGAAAAGAAAAGCAAGAAAAGAAGAGAACAACAGGCGCAACGACCATCGAATCAAGTGGCCAGAGCAATCTTTCAAGCGACTTTGTTGCAGCATGCACAACACAAGTACAATACGCATAGTCTTCCAAACAGCATCTTGTTGCTTCTTACCGCAAAGCAGTGTCAAGATTTCCCTCTTTAGTGTACGTAATGCACATGCAAGCTAATTGAATGGCTTGTGTCTCCATCATACATAAAGCATGACCAGCCAAGGTACAAATTAACAGGCACACCGTTGCAACAAGTGCGCGAGCGATATTTCACAAAACGAATTAGAGCCGCTCATCGTGCCACCACATTCGCCCTTTTGAGAATGAGGGAACGGATGTCAAGACGTCCTGCTGCCTGCTTTGCGTGAGTCTTCTTCGAAGCGGCAGGCGCGCTGCTGGTGACTTTGATGGCGGGGCCGAAGTAGGCCAGCATTTTTTTCAATGTGAGCCTCAACGGCACCTCTGCGACCCTTGGCGCACAAAGTCTTGAGCCGGAGGTTTGCCTGCAATGTGATTTTCTGTTCGCCAGGAGCCGGCTTGAAAATCACAATCAATGCAGGTTGAGCTGTGTCACCAGCTACTGTTGCACTGGGATACTGGCGTGGGACAGGCACATCATCACTTTTGGACTGCGCAACGATGCTGACCCCAAGTGACTCAACTAGGTCATGAAAGGCGCGGGCACTGCAGATTTGCGGGTTGAACGTCACACACAGGGAGGTACGATAGTCGGCGCACACTTCCCTGACCTTGGCTTTCCAATCCTCAAGGGCACCATCAAAGGCGCGCACGTCTTCAAACTTGAGCGGCAAGTCGACAGCAGGCGTGTCTTCCACAGTGTCTTCTTGTGAGTCAGGCTCACGGGGACCGTTTGAGACTAGATATTCATGGCAGCTTTCTGGTATTTGAAGCATTTTTTCGAGGGAGGCAACTTTGAGACCCGAGGGTTTAGGGTCTGGGCTTTTAGGGTTTATGGTTTAAGGTTTTGGGGGGCTTAGTCAACCATACACCCAGCACCCAAAACCTTAAACCTATCACCCTCAACCCTCAACCCTAAACCCTAAACCCTAAACCCTGAACCCAAACCCTGAACCCTGAACCCTGAACCCCTCAACCCTAATCAACCCTAAACCCTGCACCCTTCAACCCCATACGCTAAACCCTGAGCCCTTCAACCCTTTTTGCCGTTGCGGCTGCGAGGCGGGGTCTATCCTTCGGGATGTTCGGGATTCTCTGTGCTCAGGTTTTCCAGATGTTGGGTTCTGGTGTTTAGGGTTCAGGGTTTTGGGTATAGGGTATAGGGTAAAGGGTTTAGGGTATAGGGTTTCGGGTTTAGGGTTTAGGGTTTAGGGTTTAGGGACGCAGGGTTTTGGGGACTTCGGGCCGAGGGGCTCGACAGGCGGCTGGGTGCTCCCAACAAAACTCAGATGTCCTTCATCCATTGCGTCAACTCGCCGAAGAACCCTGTGCTTGGGGACCATAAACCCTAAACCCTAAACCCCCTAAACCCTAAACCCTAAACCCAAAACAAAACCTAAACCCTAACCCTAAACCCTAAACCTTGGTGCTTGCGGAACCCCTGAACCCTTAACCCTAAACCCTCAACCTTAAACCCTAAACCTTGGCGCTGACAGGCTTGTCAAAACAGGACTCCCCTTGGCAGCCTGTCGAGCATCGGTCCACCCCGACAGGCTCATAGGTACAGGGTTTAGGGTTTGGGGTTTACATCCCAAAACCTGAGCCCTAAACCTAACCCTCTTCCCGGAAAGCTTGCCCTAGACCCCCAAACTAAACCCTGAAACCCCCTCAAACCCTACACAATCCCTAAACCCTAAACCCCAAACCCTAGACCCTAAACCCTAAACCCTAAACCCTAAGCCCTAAGCCCTAAACCCAAAACCCAAAACCCAAAACCCTGAACCCTGAACCCTGAACCCTGAACCCTAAACCCTAAACCCTAAACCCTAAACCCTAAACCCTAAACCCTAAACCCTAAACCCTAAACCCTAAACCCTAAACCCTAAACCCTAAACCCTAAACCCTAAACCCTAAACCCTATCCTTCATGAGGATGGTCATCTCGCCCATCGCCGCCTGGGCCTTGCCTCGACAGAGCTCCGAACTCGTCAGCGGGAGGGACTCGAGGATCATCGCCACCGCCGACCTCGAAGAAGTCCGACTGTTCTGTTTGGGTTTGGGGTTGAGAGTTGAGGGTTGAGGGTTGAGGGTTGAGGGTTGAGGGTTGAGGGTTCAGGGTTGAGGGTTGAGGGTGGGGGGGGAGGGGTTTCAGGGTTTAGGTTTAGGCTTTAGGGGTGTAGGGTTGAAAGCGTAGGAGGCTTGGGAGGCTTTGGATGTAGGAGTACAGCTTCCCGCGGCCCAAGGGCATCAGGATTTCGGGCTCAAGTTGCCTTGCAATCATGCTGTCATTTCATGATGTGTTGGGGTCGTGCAGCGCCACCAAGACTGAAACAACAACTGAACCAAAGCCCCAAACTCCAGATCCTTCCAAAGCCAGCAAGCCGTCAGAACACCTGAGCCTCTGAACCACGACAGCCTCAAACTCCTACAACCCCAAGAACCCGTAAATCCCTGAATCCCCAACCCCCTAAATCCCAAAAATCCCAAAACACCCCGAAACCCTAAACCCTAAACCCTAAACCCCAAACCCTAAACCCTAAACCCTAAACCCTAAACCCTAAACCCTAAACCCCAATTCCAAGAGGCCCAGTCTCCCGCAGAATCCTCTGGGCCTGGCCAGAGGCAGCCGTAAGCTTCAGGGCCTACCATGGAAACCAGGGTTTTAGGGTTTGGGGTTTGGGGTTTAGGGTTTTAAACCAGGGTTTTTGGGTTTTGGGTTTAGGGTTAAGGGTTAAGGGTTAAGGGTTAAGGGTTTAGGGTTTAGGGTTTAGGGTTTAGGGTTTAGGGTTTAGGGCGTGCCAAACGGAAGCGCGCTTTGGGAGCGAGCGGAAGTCTGCAGACCTACCCACCCCAAGACCGCCCACTTACAACTCTCAAGGAGTTAAAACCTTTTATTTTTTTACAAAGCATCACATGAGTCAGCACTCACGCCCTTTTGGGGACCTCCACAAGGTGCGTGGACCAGGCGCAAAGCTGCAGCAGACGGAAACGAGGCAGGGTCAGCGAAGACAGCTTGGGTTGGCCAGGAACAGACAAAGGCAGCGAGGCTTGGTTGGCGCGAAGGGGCTAAAGCCAGGGAGGCAACACACAGTGAACAGCTTGGGTTGGGCAGAGCGCCACGGAAACAGGGCTGGTGTGGACCAGGCACAAACTGGTGTGCGGACAGCTTGGCTTGGCGCGAAGGGGGTAAGGTGGGGTGCCGGGCCAGGTCAGGTCAGGTTGGGGAGCTCGCTGCGTGGGCCAGGCGCAAACGGAAACGAGGCATGAGGAGGGATAGGCCAGGAACAGACAAAGGCAGCGAGGTTTGGTTGGCGGTGGGAAAACCCGAGCAGGGCCAGTCAAGGCCAGGGCCAGGGAGCCAGAGCAGGAGCAGGCCAGGGCCAGGGTTAGGGTCAGGGAAACGGGGCCAAGAAAGAGTCACGGGCGGGGTTTTGGGTACTATAATATAATACAGTGACAACTGCTGACTCGGCCTGTGCCTGCCTGGAGGGTAAGCCAGCCTGGAGGCCAGCTCGGTCGCCCGCCTGGGGCTCCCTCGCAGGGTCTCACTGAGCGCTCGACCAGCGCCCGCCTACCCCAAAAGACAAGAGAGTGGGGTGGCGGGCGGGTTTAGGGTTTAGGGGTGTAGAACCCTGAACCTAAGCCCTAAGTCCTAAATCGGCGAAACCCAATGAGGGTCCGCAGCAGAGGGGTGTGGTCCTTAGGGTCTTACTAGTAGGGCTTATGTGCTTAGGGTTTAGGGTTTAGGGTTAGGGTGGGGTTTACGCATCAGAAGGATCTGGCCTGGGCCGTAGATGTTAGAGGCCTGGGCAGCAGAAAGCAGAGCACCACGGCTAGGGAGGAGATGGAGACAATGATGAAGTAGTTCGTGGCCTGCTGGCTGGTTTATGGTTTATGGCTTAGGGTCTGGGGTTCAGGTTCAGGGGTTTAGTGCTTTAAGGCTTAGGGGGGTTTAGCACTTTAGGGTGTGTGTGTGTAGGCGTCAGAATACAACGGCGGACAAGCTTGATCGCCAACCCGAATTGCGCTCTTCAGGAGGGCTTTTGGAGACTCTTGGCGTTTACATGCCCACCGACACCTCGTCACCCGTCACCCGTCACCCGTCACCCTAAACCCTAAATACCCTAAACCCTAAACCCTAAACCCTAAACCCTAAACCCTCCCCAACTCCCTCAACAAGCCCTTGAAGCCCAGCACGGGGCCCGGCCAGCGATGGCTGGAGGTCGAAGGCCCCGGTGCTCGGATCAAGGAAGCTCATGGCCAGGTAGATGTGGGTGGAGATGCTGAAGAGCCGGACGTTCGTGTTGAAGCCGAAGAACCTGTTGCCCTAAACCCTAAACCCTAAACCCTAAACCCGAAATCCTAAACCCTAAACCCTAAAGGGTAGGAATGGGGTTTAGGATTTAGGGTTGTCTTGTGAGAGGATTTATAAGGGCAACACTGTAGAACAAGAAGGGCCACTCTTTGTCCAAGCTGGGGGGCAACATGATGGCCATGAAGACGATGGTGTCAGCCAGGACAACCGCTGCCTTGAAGGAACTTAGGGTTTTAGGGTTCTTTAGGGTTTTGGGGTTTTGGGGTTTTGGGGTTTTGGGGTTTTAGGGTTTTAGGGTTTTAGGGTTTAGGGGTTGAGTTTTAGGGTTTTGGGGTTTGGGGTTTTGGGGTTTTTGGGGTTTGGGGTTTTGGGGTTTTGGGGTTGAGTTTTAGGGTTTTGGGGTTTTGGGGTTTTGGGGTTTTGGGGTTTTGGGGGTCTGGGGGTTTGGGGGTTTGGGGGTTTGGGGGTTTGGGGGTTTGGGGGTTTGGGGGTTTGGGGGTTTCGGGTTGGGGGCTCAGGGTTGTTGGCTCAGGGTGGGCCTACGGAAACCCCAGACTCCAATTCGCAAAACAACCCGCCCCCAACCGAAAACAACAGCTCGCGAAGGCTTTGAAGCTTCGGGGCACAGCCCGGCCCACCCCCCACCCCCCCTCCCCTGAAAAGGAAGTAGAATTAAGGGACCCGGTTTTTGGGCTTAGGTTCAGGGATTTGGCATCCGATGACCTAGGGTTTAGGGTCTAAGGGTTAAGGGTTAAGGGTTAAGGGTTTAGGGTTTAGGGTTTAGGGTTTAGGGTTTAGGGTTTAGGGTTTAGGCTTTAGGCTTTAGGCTTTAGGCTTTAGGCTTTAGGCTTTAGGCTTTAGGCTTTAGGCTTTAGGGTTTAGGGTTTAGGGTTTAGGGTTTAGGGTTTAGGGTTTAGGGTTTAGGGTTGGGGTCCCGGGGCCTTGGCGACTTCGGCCTCGGTCATCAGGTCAGTGTTGAGGTTGAGCCTCACGCGTGGGGGTTCTCTCTCTCTCTCTCTGTCTCTCTCTCTCTCTCTCTCTCTCTCTCGCTCTCTCTCGCTCTCTCTCTCTCGCTCTCTCTCGTTCTCTCTCTCTTTCTCTTGTATTTCTTTTTTGGGGTTTGGGGTTTCGGGTTTGGGGTTTAGGGTTAAAGACCCACAACTAGCTGGGAACATTTGGGGGGGGGGGGGGTTAGGCTTAGGGCTTCGGGCTTGGGGTTTGGGGTTAGGGAACAACACATTCTTGGCATATGGCTCCGTAGGCCAAGAGCAGCTTTGCGCATGCCCGCTGCCCTGCAACACGTGCAAAACCAACACGAGCTCAAACCAAAGCTGCAAATTGCAATGGGTAAACCCTCCTCCGGATCAGCAGCCGCCGGAGTCAATCCGACGCTCGGTTTAGGATTAAGGGTTGCCCGGGGCAAGGCAACAAAAGAGGCAAGGAGCATGCAGCCCTGATAACTGAGATCCGCATTGGTGTTGCACAGCGGAAGCCACCTGCTCAGAGTTTGCAGCCACGTACGGGTCGGGTGATCGAAATTCCTCTAGCGGCTGGCGGGTCGGGTTTCGAAACTAGGGTTGACTGGGGTATGGGGCAGGTTTGGGCACCGTATAAACATTGAGTTGTTTTGGCTTTAACAGAGGATTATATGGGGGATTAAAGGCCATTAAGGGTAGCAAAAACTCAAAAAGTTATGTTCAAACCTACCCCCTTAAACCCGAAACCCGAAACCCGAAACCCTAAACCCTAAACCCTTTAGGCTGCCTTGAGGTGATCACCGTGTCGTTGGTGGCAGTGCTGTTGAACTCTAAGCGGTTGGCAAAGGCTCCACCTTCCGGGGTGTGGGGTGCTTAGACCAGGTTTAGGGCTTAGGGCTTAGGGTTTAGGGTTTAGGGTTTAGGGTTTAGGGTTTAGGGTTTAGGGTTTAGGGTTTAGGGTTTAGGGTTTAGGGTTTAGGGTTGACGGACCCTGCGGCACACATTCCTGTTTGATCCTGGGCACCTGCCATCCAGTGGCCGGCGTTGTTGAGCAGCAACATGTTCCTTTGGGTTTAGGGTTTAGGGTTTAGGGTTTAGGGTTTAGGGTTTAGGGTTTAGGGTTTAGGGTTTAGGGTTTAGGGTTTAGGGTTTAGGGTTTAGGGTTTACGGTTTAGGATTTAGGGTTTAGGGTTTAGGGTTTAGGGTTTAGGGTTCAGGGTTTAGGGGTTCGGGCTTCGGGCTTCGGGTTTAGGGTTTAGATGTTCAGGCTCCAGGGTTTAGGCTTTTGGGGTGTCGGGCTTGGGGCAGGCCCCGAAGCCCTGATCCGGCATGGGCTTAGGCCTTACGGCGCTTGGTGCTTGGGGGCAGGCGGCAAAGTGCGCTTGTGTCTGAAGAGCCACTTAAACCCAAGGCCTTCAAACTTCACCCACTACCCACGTCCCGGAGAATCGCTAAGGCTCGCCACATCGGGTTGATGAAGGGTTGAGGGCTAAGGGGTTCGAGGGCTTTTTCTCCGAACCCTCAACCCTGAAACCTAAACAGATCAGCCGAGCTACAGCGTGGCCAGCGCAGTGCCCAGCCAACCCTCCAGGGTGTACCTGAGCTTTAAAGTTTGGGGGTTGGGGTTGGAGGTTTTAGAAGTTTAGGGTTTAGGGGTCTATATGTGCCCGCGTTCCGCTTAACGACCCCCCCCCAATGGTAATCCCCCCCCCCCCCATGGCATCCCCGCCCAACCCTGCCTGCTAACCCTAAAAACACCACCACAAGCCCTAAAACCAAAACTCACCTATGAACGACAGTAGGGAGAAGGGTAAACCCGAAACCTTAGCCGCTTTATCCCTGAACCCTGAACCGTAAACTCAGCACGAACCACAGGGGGGAAAGGGGAAACCGTAAACCTACCATTACCCCAAACCTTGAACCCTGATTAAACTCTAAACCCACAATGAACCAATGGACCAGAGTGAAAAATCCTGAACGCCGGAGGGGGGGGGAGGCGGGGGGGGAGAGGGAGGGGGGGGAAGGGCCCTAAGCCCCCAAAACTGCTGAACCCCTAACTCCCAAACCCCCAAAACCCTAAACCCTAAACCCGAAACCCTAAACCCAAAACCGGAAACCCTCATACCCTCAAAATTTCCAGGCAAAGGCTCCGCACGCTAACACCCAGTGTCGGCCCCACGCAGAAGAGGAATTGCAGGAGCCTTTTGCTGGCCCCGGAATCTGAGGGTTTAGGGTTTAGGGTTTAGGGTTTAGGGTTTAGGGTTTAGGGTTTAGGGTTTAGGGTTTAGGGTTTAGGGTTTAGGGTTTAGGGTTTAGGTTTAGGGGTTAGGGTTTAGGGTTTAGGGTTTTGGGTTTAGGGTTTAGGGTTTAGGGTTTAGGGTTTAGGGTTTAGGGTTTAAAGTTTAGGGTTTAGGGTTTAGGGTTTAGGGTTTAGGGTTTAGGGTTTAGGGTTTAGGGTTTAGGGTTTAGGGTTTAGGGCTAGGGCTTATGGCTTAGGGTTCCCCTCACCCAAACCCCTAACGTCCTCAAGTTCTTACCCGCAAAACTCGCCGAGTCACAAACCCTAAACCCTTAGAAACCCTAAACCCTTGACCCTAAACTCTAAACCTTTGGGGTGGTGTCCACGAGCCGAAGCCAAAATCAACCAGACCTCGCACGAACCGCTGTTTCCTTGGGTTCAAGGGCGAACAACTTTCTCTTAGGGGTTAGGGTTTGCGTTGCGTCTGCGAACACCTCAGACTGCAAATGCTCAACCTGGGAGTTCGTTTAGGGTTTAGGGTTTAGGGTTTAGGGTTTAGGGTTTAGGGTTTAGGGTTTAGGGTTTAGGGTTTAGGGTTTAAGGTTTAGGGTTTAGAGTTTAGGGTTTAGGGTTTAGGGTTTAGGGTTTAGGGTTTGGGGTTTGGGGTTTGGGGTTTGGGGTTTAGGGTTTAGGGTTTAGGGTTTAAGGTTTAGGGTTTACGGTTTAGGGTTTAGAGTTTAGGGTTTGGGGTTGAGGGTTGAGGGTTTAGGGTTTAGGGTGTAATGCAGGACTGGTGCTGACTCGGCATGACCTTGCCTGGAGGGCGGGCAAAGGTGAGTGGGGTGGCGGGCGGGTTTCGGATTTTGGGTTTGGGGCTTAGGGCTTAGGGCTTAGGGCTTAGGGCTTGGGGCTTGGGGTTTAGGGTTTAGGGTTTAGGGTTTAGGGTTTAGGGTTTAGGGTTTAGGGTTTAGGGTTTAGGGTTTAGGGTTTAGGGTTTAGGGTTTAGGGTTTAGGGTCCTTCTTCTCACCTGCACTCCAAGAGGCATGGAACCCCAGAAGTCCAGGAATACGCGCTGCAAGCTTCCGATCTCTTGCAGCTTCTGCGCCTTAGGGTTTAGGGTTTAGGGTTTAGGGTTTAGGGTTTAGGGTTTAGGGTTTAGGGTTTAGGGTTTAGGGTTTAGGGTTTAGGGTTTAGGGTTTCGGGTTTAGGGTTTAGGGTTTAGGGTTTGGGGTTTAGGGCTTAGGGTTTAGGGCTTAGGGTTTCGGGGGTTGGGGAGTCAGCGCTTCGGGTTTCGAGGTTTCAAGGTGTCAGGGCGTCAGGGCTTGTAAGGCTCAAGGGTTTCGGAGTTTACGGGCCTAGGTCTTTATTAGTCCTTAAGGATCATTGCCTTTCAAAAGAAAAGGCTGCTATCTTTTGTCACCCACCGTCTTGCGGCAAAAAAAGTGAGATTTACCTACCAACTGGTGGTTTTACAGAGGAGATGTAAGTTTTTGCGTTTGGACTCCAATCCTTGCTTCCCACAGGAAACACCCGCGCAGTCAAGGGGAAAAAATGGACCAAGAACAAATATCAGCTCCCTAAACCCTAAACCCTAAACCCTAAACCCGAAACCCTAAACCCTAAACCCTAAACCCTAAGGCCTGCCCGTACAGATGTGAAGCTTGCGGCATCTGCGCAGTGGCTGGAGAGCCATGAACCATCTAATGAAACACTCCCTGGAACTCAAACTTGGGATGTTCCCACTTATACTAACAGGCCTCAATAGTGAATATCATAAGGGGGTACTGTAATCTCTGCTAAGGACTGTTAGTACAAGGGGGAAAATCCCAACCCAAAACCCTACAGGCCCTTGCCTAGACCCAAGAGTGGCATAGGAAGCAAAAGGGTCCCTGTTTTTGGTTCAAATGGAGCCCAAGCCCTAAAAAACGGGAACAAAAGGGCTTGCTCTGGGTAGTAGCCCTAAACCCTAAAACCCTAAAACCCTAAAACCCTAAAACCCTAAAACCCTAAAACCCGAAAACCCGAAAACCCTAAAACCCTAAAACCCTAAAACCCTAAAACCCTAAAACCCTAAAACCCTAAAACCCTAAAACCCTAAAACCCTAAAACCCTAAACCCTAAACCCTAAACCCCCTGCAGCCAAAGAGCCGCAGGCCAGATGATGATGGGGAGGGAGAGGAGCACCGTCCACCAACCGACACGGAGCGCCGCCTCCACGGAGGGCTGGCCCTAAACCCTAAACCCTAGACCCTAAACCCTAAACCCTATGCGTAGTGAGCTGCAGCCCTTAAGGCGCCTTGCCGGCGTGCGTCCTTACCCCACCGCACACTCTACTTGTGAGTGTTGGGGCGGGCAAGGGGTGGGCACATTATATTGACCAGGTATAAGGTCGATTCAGAGGTTATGACGCCCAAACTCACGCTTGCTGCGTGACTTCGTGGAAGGTGGCCGGGACTCAAGAAGCTTGCAGCTGCAGGGCCTGGTGATGGAGCATTCTTGGGGGTTGCCGGGAACTGGGGGGGCTGCCTGGACCAAAGGCACGAGATGCTATGGGGGTGGTCTGGACTCTGGGGCGGCTTGGCCATGGGTGGTGTCACTTAGGTTGCTTGGTGGTTGCTGGTCTTGGGCGGCACGGGGCATGCTAGGGCTGTGGGCGGCGCAAGAGGCGTGGCAGCTACAGCAGCGTGCTATTAACAGGGATGGCTGGGCGCCTAACAGTCGGTGCGGTGGCTCAAGCCCGACGGCCTAGTCGACAGGTTGGGGGGAGCTGCAGCGGGGAAGCACTCCATCCCTGCGTGTTGGAGTGGGAGGAGTGCGTAGTCAGCTGCAGCCCTTAAGGCGCCTTGCCGGCGTGCGTCCTTACCCCACCGCACACTCTACTTGTGAGTGTTGGGGCGGGCAAGGGGTGGGCACATTATATTGACCAGGTATAAGGTCGATTCAGACCCTAAACCCTAGACCCTAAACCCTAGACCCTAGACAACTGAACGCCATAAAGGTGGGTTGGCATCTTGATTCGGAGAGCGGGTTGCTTTGCTAGGGTAGTAAGCTTAGGGTTTAGGGTTTAGGGATCGGGGTTTAGGGTTTAGGGTCTGGGGGTTAGGGTTTAGGGTTTAGGGTTTAGGGTGTAGGGTTTAGGGTTTAGGGTTTAGGGTTTAGGGTTTAGAGTTTAGGGTTTAGGGTTTGGGGTTCAGGGTTTAGGGGACCCTTTGCACTCTGACCCTCAGCCCTCCACCTCGACGTCCCCTTGCAGCTTATCCCCGGCGCGCAGATCCGAGTTCCGGCCCTTGACGTAGGAGTCTAAGGCACTCAGCGCCTCTGGGATGTGTTGGGTGTAGGGCTTTAGTGGGTTTGGGTTTAGGGTTTAGGGTTTAGGGTTTAGGCTTTAGGCTTTAGGCTTTAGGCTTTAGGCTTTAGGCTTTAGGCTTTAGGCTTTAGGCTTTAGGGTTTAGGGTTTAGGGTTTAGGGTTTAGGGTTTAGGGTTTAGGGTTTAGGGTTTAGAGTTTAGGGTTTAGGGTTTAGGGTTTAGGGTTTAGGGTTTAGGGTTTAGGGTTTAGGGTTTAGGGTGTAGGGTGTAGGGTGTAGGGTGTAGGGTTTAGGCTTAGGGTTTAGGTTTAGGGTTTAGTTTAGGGTTTAGGGTAGGGCTTTGGGGCTTAGAGGCTTGATGCAGTTCCTGGTGCTACAGCCGCAGCCCTTCATGGCACCCTTTCTTCAAGATTGCAAGAATTATAGTACTACTCGTATGGAGTTACGAAAATAAAGGTGGGCTTAGGCTCGGTTTAGGATATAACCCCCAAGGGAGATTCCCTTGTCATAAGGAACCCAATAAGGTACCCCGAATTTCGGAACCCCCCATCTTGAATAGCAAGACGTTCAAAAGCCCCATCATCATCGTAGTAAAAGAGTTTGTCATAGTCATGCTGAAACTGCAAAAGCAAGCAGCAGCAAAAGTCCTCACAAACAATCCCAGCCCTTCGGCCTCGCGTTGGTTGATCTTTGCAAAGGGCGTGTGGAAATTCCCAGACCCTACGCCCCAAACCCTAAATCCCTAAAGACCTGAACCTCAAGCCCTAAGCCCACTAAAGCCCTAAACCCTAAACCCTAAACCCTAAACCCCAAACCCTAAACCCTAAACCCTAAACCCTAAACCCTAAACCCCAAACCCTAAGCTTAGCGCTTCAGAGTTTGGAGGTGCCAGGCCTGGCCCAGCTCAAGAACCTGCGCTTCTGGCTCGGCGGCCTGGGTGTTGGGTGGGGCTCAGAAATCAGTTTGGGTTTAGGGTTTAGGGTTTAGGGTTTTGGGTTTAGGGTTTTGGGTTTAGGGTTTAGGGTTTAGGGTTTAGGGTTTAGGGTTTAGGGTTTAGGGTATGGAGGTTTCAGTTAGGGGTTTCAGGGTGGTCTTTGAGGGCTTCAGGAGTTTAGGAGTTTTGGGGCTTGGGAATCTAGATTCTAGGGGGGCAGCCATGAGCGACTCCGAGGGGATCATCATGAAAGTGGCAGAGCTGCGCAAACTTTCCACCAACACTGCGGGATTAGGGTTTAGGGTTTAGGGTTTAGGGTTTAGGGTTTAGGGTTTAGGGTTTAGGGTATGTGACCTCACTTGCTGCTTGGCAGGGCTGCGTGTAAGATTGGTTCGCGATGGTCCATAATGCTGCCGAGGTGACAGCTGCAAGCATGGAGCCTGAAAAGGCCCCAAACCCTAAACCCTAAACTCTGAACGATAAACCCTGAACCCTGAACCCTGAACTTCAAACCCTAAACCCTAAACCCTGAACCCTGAACCCTAAACCCTAAACCCAAATTGCCCGCCTGGATGATCTCAAGGGCTGTCGCTGTGGGCGGATCGGCATCGACCGGCTTCCCCTACTTTCAGGCTTCGGGAGAGGCTTTGAGCTTTGAGGCTTTGAGGGTTTAGGGTTTAGGGTTTAGGGTTTGGGGTTTGGGGTTTTGGGGTTTGGGGTTTGGGGATTAGGGTTTGGGGTTCGGGGTCAGGGGCTTTCGGTGTGGGGCTAAGGACTTGGCATTTACTAGTAGGATGGGTTCAGAATCGCGTCAACGCACAAAGGGCTCGCTAAAGGTCAGTGGGAGCCACAATAACAACAATCATAGGTGTCATATTTCCTTTTGGGCTCATCGGTTTCTCTATATAAATGAGTCTATGCAAACGGCAGTACTTCATTTTCTTAAGGAGGTTGTCGCTAGAAATTTAGGCTCTGCAGAGACATCCATCGCGAGGAACCTCCACTGGGACCCACCCCCAACCTAAACCCTAACCCTCAAAAAGGGTTTAGGGTTACAAGGCTTAGGGTTTAGGGTTTAGGGTTTAGGGTTTAGGGTTTAGGGTTTAGGGTTTACGGTTTAGGGTTTAGGGTTTAGGGTTTAAGGTTCAGGGTTTAGAGTTTAGGGTTTAGGGTTTAGGGAGTAGGGGCCACGGGTTTTGACCCTCAGGAGCTCCGGAGAGCTCTCTAAGCTTGGACCAGTCTCGGCGCCTCATCCTCCGCCTGCTCCTCTTCGGCCACCTCTTCTGGGCTTGCTTCGTCCTCGACGGCGAGGGTGTTCCTTGAGGAAGAGCATGGCACGACCCCCCAAAGCCTAAACCTTCGCCCTACACCCTACACCCTAAACCCTAAACCCTAAACCCTAAAATCTAAACCCCAAACCCCGAACCCCAACCCAAGCCCTGAACCCTAAACCCCAAACCCCAAACCCTAGACCTTCACGCTGCCCGTACCCAGAGGGCCCATTTTCTAGAATTCGGCACCCCAACAACCCTACTTAGCATGGCTTTTTGGTACCCTATTTCATTATAGTGCAAAACACATGGACCCTCTGGGCAATAAGCCCTATTTGGTATGGTTGTTGGGTATCCTAAACGCTAAACCCTAAACCCTAAACCCTGAACCCTGAACCCTGAACCCTGAACCCTAAACCCTAAGCCCTAAACCTAAACCCTAAACCCAAACAGAGGGATAGGGGCCCAGGGTTTTGTCTTCAGTCCGCCCAGCTCCGAGGTCTAGGGTCTAGGGTTGAGGGTTGAGGGCTGCAGGTTGAGGGTTGAGGGTTGAGGGCTGCAGGTTGAGGGTTGAGGGTTGAGGGTTGAGGGTTGAGGGTTGAGGGTTGAGGGTTGAGGGTTGAGGGTTGAGGGTTTAGGGTTTAGGGTTTAGGGTTTAGGGTTTAGGGTTTAGGGTTTAGGGTGCAAACCTTTACACCTCAAGCCCGATAACAAATCCTCGTCATTGTCCCTACTGGCCGCTGAACTTTGAGCCCTGGCAAGACCCAAACGTTCCAACCCCCGAGCCCTAACCTGAAACCCCCCCCAAAGCCCCCCCCCCCCTTCCCAACCTCCTTCAAAGAGTTGAAAGAAGCCCTGAACCCTAAACCCCCTCAGCTCCCCTAAACTCTAAACCCGAAAAACCCTAAACCCTAAACCCTAAACCCTAAACCCTCTGAGAAGCCGGGGGCGCAAGCGCAAAGGCGGCTCGGAGTTGGAGCGCACCACCGGCCCGGGGAGCTGAGGGACCGAGAAGAGCGGGGGCAGCCTCGGGACCTCGGCTCCGTTTTGGGGTTTAGGGTTTAGGGTTTAGGGTTTAGGGTTTAGGGTTTAGGGTTTAGGGTTTAGGGTTTAGGGTTTAGGGTTTAGGGTTTCGGGCTGAGGGTTTAGGGTTTTGGTTTAGGGCTAAGGACTAGGGCTTAGGGCTTCGGGTTGTTTAAGGTTGAGGGTCCGGGTGGTTGGGTGGATGGGGCTTTGCGAAGGTGATTCATCCTGCGAGTGGGCTGGGCCATTGCAGCTTCTTGGAGGCGTTTGGGGTCTTAGGGTTTAGGGTTTAGGGTTTAGGGTTTAGGGTTTAGGGTATGTAGGCACGTGTTTTCGGGCATTGATAGAAAACGACACGTTGCTCACTGCTTCTTGGGGCTTTGCGACACGTTGCTTGCACTAGTTCCGGAGCTCTGCAATCGCATACTACACATGGCGTACGGCTGCCATTTTAGGCTTTAGCCTTTAGGGCTTGTGCGTTTAGGGCTGAAGTACTCCACGCCATTTTAGGGATTCGGCCTGGGTGAGGGACTGTAAGGCTCGCGGTGTCCAGGCACCATATTATGCAAGAAGCTACTGGCTGCTTTTAGTAAAGCCCCCCCAAAACGCCCAAACCCTCAACCCTAGCGCTAGCCCCTATACTAAACCCTAAGCCCAAGCCCCCTCAAAAAATAAGCAGAAATGTATTTTGAGTCTTTTTGTAAGCCCCACCAAACCCAAAACCCTAAACCCCAAACCCTAAACCCTAAACCCGAGACAAAACCACAACCTAAAATACAAACAACCGGGCCCAGCAGCCGGGTCTAGTGCAACCCGCTCATTCTCCACCTCCAACTCACAGCATGCGGCAAGGGGTTAGGGTGTGTAGGGTTTGGCGTTTAGGGGTTTGGGGTTTAGGGTTTAGGGTTTGGGGTTTAGGGTTTGGGGTTTAGGGTGTAGGGTTTCTGGCTAATGAGGTTTAGGGCTTTGGGCTTAGGGCTTTGGAGGCTTGAGCTGACCCCCTAAACCCTAAACCCTAAACCCTAAACCCTAAACCCTAAACCCTAAACCCTAAACCCTAGGCCTGACAGAAAAGCCCCCAAACCAAATGGCCGACTCATACGTGCCGGCAAAAGCAACACCCTAAAACCCAAACCCTCCCAACCCTGCAAAAACCCTACAAAACCCTTCTCAACCCTGTAAACCCCATAAACCTTGCAAGCCCTGAAAGCCCCTAAACCCTAAACCCTAAACCCTAAACCCTAAACCCTAAACCCTAAACCCCAAACTGTAAACCCCTTAAACCCTATACCACCTCTAATCTCAGCACTTTGACGCCCCTTCCGAGCTGGATTGGATAAGGGTTTAGGGTTTAGGGTTTGGGGTTTAGGTTTGGGGTTTAGGGTTTTAGGGTTCAGGGTATGTTTAGGGTTTTAGGGTTTTAGAGTTTTAGGGTTTTAGGGTTTTAGGGTTTTAGGGTTTTAGGGTTTTAGGGGGTTAGGGTTTTAGGGTTTCAGGGTTTTAGGGTATTAGGGTTTTAGGGTATTAGGGTTTTAGGGTTTTAGGGTTTTAGGGTCTTAGGGTCTTAGGGTTTTAGGGTTTTAGGGTTTTAGGGTTTTAGGGTTTTAGGGTTTTAGGGTTTTAGGGTTTTAGGGCTCGCTTTTCAGGGGGCCTCATCGTCCACTCCCAGATCATCCAGGTCCGCCGACATGCGTTCCGGAGCACAAGCCCCAAAACCCTGAGCCTAAACCCTAAACCTAAACTGGGGTTTAAGGGTTTGGGGGTTTAGGGTTTAAGGTTTGGGGGTTTAGGGTGTAGGGGTGTAGGGGTTTAGGGTTTACGTGTTCTCCTCAACCCTATTCGCCCTGGCACCTTGACATGTGAAGCTCCCAGACAGGAAGTTGAAACAACTTATCGGGCGCAGGGTGTGGGGTGTAGGAGACCCTCAACCCTAAGCCTCCCTTGCACCGGTTAGGGCTGAGGGCAGAGCATCAGCTCTGCAAATGACCATATGACCCCAAACCCTCAACCCTAAACCCCAAACCCCAAACCCTAAACCCCTAAACCCCAAACCCCAAACCCTAAACCCCCAAACCCCAAACCCTAAACCCCCAAACCCCAAACCCTACACTTTGGGCAGCCGATACAAATAAGGGAAACTGGGACTCCAAGGTTCGATGGGCTTGGTCTGCTACTTGCTTAAGAACCCTAAAGGAATAAAAACACAATATTCCCTCTATTACCCTTATCTTCCTTTTTTTTTTTGGGGGGGGGGGGGGGTTAAAATGTAATAATCCAAATATTACCCTTATGAGGAAGATTATGTTTTTATTCTTTGGGGGGTTCTTAAGCGATTACTAGTGGTGGCTCAAGGAAGGCTTTGCGGTTGAGGGTTTCTAGGGGTTCTAGAGCTTTGAGGGTTTAGGGTTTAGGGTTTAGGGTTCTAGGGTTTCTAGGGTTTGCGATTCTGGGGCTTAGGGTTTCTAGGGTTTAGGAGGGCCTCTTCTGGCTAGCCCTAAACCCTAAACCCTAAACTCCTAAACTCCTAAACCCTAAACTCCTAAACCCTAAACCCCTAAACCCTAAAACCCAAGCATCCTGTCCGTCATCATCCTGACAGCTGGGCAGATTCAAGGCGGGTGGGTGCTGGGGCCTGCCAGCTCAAGAGGCAGGTGCCAGTTGAGGGTTTGAAGAAGGTTTATGGTTCTCAGGTAGTTTTTAGGGTTTAGGGGTGAGAGTTTAGGGTTTAGGGTTCAAGGTTCAGGGTTCAGGGTTTAGGGTTTAGGGTTTAGGGTTTAGGGTTTTGGGTTTTGGGTTTTGGGTTTTGGGTTTAGGGTTTTGGGTTTAGGGTCCAGGGTTAGGGGTTTAGGGTTAGTTCCCAACCCACTTGGACAGGTAGACGCGTTTGAACTGCCGCAGAGTTGTAGCTGCGCAGCTGTACACGTGCAAAATCTCCGCCTGTGGAGCTGCGGGTGGGCAACTCCACCCTACCCGTACTCCCCCGCAGGCCGAAATGAGCCGGGCCTAGACAACACCGGGGGGGTTGTTCTAAAGCAGGATCTCCCTATGGATGCCAAGAGGGTTCCATAAAACTGTCCCCCCCCCCCCGCAAGTCCCCCCCAAAAAGGGACCCTGTTGTAGATCAAACCCCCCGCATGAACGATGAACAAGTCTTAAAACTCGTGCTTTACAAGTCTCGGGTTCCTCCACTTACAAGTCCTCCGCGACGCACCTCCGCTAACGAGCCCGGGGTCGCAGGAAGTGGGGAAGGTCCAAGAGAAAACGGCATTGCTACAGCAAGCCGCCCCCCCGCGCGCGGGGCAAAAATGGAGAAAAGCTGATGTCCCGCTGGCAGGCAAACTCTGACCAGCCACCTAAATACATGTACACACAAAAATTTAGCTCTGCACGGCGACCCTCAGTCACCTTCATCCTGCCTCATGCCAGCCGAGGCGCTCAAGCCTTAACTGCTCCTAGTACCCCATCAGGGTGTGGTTTTTGGCGTTTGGGGTTTAGGGCGACTTATACACTGAAAACCTTTGACACCTGTAAGCCCTGAACCGCAAGTAGTTAAAACAGATCCAGGCAAGTAGGGTCCAGAAGCAGATTCCTTGAGGGCCGTGCCAGCCGTCCCAGCTGAAGGCACTGCGCGGCCAACCACCACATCAGAGTTGTCGATTTGAGGGCTGTTGTACCTAAGGGGTTGCAGGTAGAGAAACATGCAAAACCTCCCCTTCGTTCCATTGCGAACCTCCCTTCAATTACAGGAATGCCCCCCCCCCCCCCCGGAACAACCCCAAACCCTAAACCCTAAACCCTAAACCCTAAACCCTAAACCCTAGGAGAAAAGAAAAGAAGGCCCTGCTTCCGAAGGAGGGTGCGGCTCGTTCACGGGCTTTGGCTTCAACATCCTGGAGATGAGGCAGTAGACGCCAACTCCCGCGGCCGCTACCAGGGCTGTGGCGGACACGGCCACCTCGAAGCTTGCTTGCATCGGGTTTAGGGTTTAGGGTTTAGGGTTTCGGGTTTGGGGTTTAGGGTTTAGGGTTCAGGGTTCAGGGTTTAGGGTTTAGGGTTTAGGGTTTAGGGTTTAGGGGGATTAGGGTTGCCCCTCTCATATGATGCCCCAAGGTACTACGATTCTTATGTGCCGAAACGTCACAAAACAAGGATACTCCTAACAAGACGGCGCCCTCTTAGGACCCCTGCGAGGTGCTCTTGGCAAGTGAGAGCCAGAACCCGTCACGTGCTGAAGTACGGACGTGGCGCAGCGGCAATCACGGCGGCGTCGTCGCTGTTCCCACTGCTCGGCTCCTCGAGATTGTCCCGTTCCTGCAAGTCAGTGCCGGGCTACAAAAATGTTGGAGGCCTTCTCTGCATCCTCTCACCACTAGGAGGGTGGCCCTTTGTGCTCTCCATGCAAGCGTTTCAGAGGCTGCACTTCAAGCATTGGCAAATCGACGTTTCAGGGGCTTCATGGCCTGCACCATCAACAGGGACATGGCTATGGTGTAGTAGGATTTTGGGGTGTCGCGTTAGTAGGATCATGCTGGAAGGGGGTTGAAATGCAAACCAGCAGGAGCATTTCGGGTCCCGAACAAGTGCGGAGATTCCTGTCTTCAGTCGAGTTGCTTGATCCTCCTCGCACTCAAAGCACTGGTGCGACCAGGTCGCATCCTAGGCACAAGCCAGCGTCGAAACGACAATGTTCCCAATTCTTTTTTCCGAGGGGAAAGGATGTATACTTCCACAAAGTCCTCACGTCAGATCATCCTCAATACCTCGACCCAAGCCCTACCCAGCCAGGCATCCGGAAAATCCAGAGCGCAAGCACCCTCGTAGATGTTGCCTCATCTCCATGACTTGTCGGCTGAGGGTTTAGGGTTTAGGGTTTAGGGTTTAGGGTTTAGGGTGTAGGGTGTAGGGTGTAGGGTTTAGGGTGTAGGGCGTGTTTGGGGAAGTTGGGTCTCAGGTTCAGTGGGGGTGTTGCTTTCGGCTGCTGGGTACCGGGTTCCCCTAAACCCTAAACCCTAAACCCTAAACCCTAAACCCTAAACCCTAAACCCTAAACCCTAAACCCCCTGAGGCAGGCAGCAGTGGCAGCCAGACTCCGGGCCACCTCCCGGCACGAAGCAGCCCCAGGACGAGCCGTGGCAGCATGACCAGCACCTGGGCTCAAGCTGCCTTCACAACTCTTCAGCCCCGAGGCCCCGAGCCCTGCACATCCCTGACTCCTAAAATTATTAAAAACCATCTTCGCCTCGACCTCTCGACCTGCGCTCGACCGGCGTCGGCAACCACACCACGCATCACACACCCTGGCCCCCTCCCCTGATACGACCCCGCGCTGGCTTTCCACATCTGTTTACCGGCTGTTCCCAAGCGCTTGCAACATTTCTGCGACTCCGTGCGCTTGCTTTCCACATCTGGGTTCTTCTGAGAGAAGTCCAAGGCGCTCGTGGGTCCAGGACTTGTTGGCCGCCAGGTCGCAGGCTCGCTCGGAGACCGTGCACTGGCAGGCATGGCTGGCCTCATCGAAGCAGCCCCAGGAGTACTGCTTCTGGCACTCGGGATGCTGCTCGTTGCTCACTGCGTCGCAAGACCGGCACCCGTCCGTCCAGGCTCCTTGCTGGGCATGGCACTGTGACTCCGTGGTGCTGCAGTCGCACTTGTGGGTCTCCACGTTGTAACAGCCAGTGCCTGCCTCGGTCAGGAAGAAGCTGGCAAGGAGCACCAGCAGGGCAACCACGGCACCCCTCGTTGCCGCACCCGACGTGGCGACGTTGTCCTCCGCGTCGCAACTTGAGCAAGACCTCGTCCAAGTCCCGGCGCACGCCGCCTCCGTTGTGTCGCACTCGCAGCTGTGCGAGGCCATGTCGTAGCAGCCCCACCGTTCCGTCTCCTGCTGCGGCGGGTCAATCTCGTCGTAGTACGTGCAGTTCTCCGATGTGGCTTGGCAGGAGGCCATGCAGTGGCAGCAACCTGACCGAGGAGAGACGTACCCCGGAGCATACCACGAGCTCGGCGATGCACACGCCGTCTCCGGCACGTCGCAGCTGACTGCATGGCTCGTGACATCGTAGCAGGAGCCCTGCGAGGCACAGGATCTGCATCCCGACGTCCACGAGTGGTCTGCGCCTTTCGCAGCACAGCCCACCTCCGACTCGTCGCAGTCACAGCGGTGCACGCTGGCATCGTAGCAGCCCCAGTTCTCATCCTCTTGAGGAGCTACGGGAATGTTGGGGGCTTTGGGCATGGGTTCTGAATCCTCGAGGCACCTCCCCACCAGCGCCAGCTGCTTGAACTAGCTATGGTTCGGCTTCAACCTAGAGCAACAAGCATGTGGTTTCTAGCATCCTTCTTACACTGGTGCTGTGATCATCTGTGGGTGTGAGCGGAGTGTTTCCAGTCTGCATGAGACGCGAAAGGAGGGTGGGGGGGGGGCGGGGGAAGTCCTGAGGCTGTTCCACTGCGTCGTAGTAGCTGCAGCTGTCCGACACGTTCTCACAGGATGCCTGGCAATGGCAGCAGCCACTCCGCGGAGACACGTACCCGGGAGCATACCACATGTTGCCGCCATCGCACGCCGACTCCGTCACGTTGCAGGTCACTGCGTGCGCAGTCCTAGCAAGGAAGAAGTGAAGAAGGTGCAGGTGCGAAAGTGTCGACCCCTCTGGCTACTTGGGGGTACTCCTACTGAACTTATGTGAACTGCTCATACAGCAAGAAAACAAGACTCTTGTTGTGAAACTGAGCAGCAAATTGTAGCAGGATCCGGACGATGTGCTCCCGGATACCAAGGCGACATTGACCATCGCGGTCACGACCTGACGTGTGCACATGGGTTGCTGTGTGAGAACGCACAGGCTACCACCCTACACCCTCCAGCACACACTTGTCCCCCACCCCCTCTAAAACATGGGATGCGGGGGTTGGGGTCTCTGATGTAGAATGGATCGAAAATAGGATTTCGGATTTGGGGTTAAACCGGTTCAGACAAACCCAGCTGCCAGTGGCAACATCCTCTGCGCCATCAAGGGTAGCGGGAGGAGCGGGCGTGGGAGGGCAGAGCTGGGCGCACAGCAGCACTTGCAGCAAAATGCCTCTCGGAATGGAGCTGCGAGTCTCCTTCAAAACCCTAAACTCTAAACCCTAAACCCTCAACCCTCAACCCTAAACCCTCAACCCTCAACCCTAAACCCTAAACCAAGGTCGGAACCCAAAAGCATGTCGGGGCTTCCCTTCTCGAGGAAGCGCTTAAGGTTGGGAGCGCGGCCGCCAGAAAAAAAAAAAAAAAAAACCGTGCCCCTCTTTGTTCACGCCACTCAACGACGCGTCACGTTGCCAGGGTTTGGGGTTTAGGGTTCAGGGTTTAGGGTTCAGGGTTTAGGGTTCAGGGTTTAGGGTTTAGGGTTCAGGGTTCAGGGTTCAGGGTTCAGGGTTCAGGGTTCAGGGTTCAGGGTTCAGGGTTTAGGGTTTAGGGTTTAGGGTTTAGGGTTTAGGGTTTAGGGTTTAGGAACTATATAGCTGGCAAGCATCCTGTCCGTCATCAGACAGCTGGGCAGATTCAAGGCGAGTGCTGCAGGCTGCCAGCTCCCGAGGCAGATGCAAGTTGAGGGTTGAGGGTTTAAGGGTTTAGGGTTCAAGGGTTTAAGGGTTTAAAGGTCTAGGGTTTGGGGTTTAGCTTTGAAGGGTTTAGGGTTTAGGGTTTCAGGGTCAAAGGCTCAGTTCCCAACCCACTTGGACAGGAAGACGCGTTTGAACTGCCGGTCGCAGAGTTGTAGCTGCGCAGCTGTACACGTGCAAAATCTCCGCCTGTGGAGCTGCGGGTGGGCAACTCAACCCTACCCGTACTCCCCCGCAGGCCGAAATGAGCCGGGCCTCGACAACACCGGGGGGGTTGTTCAAAAGCAGGATCTCCCTATGGATGCCAAGAGGGTTTCATACTCAAAATGTCCCCCCCCAAAGTCCCCCCCCAAAAAAGGGACCCTGTTCTAGATCAAACCCCCCGCGTGAACGATGAACAAGTCTTAAAACTCGTGCTTTACAAGTCTCGGGTTCCTCCACTTACAAGTCCTCTGCGACGCACCTCCGCTAACGAGCCCGGGGTCGCAGGAAGTGGGGAAGGTCCAAGAGAAAAAGGCATTGCTACAGGCAGCCGCCCCCGCGGGCGCGCGCGCGCGCGCACGCGCGCGCGGGGCAAAAATGAGAGAAAAGCTGATGTCTCGCTGGCAGGCAAACTCTGACCAGCCGCCTAAATACATGTACACACAAAATCGTAGCTCTGCGCGGCGACCCTCAGTCACCTCATCCTGCCTCAGGCCAGCCGAGGCGCTCAAGCCTTAACTGCTCCTAGTACCCCATCAGGGTTTAGGGTCTAGGGTTTAGGGGTGTGGTTTTTGGCGCTTGGGGTTTAGGGCGACTTTTACACTGAAAACCTTTGACACCTGTAAGCCCTAAACCGCAAGTAGTTAAACAGATCCAGGCAAGTAGGGATCCAGAAGCAGATTCCTTGAGAGCCGTGCCAGCCGTCCCAGCTGAAGGCACTGCACGGCCAACCACCACATCAGAGTTGTCGATTTGAGGGCTGTTGTACCTAAGGGGTTGCAGGTAGAGAAACATGCAAAACCTCCCCTTCGTTCCATTGCGAACCCCACTTCAATTACAGGAATGCCCCCCCCCCCCCCCCGGAACAACCCCAAACCCTAAACCCTAAACCCTAAACCCTAAAAACCCTAAACTCTAAACCCTAAACCTAAACCTAAACCCAAGGAGAAAAGAAAAGAAGGCCCTGCTTCCGAAGGAGGGTGCGGCTCGTTCACGGGCTTTGGCTTCAACATCCTGGAGATGAGGCAGTAGACGCCAACTCCCGCGGCCGCTACCAGGGCTGTGGCGGACACGGCCACCTCGAAGCTTGCTTGCATCGGTTTAGTTTTTAGGGTTTTAGGGTTTTAGGGTTTAGGGTTTAGGGTTTAGGGTTCAGGTTAGGGTTTAGGGTTAGGGTTTAGGGTTTAGGGTTTAGCGGGATTAGGGTTGCCCCTCTCATATCCCCAAGGTACTACGATTCTTATGTGCCGAAACGTCACAAAACAAGGATCCCTAACAAGACGGCGCCTCTTAGGACCCCTGCGAGGGTGCTTTGGTACGGACGTGGCGCAGCGGCAATCACGGCGGCGTCATCGCTGTTCCCACTGCTCGGCCCCTCGAGATTGTCCCGTTCCTGCAAGTCACTGCCGGCTATAAAATGTTGGAGGCATTCTCTGCATCCTCTCACGACTAGGAGGGTGGCCTTTGTGCTCTCCATGCAAGTTTCAGAGGCTGCACTTCAAGCATTGGCAAATCGACGTTTCAGGGGCTTCATGGCCTGCACCATCAACAGGGACATGGCTATGGTGTAGTAGGATTTGGGGTGTCGCGTTAGTAGGATCATGCTGGAAGGGGTTGAAATGCAAACCAGACAGGAGCATTTCGGGTCCCGAACAAGTGCGGAGATTCCTGTTCTTCAGGCGAGTTGCTTGATCCTCCTCGCACTCAAAGCACTGGTGCGACCAGGTCGCATCCTAGGCTCAAGCCAGCGTCGAAACGACAATGTTCCCAATTCTTTTTTCCGAGGGAAAAGGATGTCAGATCATCCTCAATACTTAGCCTCGACCCAAGCCCTACCCAGCCAGGCATCCGGAAAATCCAGAGCGCATGCACCCTCGTAGATGTTGCCTCATCTCCATGACTTGTAGGCTGAGGGTTTAGGGTTTAGGGTTTAGGGTTTAGGGTTTAGGGTGTAGGGTTTAGGGTTTAGGGTGTAGGGTGTAGGGCGTCTTTGGGGCAGTTGGGTCTCAGGTTGAGTGGGTGTGTTGCTTTCGGCTGCTGGGTACCGGGGTCCCCTAAACCCTAAACCCCAAACCCTAAACCCTAAACCCTAAACCCTAAACCCTCTGAGGCAGGCAGCAGTGGCAGCCAGACTCCGGGCCACCTCCCGGCACGAAGCAGCCCCAGGACGAGCCGTGGCAGCATGACCAGCACCTGGGCTCAAGCTGCCCTGCAGTTCACAACTCTTCAGCCCCAAGCCCTACACATCCCTGTCTCCTACAATTATTAAAAACCATCTTCGCCTCGACCTCTCGACCTGCGCTCGACCGGCGTCTGCAACGACACCACCCATCACGCACCCTGCCCCCCTCCCCTGATACGACCCCGCGCTGGCTTTCCACATATGTTTTCCGGCTGTTCCCAAGCGCTTGCAACATTTCTGCGACTCCGTGCGCTTGCTTTCCACATCTGGGTTCTTCTGAGAGAAGTCCAAGGCGCTCGTGGGTCCAGGACTTGTTGGCCGCCAGGTCGCAGGCTCGCTCGGAGACCGTGCACTGGCAGGCATGGCTGGCCTCATCGAAGCAGCCCCAGGAGTACTGCTTCTGGCACTCGGGATGCTGCTCGTTGGTCACTGCGTCGCAAGACCGGCACCCATCTGTCCAGGCTCCTTGCTGGGCATGGCACTGCGACTCCGTGGTGCTGCAGTCGCACTTGTGGGTCTCCACGTTGTAACAGCCAGTGCCTGCCTCGGTCAGGAAGAAGCTGGCAAGGAGCACCAGCAGGGCAACCACGGCACCCCTCGTTGCCGCACCCGATGTGGCGACGTTGTCCTCCGCGTCGCAACTTGAGCAAGACCTCGTCCAAGTCCCGGCGCACGCCGCCTCCGTTGTGTCGCACTCGCAGCTATGCGAGGCCATGTCGTAGCAGCCCCACCGTTCCGTCTCCTGCTGCGGCGGGTCAATCTCGTCGTAGTACGTGCAGTTCTCCGATGTGGCTTGGCAGGAGGCCATGCAGTGGCAGCAACCTGACCGAGGAGAGACGTACCCCGGAGCATACCACGAGCTCGGCGATGCACACGCCGTCTCCGGCACATCGCAGCTGACTGCATGGCTCGTGACATCGTAGCACGAGCCCTGCGAGGCACAGGATCTGCATCCCGCCGTCCACGTGTGGCCTGCGCCTTTCGCAGCACAGCCCACCTCCGACTCGTCGCAGTCACAACGGCGCACGCTGGCATCGTAGCAGCCCCAGTTCTCATCCTCTCTTGAGGAGCTACGGGAATGTTGGGGGCTTTGGGCATGGGTTCTGAATCTTCGAGGCACCTACCCCCACCAGCGCCAGCTGCTTGAACTAGCTATGGTTCGGCTTCAACCTAGAGCAACAAGCATGTGGTTTCTAGCATCCTTCTTACACTGGTGCTGTGATCATCTGTGGGTGTGAGCGGAGTGTTTTCCAGTCTGCATGAGACGCGAAAGGAGGTTGGGGGGGGGGGAAGTCCTGAGGCTGTTCCACTGCGTCGTAGTAGCTGCAGCTGTCCGACACGTTCTCACAGGATGCCTGGCAATGGCAGCAGCCACTCCGCGGAGACACGTACCCGGGAGCATACCACATGTTGCCGCCATCGCACGCCGACTCCGTCACGTTGCAGGTCACTGCGTGCGCAGTCCTAGCAAGGAAGAAGTGAAGAAGGTGCAGGTGCGAAAGTGTCGACCCCTCTGGCTACTTGGGGGTACTCCTACTGAACTTATGTGAACTGCTCATACAGCAAGAAAACAAGACTCTTGTTGTGAAACTGAGCAGCAAATTGTAGCAGGATCCGGACGATGTGCTCCCGGATACCAAGGCGACATTGACCATCGCGGTCACGACCTGACGTGTGCACATGGGTTGCTGTGTGAGAACGCACAGGCTACCACCCTACACCCTCCAGCACACACTTGTCCCCCACCCCCTCTAAACCATGGGATGCGGGGGTTGGGGTCTCTGATGTAGAATGGATCGAAAATAGGATTTCGGATTTGGGGTTAAACCGGTTCAGACAAACCCAGCTGCCAGTGGCAACATCCTCTGCGCCATCAAGGGTAGCGGGAGGAGCGGGCGTGGGAGGGCAGAGCTGGGCGCACAGCAGCACTTGCAGCAAAATGCCTCTCGGAATGGAGCTGCGAGTCTCATTCAAAACCCTAAACTCTAAACCCTAAACCCTCAACCCTAAACCCTCAACCCTAAACCCTGAACCAAGGTCGGAACCCAAAAGCATGTCGGGGCTTCCCTTCTCGAGGAAGCGCTTAAGGTTGGGAGCGCGGCCGCCAGAAAAAAAAAAAAAAAACCGTGCCCCTCTTTGTTCACGCCACTCAACGACGCGTCACGTTGCCAGGGTTTGGGGTTTAGGGTTCAGGGTTTAGGGTTCAGGGTTTAGGGTTGAGGGTTTAGGGTTCAGGGTTCAGGGTTCAGGGTTCAGGGTTCAGGGTTCAGGGTTCAGGGTTCAGGGTTTAGGGTTCAGGGTTCAGGGTTTAGGGTTTAGGGTTTAGGGTTTAGGGTTTATCAGACAGCTGGGCAGGTTCAAGGCGAGTGCTGCAGGCTGCCAGCTCCCGAGGCAGATGCAAGTTGAGGGTTGAGGGTTTAAGGGTTTAGGGTTTAAGGGTTTAAGGGTTTAAAGGTCTAGGGTTTGGGGTTTAGCTTTGAAGGGTTTGGGGTTTAGGGTTTCAGGGTCAAAGGCTCAGTTCCCAACCCACTTGGACAGGAAGACGCGTTTGAACTGCCGGTCGCAGAGTTGTAGCACAGCTGTACACGTGCAAAATCTCCGGCTGTGGAGCTGCGGGTGGGCAACTCAACCCTACCCGTACTCCCCCGCAGGCCGAAATGAGCCGGGCCTAGACAACACCGGGGGGGTTGTTCAAAAGCAGGATCTCCCTATGGATGCCAAGAGGGTTCCATACCCAAAATGTCCCCCCCCAAAGTCCCCCCCCAAAAAGGGACCCTGTTCTAGATCAAACCCCCCGCGTGAACGATGAACAAGTCTTAAAACTCGTGCTTTACAAGTCTCGGGTTCCTCCACTTACAAGTCCTCCGCGACACACCTCCGCTAACGAGCCCGGGGTCGCAGGAAGTGGGGAAGGTCCAAGAGAAAACGGCATTGCTACAGGCAGCCGCCCCCGCGCTCTCGCGCCCGCGCGCGCGGGCAAAAATGGAGAAAAGCTGATGTCCCGCTGGCAGGCAAACTCTGACCAGCCACCTAAATACATGCACACACAAAAATCGTTGCTCTGCGCGGCGACCCTCAGTCACCTCATCCTGCCTCATGCCAGCCGAGGCGCTCAAGCCTTAGCTGCTCCTAGTACCCCATCAGGGTTTAGGGTTTTGGGTCTAGGGTTTAGGGGTGTAGTTTTGGCGTTTGGGGTTTAGGGCGACTTATACACTGAAAACCTTCGACACCTGTAAGCCCTAAACCGCAAGTATTTAAAACAGATCCAGGCAAGTAGGGTCCAGAAGCAGATTCTTTGAGAGCCGCGCCAGCCGTCCCAGCTGAAGGCACTGCACGGCCAACCACCACATCAGAGTTGTCGATTTGAGGGCTGTTGTACCTAAGGGGTTGAAGGTAGAGAAACATGCCAAACCTCCCCTTCGTTCCATTGCGAAACCCCCTTGAATTACAGAAATGCCCCCCCCCCCCCCACCCCGGGAACAACCCTAACCCCTAAACCCCTAAACCCCTAAACCCCTAAACCCCTAAACCCCTAAACCCCCAAAACCCCTAAACCCCTAAACCCTAAACCCTAAACCCTAAACCCCAAACCCCAAACCCTAAACCCTAAACCCTAAACCCAAGGAGAAAAGAAAAGAAGGCCCTGCTTCCGAAGGAGGGTGCGGCTCGTTCACGGGCTTTGGCTTCAACATCCTGGAGATGACGCAGTAGACGCCAACTCCCGCGGCCGCTACCAGGGCTGTGGCGGACACGGCCACCTCGAAGCTTGCTTGCATCTCTAGGGTTTAGGGTTTAGGGTTGAGGGTTAGGGTTCAGGGTTTAGGGTTTAGGGTTTAGGGTTTAGGGTTTAGGGTTTAGGGTTTAGGGTTTAGGGTTCAGGGTTTAGGGTTTAGGGTTTAGGGTTTAGGGTTTAGGGTTTAGGGTTTAGGGTTTAGGGTTTAGGGGGATCAGGGTTGCCCCTCTCATATGCCCCAAGGTACTACGATTCTTATGTGCCGAAACGCCACAAAACAAGGATACTCCTAACAAGACGGCGCCCTCTTAGGACCCCTGCGAGGTGCTCTTGGCAAGTGAGAGCCAGAACCCGTCACGTGCTGAAGTACGGACGTGGCGCAGCGGCAATCACGGCGGCGTCGTCGCTGTTCCCACTGCTCGGCTCCTCGAGATTGTCCCGTTCCTGCAAGTCACTGCCGGGCTATAAATATGTTGGAGGCCTTCTCTGCATCCTCTCACCACTAGGAGGGTGGCCCTTTGTGCTCTCCATGCAAGCGTTTCAGAGGCTGCACTTCAAGCATTGGCAAATCGACGTTTCAGGGGCTTCATGGCCTGCACCATCAACAGGGACATGGCTATGGTGTAGTAGGATTTTGGGGTGTCGCGTTAGTAGGATCATGCTGGAAGGGGGTTGAAATGCAAACCAGCAGGAGCATTTCGGGTCCCGAACAAGTGCGGAGATTCCTGTCTTCAGTCGAGTTGCTTGATCCTCCTCGCACTCAAAGCACTGGTGCGACCAGGTCGCATCCTAGGCACAAGCCAGCGTCGAAACGACAATGTTCCCAATTCTTTTTTCCGAGGGGAAAGGATGTATACTTCCACAAAGTCCTCACGTCAGATCATCCTCAATACCTCGACCCAAGCCCTACCCAGCCAGGCATCCGGAAAACCCAGAGCGCAAGCACCCTCGTAGATGTTGCCTCATCTCCATGACTTGTCGGCTGAGGGTTTAGGGTTTAGGGTTTAGGGTTTAGGGTTTAGGGTTTAGGGTGTAGGGTGTAGGGTGTAGGGTTTAGGGTGTAGGGCGTGTTTGGGGAAGTTGGGTCTCAGGTTCAGTGGGGGTGTTGCTTTCGGCTGCTGGGTACCGGGTTCCCCTAAACCCTAAACCCTAAACCCTAAACCCTAAACCCTAAACCCCCTGAGGCAGGCAGCAGTGGCAGCCAGACTCCGGGCCACCTCCCGGCACGAAGCAGCCCCAGGACGAGCCGTGGCAGCATGACCAGCACCTGGGCTCAAGCTGCCTTCACAACTCTTCAGCCCCGAGGCCCCGAGCCCTGCACATCCCTGACTCCTAAAATTATTAAAAACCATCTTCGCCTCGACCTCTCGACCTGCGCTCGACCGGCGTCGGCAACCACACCACGCATCACACACCCTGGCCCCCTCCCCTGATACGACCCCGCGCTGGCTTTCCACATCTGTTTACCGGCTGTTCCCAAGCGCTTGCAACATTTCTGCGACTCCGTGCGCTTGCTTTCCACATCTGGGTTCTTCTGAGAGAAGTCCAAGGCGCTCGTGGGTCCAGGACTTGTTGGCCGCCAGGTCGCAGGCTCGCTCGGAGACCGTGCACTGGCAGGCATGGCTGGCCTCATCGAAGCAGCCCCAGGAGTACTGCTTCTGGCACTCGGGATGCTGCTCGTTGCTCACTGCGTCGCAAGACCGGCACCCGTCCGTCCAGGCTCCTTGCTGGGCATGGCACTGTGACTCCGTGGTGCTGCAGTCGCACTTGTGGGTCTCCACGTTGTAACAGCCAGTGCCTGCCTCGGTCAGGAAGAAGCTGGCAAGGAGCACCAGCAGGGCAACCACGGCACCCCTCGTTGCCGCACCCGACGTGGCGACGTTGTCCTCCGCGTCGCAACTTGAGCAAGACCTCGTCCAAGTCCCGGCGCACGCCGCCTCCGTTGTGTCGCACTCGCAGCTGTGCGAGGCCATGTCGTAGCAGCCCCACCGTTCCGTCTCCTGCTGCGGCGGGTCAATCTCGTCGTAGTACGTGCAGTTCTCCGATGTGGCTTGGCAGGAGGCCATGCAGTGGCAGCAACCTGACCGAGGAGAGACGTACCCCGGAGCATACCACGAGCTCGGCGATGCACACGCCGTCTCCGGCACGTCGCAGCTGACTGCATGGCTCGTGACATCGTAGCAGGAGCCCTGCGAGGCACAGGATCTGCATCCCGACGTCCACGTGTGGTCTGCGCCTTTCGCAGCACAGCCCACCTCCGACTGGGCGCAGTCACAGCGGTGCACGCTGGCATCGTAGCAGCCCCAGTTCTCATCCTCTTGAGGAGCTACGGGAATGTTGGGGGCTTTGGGCATGGGTTCTGAATCCTCGAGGCACCTCCCCACCAGCGCCAGCTGCTTGAACTAGCTATGGTTCGGCTTCAACCTAGAGCAACAAGCATGTGGTTTCTAGCATCCTTCTTACACTGGTGCTGTGATCATCTGTGGGTGTGAGCGGAGTGTTTCCAGTCTACATGAGACGCGAAAGGAGGGTGGGGGGGGGGGGCGGGGGAAGTCCTGAGGCTGTTCCACTGCGTCGTAGTAGCTGCAGCTGTCCGACACGTTCTCACAGGATGCCTGGCAATGGCAGCAGCCACTCCGCGGAGACACGTACCCGGGAGCATACCACATGTTGCCGCCATCGCACGCCGACTCCGTCACGTTGCAGGTCACTGCGTGCGCAGTCCTAGCAAGGAAGAAGTGAAGAAGGTGCAGGTGCGAAAGTGTCGACCCCTCTGGCTACTTGGGGGTACTCCTACTGAACTTATGTGAACTGCTCATACAGCAAGAAAACAAGACTCTTGTTGTGAAACTGAGCAGCAAATTGTAGCAGGATCCGGACGAGCTCCCGGATACCAAGGCGACATTCACCATCGCGGTCACGACCTGACGTGTGCACATGGGTTGCTGTGTGAGAACGCACAGGCTACCACCCTACACCCTCCAGCACACACTTGTCCCCCACCCCCTCTAAAACATGGGATGCGGGGGTTGGGGTCTCTGATGTAGAATGGATCGAAAATAGGATTTCGGATTTGGGGTTAAACCGGTTCAGACAAACCCAGCTGCCAGTGGCAACATCCTCTGCGCCATCAAGGGTAGCGGGAGGAGCGGGCGTGGGAGGGCAGAGCTGGGCGCACAGCAGCACTTGCAGCAAAATGCCTCTCGGAATGGAGCTGCGAGTCTCCTTCAAAACCCTAAACTCTAAACCCTAAACCCTCAACCCTCAACCCTAAACCCTCAACCCTCAACCCTAAACCCTAAACCAAGGTCGGAACCCAAAAGCATGTCGGGGCTTCCCTTCTCGAGGAAGCGCTTAAGGTTGGGAGCGCGGCCGCCAGAAGAAAAACCGTGTCCCTCTTTGTTCACGCCACTCAACGACGCGTCACGTTGCCAGGGTTTGGGGTTTAGGGTTCAGGGTTTAGGGTTCAGGGTTTAGGGTTCAGGGTTTAGGGTTCAGGGTTCAGGGTTCAGGGTTCAGGGTTCAGGGTTCAGGGTTTAGGGTTTAGGGTTTAGGGTTTAGGGTTTAGGGTTTAGGGTTTAGGGTCTAGGGTTTAGGGTTTAGGAACTATATAGCTGGCAAGCATCCTGTCCGTCATCAGACAGCTGGGCAGATTCAAGGCGAGTGCTGCAGGCTGCCAGCTCCCGAGGCAGATGCAAGTTGAGGGTTGAGGGTTTAAGGGTTTAGGGTTCAAGGGTTTAAGGGTTTAAAGGTCTAGGGTTTGGGGTTTAGCTTTGAAGGGTTTAGGGTTTAGGGTTTCAGGGTCAAAGGCTCAGTTCCCAACCCACTTGGACAGGAAGACGCGTTTGAACTGCCGGTCGCAGAGTTGTAGCGCAGCTGTACACGTGCAAAATCTCCGCCTGTGGAGCTGCGGGTGGGCAACTCAACCCTACCCGTACTCCCCCGCAGGCCGAAATGAGCCGGGCCTAGACAACACCGGGGGGGTTGTTCAAAAGCAGGATCTCGCTATGGATGCCAAGAGGGTTCCATACCCAAAATGTCCCCCCCCAAAGTCCCCCCCCAAAAAGGGACCCTGTTCTAGATCAAACCCCCGCGTGAACGATGAACAAGTCTTAAAACTCGTGCTTTACAAGTCTCGGGTTCCTCCACTTACAAGTCCTCCGCGACACACCTCCGCTAACGAGCCCGGGGTCGCAGGAAGTGGGGAAGGTCCAAGAGAAAACGGCATTGCTACAGGCAGCCGCCCCCGCGCTCTCGCGCCCGCGCGCGCGGGCAAAAATGGAGAACAGCTGATGTCCCGCTGGCAGGCAAACTCTGACCAGCCACCTAAATACATGCACACACAAAAATCGTTGCTCTGCGCGGCGACCCTCAGTCACCTCATCCTGCCTCATGCCAGCCGAGGCGCTCAAGCCTTAGCTGCTCCTAGTACCCCATCAGGGTTTAGGGTTTTGGGTCTAGGGTTTAGGGGTGTAGTTTTGGCGTTTGGGGTTTAGGGCGACTTATACACTGAAAACCTTCGACACCTGTAAGCCCTAAACCGCAAGTATTTAAAACAGATCCAGGCAAGTAGGGTCCAGAAGCAGATTCTTTGAGAGCCGCGCCAGCCGTCCCAGCTGAAGGCACTGCACGGCCAACCACCACATCAGACTTGTCGATTTGAGGGCTGTTGTACCTAAGGGGTTGAAGGTAGAGAAACATGCCAAACCTCCCCTTCGTTCCATTGCGAAACCCCCTTGAATTACAGAAATGCCCCCCCCCCCCCCACCCCGGGAACAACCCTAACCCCTAAACCCCTAAACCCCTAAACCCCTAAACCCCTAAACCCCTAAACCCCTAAACCCCTAAACCCCTAAACCCCTAAACCCCAAAACCCCTAAACCCCAAAACCCCTAAACCCTAAACCCTAAACCCTAAACCCCAAACCCCAAACCCTAAACCCTAAACCCTAAACCCAAGGAGAAAAGAAAAGAAGGCCCTGCTTCCGAAGGAGGGTGCGGCTCGTTCACGGGCTTTGGCTTCAATATCCTGGAGATGAGGCAGTAGACGCCAACTCCCGCGGCTGCTACCAGGACTGTGGCGGACACGGCCACCTCTGGAATCTTGCTTGCATCTCTAGGGTTTAGGGTTTAGGGTTTGGGGTTTAGGGTTTAGGGTTTGGGGTTTAGGGTTTAGGGTTTAGGGTTTAGGGGGATTAGGGTTGCCCCTCTCATATGCCCCAAGGTACTACACAAAACAAGGATACTCCTAACAAGACGGCGCCCTCTTAGGATGTGAGGTGCTCTTGGCAAGTGAGAGCCAGAACCCGTCACGTGCTGAAGTACGGACGTGGCGCAGCGGCAATCACGGCGGCGTCGTCGCTGTTCCCACTGCTCTGCTCCTCGAGATTGTCCCGTTCCTGCAAATATCACTGCCAGGGGCTATTCAAATTGTTGGAAGACCTTCTCTGCATCCCATCACCACTAGGAAGATGGCCCTTTTTGCTTTCCATGCGAGCGTTTTAGAGGCTGCAGGGTCCCTAACAGGTGCGGAGATCCCTGTTGTCCAGGCGAGTTGCTTGATCCTCCTCGCACTCAAAGCACTGGTGCGACCAGGTCGCATCCTAGGCTCATGCCGGCGTCGAAACGACAATGTTCCCAACTCTTTTTTTGCAGCGGGAGAAGGATGTATACTTCCACAAAGTCCTCACGTCAGATCATCCTCAATACCTCGACCCAAGCCCTACCCAGCCAGGCATCCGGAAAATCCAGAGCGCAAGCACCCTCGTAGATGTTGCCTCATCTCCATGACTTGTCGGCTTGGGGGGTTTAGGATTTAGGGTTTAGGGTTTAGGGTTTAGGGCTTAGGGTTTAGGGTGTAGGGTGTATGGTGTAGGGTGTAGGGTGTATGGTGTAGGGTGTAGGGTGTGTTTGGGGAAGTTGGGTCTTCTCAGGTTGAGTGGGGGTGTTGCTTTCGGCTGTTGGGTACCGGGTTCCCCTAAACCCTAAACCCCAAACCCTAAACCCTAAACCCTAAACCCGAAACCCTAAACCCTCTGAGGCAGGCAGCAGTGGCAGCCAGACTCCGGGCCATCTCCCGGCACGAAGCAGCCCCAGGACGAGCCGTGGCAGCATGACCAGCACCTGGGCTCAAGCTGCCCTCGGAAACTCTGCAGTTCACAACTCTTCAGCCCCAAGCCCTACACATCCCTGTCTCCTACAATTATTAAAAACCATCTTCGCCTCGACCTCTCGACCTGCGCTCGACCGGCGTCTGCAACCACACCACGCATCACACACCCTGCTCCCCTGATACGACCCCGCGCTGGCTTTCCACATCTCTTACCGGCTGTTCCCAAGCGCTTGCAACATTTTTGCGACTCCGTGCGCTTGCTTTCCACCTCTGGTTTGCTACCGGGTTAATCTGAAGTCCAAGGCGCTCGTGGGTCCAGGACTTGTTGTCCGCCAGGTCGCAGGCTCGCTCGGAGACCGTGCACTGGCAGGCATGGCTGGCCTCATCGAAGCAGCCCCAGGAGTACTGCTTCTGGCACTCGGGATGCTGCTCGTTGGTCACTGCGTCGCAAGACCGGCACCCATCTGTCCAGGCTCCTTGCTGGGCATGGCACTGCGACTCCGTAGTGCTGCAGTCGCACTTGTGGGTCTCCACGTTGTAACAGCCAGTGCCTGCCTCGGTCAGGAAGAAGCTGGCAAGGAGCACCAGCAGGGAAACCACGGCACCCCTCGTTGCCGCACCCGATGTGGCGACGTTGTCCTCCGCGTCGCAACTTGAGCAAGACCTCGTCCAAGTCCCGGCGCACGCCGCCTCCGTTGTGTCGCACTCGCAGCTATGCGAGGCCATGTCGTAGCAGCCCCACCGCTCCGTCTCCTGCTGCGGCGGGTCAATCTCGTCGTAGTGCGTGCAGTTCTCCGATGTGGCTTGGCAGGAGGCCCTGCAGTGGCAGCAACCTGACCGAGGAGAGACGTACCCCGGAGCATACCACGAGCTCGGCGATGCACACGCCGTCTCCGGCACATCGCAGCTGACTGCATGGCTCGTGACATCGTAGCACGAGCCCTGCGAGGCACAGGATCTGCATCCCGACGTCCACGTGTGGTCTGCGCCTTTCGCAGCACAGCCCACCTCCGACTCGTCGCAGTCACAGCGGTGCACGCTGGCATCGTAGCAGCCCCAGTTCTCATCCTCTCTTGAGGAGCTACGGGAATGTTCGGGGCTTTGGGCATGGGTTCTGAATCTTCGAGGCACCTACCCATACCAGCGCCAGCTGCTTGAACTAGCTGTGGTTCGGCTTAAACCTACGGCAACAAGCATGTGGTTTCTAGCATCCTTCTTACACTGGGGGGGTTGTCCTGAGGCTGTTCCACTGCGTCGTAGTAGCTGCAGCTGTCCGACACGTTCTCACAGGATGCCTGGCAATGGCAGCAGCCACTCCGCGGAGACACGTACCCGGGAGCATACCACATGTTGCCGCCATCGCACGCCGACTCGGTCACGTTGCAGGTCACTGCGTGCGCAGTCCTAGCAAGGAAGAAGTGAAGAAAGTGCAGATGCGAAAGTGTTCGACCCCTCTGGCTACTTGGGGTACTCCTACTGAACTTATGTGAACTGCTCATACAGCAAGAAAACAAGACTCTTGTTGTGAAACTGAGCAGCAAATTGTAACAGGATCCGGACGATGTGCTCCCGGATACCAAGGCGACATTGACAATCGCGGTCACTACCTGACGTGTGCACATGGGTTGCCTTCCCACGTGAGAATGCACGGGCTACCATGATGCCACCCTACACCCTCCAGCGCACACTTATTCCCCACGCCCCTCTAAACTGTGCAAATAGTGTCAACAGGTCCGTTCATAGCAAGCGAGCACATGAGCTTTGGCGGTTGGGGTCTCTGATGTTGGGGCTCTAAGGTAGAATTGACTGAAGTAGGATTTGGGGTGAAACCGGCTCGGGCAAACCCAGCTGCCAGTGGCAACATCCTCTGCGCCATCAGGGGGAGCGGGAGGAGCGGGCGTGGGAGGGCAGAGCTGGGCGCACAGCAGCACTTGCAGCAAAATGCCTCTCGGAATGGAGCTGCGAGACAATGCACTGGATCTCAGCATCTCATTTTCAGACCCGAAAATAATCGGCACAGTAACGAGGAATAAGTGAACTCAGAGCCCATATCTATCTGAAGGGGGCACTGTGGGCCCTACAGTCCCTAAAGCAAACCCTCAACCCTAAGCCCTAAACCCGAAACCCGAAACCCTGCCCTGTACCCTACGTCCCATTCTCGAGGAGCGATAAGGCTTGTGGGGTTGTGGGGTTGCGGGGTTGCGGGGTTGCGGGGTTGCGGGGTTGTGGGGTTTAGGGTTTAGGGTTTAGGGTTTCGGGTTGGGTTTAGGCTTTCGGGCTTCGGGTTCGAATCTCAGGAACTAAGAAGGAACGCCACAAGTTGGAAGACAGGCGCAGCAGAGAATCAGTGCCCCTCTTTGCTCTCACCCTTTCGCGCTTCGCGCCCTAAGCCGGCAGCGTCTCACTCTCACCCGAACATGCTCCCTGGGTCCGGGTCCGCGTCCTCGGGAGGACTTCGGGGATTCACAACCGTATAGGGCTGAGCCAAATAGGAGCCCGAAAGCCCCGAAACCCTAAACCCGGAACCCTGAAACCCTTAGGAAGATCCCTGAGACACCCTTTCCCTCGATCTACACTTTGGTGCTGAGATACGACACCCTCTCAAAGTTTTGGGTTTTCTGTCCAAAGGTCTTAAGACACCTTTTGGCAAAAAAAATTTTTGGTAGCTCTTTTTGGGAGCTCCAAAAAGTGTTTGAACTGGCGTCGCTTGAGAGGGCCTCCCCAGTGCAGAACAAATTGCTGGACGACCAACAAAAGAGCCATTTTTGGTATGCCTTGACAGCCTCGAGAACCTCAGAAAGAAGCCTTCACCCCAAACAGAGGCGGACCCTCAACCACAAGGGCCTCCTCTGAGACCCCCTGGCTTGCAGAGTTTTGGGATTAAGATCATCTTTAACCCGATGAGGGAAAAGATGAAGATCTCCGGGACCTACAACCTAAAACCCTGAACCCTAATCCCCCCTAAACCCTAAACCCTAAACCCTAAACCCTAAACCCTAAACCCTAAACCCTAAACCCTAAACCCTAAACCCCCTTATCCCCCTAAACCTTCCCTCCATCACCTACAAAACAAGCCACCGAGGCTTCTGCACAGGTGCAGGCCCGGACTTTCCTAAACCCTAGACCCGAAGCCCTTCCAGAACCTGCCCTCCTCAAAACTTTGCTCAAGTCGGCTACTCGGCAATCCATCCCATCAACCGCTTGAAAACTCTTCACGTCTGACAGGGCTAACCCTAAACCCTAAACTCTAAACTCTAAACCCTAAACCCTAAACCCTAAACCCTAAACCCTAAACCCTAAACCCTAAACCCTAAACCCTAAACCCTAAGCCTAAACCCTAGATTGGAGTGGAGGGTTTCAGGATGCCACATCGCCTCGCTTTCGGCCGCCCTCTCCTTCTTCGCCCTCATCTCCTCATCTTCGTCCTCTTCCTCCTCGCACAACGAACTGCACGCCTGGTTTCGGGTTTAGGGTTTAGGGTTTAGGGTTTAGGGTTTAGGGTTTAGGGTTTAGGGTTTAGGGTTTAGGGTTTAGGGTTTAGGGTTTAGGGTTTAGGGTTTAGGGTTTAGGGTTTAGGGTATGGGTCCGCAAGGCCTGATTCAACACCCACAGTTGGTACACCTAAAGACTAATGCATTCCTCCAAAGCTCGGGAAGAAGCTTGCCACCAACCAAGACAGGCCAAGACATCACAAAACGTCTTCGACCCTTACCTGAAGAGCCTCGTTAGGGCTTGGGGTTTCGGGATTACTTCTCCCCATGCAGGGGAGGGTGCGCCCAGAATGGAGCGAGAAATCCGGCCGCACCAACCTCCAGTGTCCTAATTAGGGCTTAGGGTTTAGGAAGGGGGGCGGGGTGGGTGGGTGGTCTTCAGAACTGGCATTCGACTTCCTTCCACCTTCCAACAAACATGTGGTCGGTTCTCTAAAATATGGTCTCTTTTGGGGCTACTCTTATCAGCCGGCCCCTGATATTTCTAGGATACCCAAAACGGAACCATAATGTTGAAAACTCACCGCGAGGCACTAAACCCTGAACCCGAAACCCGAAACCCTGAACCCGAAACCCTAAACCCTAAACCCTAAACGCTAAACCCTAAACCCTAAACCCTAAACCCTAAACCCTAAACCCTAAACCCTAAACCCTAAACCCTAAACCCTAAACACTAAACCCTAAACCCTAAACCCTAAACCCTAAACCCTAAACCCTACTCGGAAACACCACGGTCCTCGGACTCCTCCTCATCCTCGGCCTCGTCTTCCTCGCTGTCCTCCTCGCCTTCGCTGTCTTCCAGTTCAAAGGGCAGCCTGGGCCTGGGAAACTCTCGGCTCATTCCTAAAACCCTAAAGCCCTAAAAGCCTTAAACCCTAATTAAACCCTAAAAAACCCTAACAAAAACCCGAAAAAACCGCTTAAAAAACCTAAAAAAACCCTAAGAAACCCTAAAAAGACCCTTAAAACCCTAAAGAAACCCTAAAAAACCCTAAAACCCTAAAACCCTAGCCTTAAAGTCAATGCTCGTGAGGTTCGAGGAATGAGGGCTCACTTGGGGGCGCCGCAGGGGTCGTTGTTCAGATTGCTCGTGTCTTAGGGCCTCGGGTTTCGGACTGATGGGGTCGGGGATTCATAGGGCTTACCCTCAACCCTCATCCCTAAACCCTAAACCCGAAACCCCGAACTCTGAACTCTAAACCCACTTGCCGTTCATCTTCTCACGCATTCGACGAACCGACTTCATCAGCCTATCTGCCCTAAACCCTGAACCCTAGAGTTGATAGGATGCACAGGAGCCACATACAGGGTTTAGGGTTTAGGGTTTAGGGTTTAGGGTTTAGGGTTTAGGGTTTAGGGTTTAGGGTTTAGGGTTTAGGGTTTAGGGTTTAGGGGTTTAGGGTTTAGGGTTTAGGGGTTTCGGGTTTAGGGTTTAGGGTTAGGGTTTAGGGTTTAGGGTTTAGGGTTTAGGGTTTAGGGTTTAGGGTTCAGGGTTCAGGGTTCAGGGTTTAGGGTTCAGGGTTTAGGGTTTAGGGTTTGGGTTTAGGGTTTAGGGTTTAGGGTTTAGGGTTTAGGGTTTAGGGTTTAGGGTTTAGGGTTTAGGGTTTAGGGTTTAGGGTTTAGGGTTTAGGGTTTAGGGTTTAGGGTTTAGGGTTGATGGTTTAGGGTTTAGGGTTTAGGGTTTAGGGTTTAGGGTTTAGGGTTTAGGGTTTAGGGTTTAGGGTTTAGGGTTTAGGGTTTAGGGTTTAGGGTTTAGGGTTTAGGGTTTAGGGTTTAGGGTTTAGGGTATAGAAGGGAAGCTCGCTGGTGCTAAAAGCACCCGGGCCGCTCGCTTGCGTTAGCATGTAGTCCCACCCCAACCACCCAAACTATTCTCATTTAGGGTTTAGGGTTCACCCCCCAAACCCCCCTCAAGGGGGGCTTTCTTGCTTTTTACAGAGAAAGAGCAGGGCGGGGTCTCCCGAGCTTCATGGAGCCTGTCAGTGACTCGTAGGCTTCTTGGAGCTTTCACGGAGTAAAATGGAAGGTGCCCAAAACCATCAATTGCAATACCAAGAACCCACATTTTCGGGCTTGAAAGGGCAGCAAAAACGGTCGGGAGTAGCAGGGCCTCGGCCGGCCCTGCTTTTTGAAATGGAAAACCGTCGATTTGCAATACTAAAAAACCCACATTTTCTTACGCGTCTGGGCAAATGAGACCCTGTCAGCTCAGGCCCCAGGAAGCCCCTCTGGGAGGCCGGAACCCTAGCCTGGCGGGTGGGGAGGCCTCATAAATCCAAAACTGCGCCCTCCGGCCCCCCCTTGAGAGGGAAAGTTTGCCTCCAAAAACACCCCAAATGAGGGGGACCCCAGGATCGGCCCGGGCCCCAGTTAAAAATGCGATTTTTTAGTACTGAAATCGACGGCTCTGGGTGGTCTCTCGTTTTCTGGATTTTTGACCAAAACCGAGCCTTCACCGGCTTCGGGATTTCAAGTTTTTCAAGGTTCTTCAAGGTTTTTCAGAATTTTTCAGTGTTTTTTTAAGGTTTTTCAATGTTTTTCAGGATATTTCAGAGTTTGTAACCCTCAATTCTGATGGAGGGCCGCCCCCGCGACCTTTTCACAGCCTAGTTTTGGTCAAGGGGGGGTTGTGTTTTTCAATTTTAAAGGCAAAATAGTCTTCTGAGACCCCCCTAGCCTCAAACTCCGACCCCCCCTTGAAAGGGAAAGTTTGCCTCCAAAAACACCCCAAATGAGGGGGACCCCAGGATCGGCCCGGGTCCCAGTTAAAAATGCGATTTTTTAGTACTGAAATCGACGGCTCTGGGTGGTCTCTCGTTTTCTGGATTTTTGACCAAAACCGAGCGAATTCTTGGGAGGGGGTGTCAGGGGGTCTGAGGGGGGTCCCAAGGGGGTGGGGGGGGGGGGGTCCAGAAAGGCCCGTCTGTTTGAGGTAACAAAGGTCCAGGGGGGTCCCAGGTCCCAGGCGGTCCAGGGGGGTCCCAGGAGGGTCCCAGGGGGGTCCCAGGGGGGTCCCAGGGGGGTCCCAGGGGGGTCCGGGGGGTCCCAGGGGGGTCCCAGGGGGGTCCCAGGGGGGTCCCAGCCCAGAAGAAAGTGTCGAAAGGCACCCAAAAACAACGCAAAATCGCTGCAGGAGCCCCCCTGGACCGCCCCCGGCAGGGGGGGTCCCCGGAATCTGCCAGCCCGGGCCCCAGACCCCCCCGGGGGGTACCCCCCTGACCCCCGTAAAAAACACTAAAAGACATCAATGGTCGTAGGTTTGGGGTCCTAATTATATTAGGGCTGACGCCCTAGGTCTGAGGCGTAGCCAGTCACTGCCGTCTCGTCTACCGGGAGGCTTTACCCTCCCTCACCGTTCTGTGGAGACGCTCGGTCGGGGACCTCGGTCGAAGCCTCGAGCGCCCATGCATATGGACAGCGGCGCTCTCGGCAGTTTAGGGTTTAGGGTTTAGGGTTTAGGGTTTAGGGTTTAGGGTTTAGGGTTTAGGGTTTAGGGTTTAGGGTTTAGGGTTTAGGGTTTAGGGTTTAGGGTTTAGGGTAAACCCGAAACCCACAACAACATACATTGCAGCAATGGAGCAATACTCCTCACAGCCTTCCCGATTACCCTGAACCCTAGATGGCCGTGGCCAATTCTGTGGCCCCTTTCCTTACTCGTTCTTTGTAGGGAATGAGGGAACTAGGTACCCAAAACCCTAAACCCTAAACCCTATAAAACCTAAACCAGAAATTCTGTGGCTCAGGCTGAGTCGTCGTCGGCCGCCTTAGCAATTCCCAAATCCCCTCGCTGGCGACACCAATGAGTTAAGCGGCGAAGGGGCTTGAGGCCCCTAAACGGCCCCTAAACCCTACACCCTCAAAAACCCTAGACCTAAAACCCTAGACCGGAATAGGGGTGTCGAGTCCCGGGTCCCCACTCGTTGGGCTTGAGTTTTTTCGGGATTCATGGCTTAGGGTTTAGGGTCTTAATTTAGGGCGTCGAGGTTTCGGGCTTGGGCCGCTCAAAGGTTTGGGGTTTACAGGGCATGGGGTTTATAGGGTTCGGTGGCTAGGGTTTGGGTCTAGGGTTTCGGGGTTAGGGGCAACCTCAACCCCAAACCCTAAACCCTAAACCCTGAACCCTAAACCCAAACCTCAAACCCTAAACCCTAAACCCTAAACCCTAAACCCTAAACCCTAAACCCCCTTCGGTGCTTTCTTGCGAGCGTCAGGGCCCCGAAGATCTTCAGCCCTCGCGCCGTGGAGTCTGCCTGTGGGCCGGCAGCTTCGCTGCGGTCAGAGGGACTTGTGCGGTTGTTTCGGGTTCAGGGTTTCGGGTTTCGGGTTTAGGGTTTAGGGTTTAGGGTTTAGGGTTTAGGGTTTCGGGTTTCGGGTTTCGGGTTTAGGGTTTAGGGTTTAGGGTTTAGGGTTTAGGGTTTAGGGTTTAGGGTTTAGGGTTTAGGGTTTAGGGTTTAGGGTTTACGGTTTAGGGTCCAGGGTTTAGGGTTTTAGGGGCAGTACACCCCTAAGCAAGGCGTTGATAAGCCAAGTAGCCATACAAATAGCTTTGACAAAAAAACAGAATTCCGAAACCCTAAAGCCTAAACCCTAAACCCTAAAGTCCAGGCTTCACAGGCTTGGAGAAGGGGAATAAAGTCCCTAAACCCAAACACCTCCCTTACACGCTTGGGTAGGTGTAGGGATTAGGTGCAGTAGATAGAGGTGCTTAGAATAGGAGTCTTCTGTCGAGGAAACTCAGATTCAGATGAAACCCTTAAACCCCCCTGACAAGTGAATGGATACCCCTGAAACCCCTCCGGCCATGCAATGAACTAAGTGTTCTGGCCAGCACGGACCCGGCCTTGTTCGCGTCGCTCAGTAGGTATGACAGCGCAGCATGCTGGTCTTTCCTGGAGCTCCCTCAACCCTAAACCCTAAACCCTAAACCCTAAACCCTAAACCCTGAACCCTGAACCCTAAACCCCAAACCCCAAACCCCAAACCATAACCCACACCCTCGCGACAGTTTAGGGCTCGGGGGTTTACACTGTTGGGGGGCTTGGGGATGAAGGCCTGGATTCGCGGCTTGGGGTTTGGGGTTTGGGGGTTACTGCTGTTTCCTTATAAGAACCCAAACAAAATAAAAGAGAATCATCCCGATATTACCCGTGTACGGAAGAATCTTGTCTTTTTTTTTTTTTGGGGGGGGGGGGGGTGGTTTTTACACACACAGTTGACAATGGAATAAGTTTAGGATTAAGGGCTTGGGGCTCAAGTTCATGTCGGCCAGTTGCTTAGTTGTCCAGTAACCTGGGGGAATTGAAGGTTAACCTTTGGGATTCTATTGGGATTAGAATACCCAAAAAAGGTTAAAGGTTACCAATTTTACTACTACCCTTTGGGATTGTATTGGGATTAGAATACCCAAAAAAGGTTAAAGGTTACCTACTCTACTACTGAGGTTAAGTGCTTTGGGTTGTGTTGATGCCAAGGCGCTGGACATTGTCCCACAAGGAGCTGGTGTCCCTGGGTTTAGGGTTTGGGGTTTAGGGTTTAGGGTTTTGGGTTTATGGTTTAGGGTGTCGGGTTTAGGGTTTAGGGATGCGGGTTCCGACTCATTGGGTTGAGGATCTTCTGACTGAGCTTCGGGTCAGGGTCGGGCTGAGGATGCGGTTCATGCCTGAGATTCCGACTGAGGTTTAGGATTTCGGGTATGGGTGTTGGGGTTTGGAGAGGGTACCTAAAGCTTGCAACCTCAAAACCCAAAAGGCCAGCAATCCCAGACCTCACAGGCAACAGTAGGATTCCGAGGTTTACGGTTGGGAAGACGCGAACTCTCGAGAATTCCCATGCTCACCCCAAGAGGAGCCATCGCTCAACAGCCGGATGCTCGGAACGAGCAAACGCTCGGCCACGTAGAGATTCCAAAGCCGCGGCGATCTTCAAAAACTCATACCTCTGAAGCATCCCGTCTCAGGCACCTTAAAACCAAAACTCGAGCCCATCAATGAACCCCTCAATCCCTGAGCGCCTGTCAGCAGTATCGTGTGGGATCCCAATCAGGGTACGAACGTGAGACGCGCGCGGGAATTAAATTTATACCCTTGAGAAGCTCAACAAATCTCAATTTCAAGCTCCAGGCGTTCGAAAGCTCAAAGAACAAGGCCAACAGTATCCTTTTTTTCCTTCAACACCTATCAGCCGAATGCAAGCACGAGCTATGTCCTCGCATCCGAGGACACGAACCAAGGACGCGAACCCAGGACACACGATCCTAGGACACGAAGCCACAAGAACCCCAAGTCATGAACCCAGAACATGAGTCCGAAAACGAACCCCAGAAATGAACCAAGGGCACGAAACCAGGACGCGAAACCACGAGAACGAGACACCCCAAGTGTTCTTTCCCGGAGCGAAACACCATCTAAGTCAGGGTACGGCCACAGGGCAGGTTACGCCCTAAACCCTAAACCCTAAACTCCTGTGGGACCCGGGGGTTGGAGCGTGACGAGAGCAATCGTGGAATCCCCCCTCCCGAGAGCGAAACACCATCGAAATCCCCAAACTATACCGCTTTTTGTGGGTTAAACTCCGAAACAAACCCTAAACCCGAAACCCGAAACCCTAAGCCCAGATTTCCGAGAGCTGGGTTTTCTGGGATCCCCTGCCCGAGCATCGCCAGGAACTTGGCCGCCTTGCGTTCGGGGCACACACCCCTGGGAAATGGTTCCTCTACACCTTGAGAGGATACCACTTGGTTTAGCCCTAAACCCTACACCCTGAACCCTAAACCCTGAACCCTGAACCTGAACCCTAAACCCTAGCCCTAAATCCTAAACCCTAAATTGTAAACCCTAAGCCCTAGATTCTAAACCCTAACCCTCAACCTGTGACTGGCTGTTGGGTGTGGGGGAGATGTTTCGGTTCAGAGCTTTTCAGCTTTGGGGTTTAGGGTTGAGGGTTAAGTTTTCAATGGTTGGGACCCTCGAAACCTAAAGCCCTAAACATTCAACCGGAAACTTAAGGACCCCTTAACCCCAAGCCCTACACCGGAAACTTAAGAGCCCCTTCACCCCAAGCCCCAAAACCCTGAACACTATTCCTGCTATTTTCTCTACTCCCCTTAGAACCGAACACTACCTGCTATTTTGGACGTCTGTCGGTTGAGGAGGGGGGGGGGGGGGGGGGGCCAGGGCCTTCTCATACTCGGCGACGAAGACCTCCTCGGCCTGGAGCGTGCCTTGCCACTTGGGCGTTCGTGGGCACCCCCCCCCCCCCCACTCCCAAAAACAAAACAAAACAAAACAAAACAACTTAAATCCCAAACCCCGAAACCCCTGAATCCTCAACCCTAAACCCGAAACCCTGAACCCTAAACCCTGAACCCTAAACCCTCTGACCTCTGAACCCTAAGGCCCGAAATCCTAAACCCTAAACCCGAAACCCTAAACCCGAAACCCTAAACCCTAAACCCTAAACCCGAAACCCTGAGCCCTAAGCCCTCAACCTCATCAAGCCCATAGGCCGCCACCTTCAGAGCAAACCGAGGAAGTGGCGAGGCCCCCACCCCCCGCCCCCCCCAACCCTAGGCCAAAACCCTACACTCCGTAGGGTTTAGGGTTTAGGGTTTAGGGTTCAGGGTTTAGGGTTTAGGGTTTAGGGTTTAGGGTTTAGGGTTTAGGGTTTAGGGTTTAGGGTTTAGGGTTTAAGGCTTTGGGTTTCCGGTTTAGGGTTCAACAACCGGCCTTGAAGCCCTCTTCTTGAAAGCCTTGGTGGGCGCTTCGAGTGGACGTGCTTAGGGCTTCGGGCTATAGGGTTAGGGTTTCGGGTTTAGGGTTTCGGGTTTAGGGTTTAAGGTTTCGGGTTTAGGGTTTAGGGTTTAGGGTTTAGGGTTTAGGGTTTAGGGTTTAGGGCTTCGGGTTTAGGGCTCAGGGTTTAGGGTTTAGGTTTTAGAGATTAGGGTTTAGGGTTTATGGTTTAGGGTTTAGGGTTTAGGGTTTAGGGTTTAGGGTTTAGGGTTTAGGGTTTAGGGTTTAGGGTTTAGGGTTTAGGGTTTCGGGTGCCCTCTAGGGTTCAGGGCTTAGGGCTCACAGGCTTTAGGGATCAGGGCTTGAGGGCTTTAAGGGTTGAAGGGTCATACGACTTTTCGGCGTTGGTTTGGAGTCGAGGGTGTTGCAGCATGGATAGGGTCGGGGGTCGAGGGTCGAGGGCTGAGCACTGATCCCCAACAACACCCCGGTCAGCCTCCTCCAAGCCCCAAACGCTCAACTGCAAAAGCCCGAACATCAACAAGGAGCCCTAGGCCTCAAAGCCCCCCAAGCCCCCCCACTAAGCCCCCAAATACCCCCAAACCCGAAACCCGAAACCCCTAAACCCTAAACCCCTAAACCCTAAACTCCAAACCCGGAAGGCTTCTTGGGCTGCGCCGGGTCACTGCGCGTAGCTCTGGAGCTCGGTGGCGCAGCGGCGGACACGGCTCAGGGCCTGCGCTGCGTGGGGTTTCGTGGCTTAAGAGGATTAGGGCTTAGGGTTTAGGGTTCAGGGTTCAGGGTTCAGGGTTCAGGGTTTAGGGTTTAGGGTTTAGGGTTTAGGGTTTAGGGTTCAGGGCAGTGAGGCACGGCATCGTAAACATTCCTTTTGGGTTTGGGGTTTTGGTTGACACAGATGTGCGCCCTGGGCAGGACAAGAACCCCCTTTTGTTTTCGTGTGGCTGAAGAGATGGGCAGTGCTCTCACAGTTCCCGGCTCAGCTCCTTGGAGCCAACGAACCCTAAACCCTAAACCATAAACCCTATTCACTAAACCCTGTGGCTGCTGAGAGTTTGGACTTGGGAGTTGAATCGGATTGCAAGCCCCAAGCCCTAATTAAGTCCCTAACCCTAAACCCTAAACCCTAAACCCTAAACCCTAAACCCGGCAGCGCACCTCGGAGCCCGAGCCGAAGTCCTCCGACCCGCAGGCGCTGAGCATGGCCTCTCGCGAACACACATGGTTTAATCCTCTCCCCCTAATATTAAACCCAGGGTTTAGGGTTTAGGGTTTAGGGTTTAGGATTTGGGGTTTGGGGTTTGGGGTTTAGGGTTTAGGGTTTAGGGCTTAGTTTTTTAGGGTTTCGGGTTTAGGGCTTCGGGGTTTAGGGTTCAGCAGACAAGAACAAGAGGGGAATCAGAAAACCCATGCACAATGGAGAGGTCGAAAGGTGTTGTGGCTGAGGGCCTAAGCTTCGGGTTTAGGACCCCTAAACCCTCAACCCTAAACCCCAAATCCTGAACCCTGAACCCTAAACCCTAAACCATGAACACCGGAAACCCTAAACAAGGAACTCTGGAACCCTTAACTCTAAACCCTAAACCGTACATCCTATAGACCCTAAACTGTAGCCCTGAGGCTGTGTGGGGTTCCCGTAGGCTGGCCTGTGCATCTTCATCCGGGTCGATGGCAGCTACTCCTGAAGCTGAGATATGGTTTAGGGTTTAGGGTTCAGGGTTTAGGGTTTAGGGTTTAGGGTTTAGGGTTTAGGGTTTAGGGTTTAGGGTTTAGGGATTAGGGTTCAGGGTTCAGGGTTCAGGGTTTAGGGTTCTAGAGTTTAGGGTTTAGGGCTTCGGTTCCAGGGTTGAGGCTTCGGAGCTTACCAAAACGCCCTCAACCTGCCCTGGACCCTAACCCTAAACCCTAAACCCCAAACCCGAAACCCGAAACCCTAAACTCGTCAAAGAACTTGAGGCTCATGTACGCGCACATGCCTCGGGGGCTACCCAAGCCTCCTCCCCCCAAAGGGGTGCCGCCAAGAATTGAAGCAAAAGTAGCCGGGAACCTTTGGGGAACTGGGGTACCCTAAACTCTCAGCCCTAAGCCCGAAACCCCAAACCCTAAACCCTAAACCCCAAACCCTAAACCCTAAGCCCTAGACCCCTTTGAAGGGGGAGGTTAGGGTAGACCAGGAGGCCGATCAGGGTGGACGTAGAGCCTTGTCGTCATCATCCCGAATCTGCTGAAACCTCCTAAGGCCCCTAACCCCTTGAACCCAAACCCCCCCAAAGCCTAAACCCTAAACCCTAAACCCTAAACCCTAAACCCTAAACCCTAAACCCTTCCTAGTTTGGGGCCTAGGGTTCCTAGGAGCAACCCCCCTAATTCCGAACCCTGCACTCCTTTGCGAGTTGGCCCGTGATGGCCCAAGTGCCGCCTTCCGAAAAGGATTGCTCTTGTGGTTTAGGGTTTAGGGTTTAGGGTTTAGGGTTTAGGGTTTAGGGTTTAGGGTTTAGGGTTTAGGGTTTAGGGTTTAGGGCTTAGGGCTTAGGGCTTAGGGCTTAGGGCTTAGGGTTTAGGGTTTAGGGTTGCCGCTGCATCTGAACATGTCGACTTCTGCCTGATGTCGACATCTGTATGACGTTGGGTGCCAAGCGTTGGCTCCGATGGGGCTCACAGGATCTGGGGCTGCGATGCCTTAAGCCCCAGACTAGTAATTGCTTAAGAACCCCCCCCTCCCAAAAAAAAACATCTTCCTTATAAGGGTAACATAGGGGTTATTTGTTTTTTTATTCTTTTGTGGTTCGCAAGCAAATAGTACTTAAGCCCCAGAAGCTACATGGGGTTGAGGGTCTTTAAAGCCTATAAACCCCCCTAACATGCGAACGTACTCCCCACCCTGAAGGAAGATGCCTTGGCAAAAGAAACAGGCTCAGGGATCAGCGTCTCTAGGGCGTCTCGGCGCTTCCACCAAGCGTCTAGACTCAAAGGGACAAAAGGCTCGCCTAAATCGTGCACCCTCACCCCAGCAGACATACTCGACCCTCTTCTCATCCTGACTTTGTAAGCCCTAAACCCTAAACACGAAACCCTAGTGCTCGAGCGCTCGACCCAAGAATCCAAGCTGCATGCTGAACTACGTACCCTAAATCCGATGCACCGGCTACTTTTTAACCAAACCACCCCCCTCCCTCCTCCTCCCCTAAACCCAAAACCGAAAACTCCAAACCCTAAACCCTAAACCCAAAACCAAAAAGACTCAAGAACAAAAAACACCCTCCCCCCCCCCCCAAAAAAAAAAAAAAAAAAAAAAAAAAAAAAAAAAAAAAAAAAAAAAAAAAAAAAAAAAAAAAAAAAAAAAAAAAAAAAATTAAAAAAAAAGTTAATAAGCCGGGCATTCTAATCTCCGAAGCTTTGCGCCTGAACTTCTTTGCCTGAACCTTCACGGCAGCCATCTGCTGGCTCAGATGCTGGCGGACACTGGCAGCTGCCCTCCTTCAGGGTTTAGGGTTTAGGGTTTAGGGTTTAGGGTTCAGGGTTCAGGGTTTAGGGTTTAGGGTTTAGGGTTTAGGGTGAAGCCCTAAAAACCGTAAGCCCAAACCGGCTGAGGGCTTCTTCAGGTCTCGGGGGCCGGCTGCCAGGTTGTGAGCTTTGGCTTGTGCTGGTGTTTCGGGCTGAGGAGGCCCTAAACCCTAAACCCTAAACCCTAAACCCTAAACCCTAAACCCTAAACCCTGAGTGCCCTCAACCCCCCAAAAGGGCAGGGGCCAAAGCAAGAAGGTTGGAGGCAGAAGCCTAGGGGGCCCAGGACCCTCAATCGCCCTTCATCAGGCTAAACTCAGGATTTAGGGTTTGGGGTTTCGGGTTTAGGGTGTCGGTTTTAGGGTTTAGGGTTTAGGGATTAGGGTTTAGGGTTTAGGGTTTAGGGTTTCGGGTTCCCTAACCAACACCGGGAGCCACAAGCCCCAAAGAGCCCCCCAAGCCCCAACCCCTGGAAGACGCGGCTTCTCCTCCGGAGGTCATCTGCATCAGCAGTCGTCATGTCAGCCTGCGCGGGGCTCGGAGACTTCCGTGTTTCGGGGTTTAGGGTTTAGGGTTTAGGGTTGGGGTTTAGGGTTTAGGGTTTAGGGTTTAGGGTTTAGGGTTTAGGGTTTAGGGTTTAGGGTTTAGGGTTTAGGGTTTAGGGTTTAGGGTTTAGGGTTTAGGGTTTAGGGTTTCGGGTTTGGGGTTTAGGGGTTTGGGGTTTAGGGTTTAGGGTTTAGGGTTTAGGGTCTAGGGTTTGCTGTGATAGGGCGTAGATGCTGTGAAGGTTAGGTTTTGGAACAAGCTCGAAAGCGTCGTGAGGTGCGAAGATCAGCTTTGGCCCGATTGTGGAAGGCCATCTAACACTTTTCTCCCACCCCACGCCGTCCAAGGCGGCAAAGCCACCCAAACCTATTCCTTTTAGGGTTTAGGCCTAAACTCAAGCCAACTGCTTTCTTTACATAAAACTTCTTCATTCCGTCACGGCTTTTCACAAAAAACAAGCCTCCACAGAGGGAGAAGGACCACGGGCCCAGGCCAGGGTCAGTCTGGGCAGCCCAGGGGCCCGGCAGAGGGGCCCAGAGTGGCCCAGTTAAGGAGGCGCAGAGGGTCAGCAAGCTCAGTGAGGCTACAGAAGGGTGAAGGGCCTTGCACAGCGGGCCAGGACCGGGGGCCCAGGGGGGCCCAGGGGGCCCAGGGGGGCCCAGGGGGCCCAGGGGGGGGCCAGGGGGGGCCCAGGGGGGCCCAGGGGGCCCAGGGGGGCCCAGCGCCCCAAAACACCCCAAAACACCCAAAATCAGCTTTTTTGAGCACCCGCCCTGCCTGGCCTGGCCTGAGGCCCCCTGGTCCCTGGACACGCTGCGGTGAGGGGTCCGGGTCCTCCTGGCCTGGGGGCCTTGGGGTACCCTCCCCAGAAATGCCAGCGCCATGCAGGTGAAGATGTTGGGGTTTAGGGTATTTACTTTATTAAGGGGACCAGTACTGGTCCCCGCGAGAACCTGCTCCGGTACCGGGCCCATCGTGGGTGCTACCGTCCTCCTGGCTGCAGGAGGCGGGCAAGCGACCTGGGTCGAGCTTCGCCATAGAGGTCGAAGGGCTTAAGCGCCGCCCCCCCTCTGTAGGGGGGCGGCCTAGGCCCTGAGTTTAGGGTTTAGGGTTTAGGGTTTAGGGTTTAGGGTTTAGGGTTTAGGGTTTAGGGTTTAGGGTTTAGGGTTTAGGGTTTAGGGTTTAGGGTTTAGGGTTCAGGGTTTAGCGTTTAGGGTGCGAAGGGTGCAGAAGAGTATGGGCGCCCCAACGCTTAAACACCCAAACCCGAAACCTACTCCCCCAACCTTGCACCCTGAGTATGGGAGCCCAGAATTCCCTAAGTCCACAACTTTAGGGGGCAAGGGGGGCGGGGGGGGGGGGGGTCGGGCACTTTGTGGCGGAAGGGAATCGGGTTGAGCGGACCGTCACTTTTGTGCCCAGGCTCCCACTACGATGCTAGGCCAGGCTTACCCTGCACTTTGGCTGAGGGCTTCGCACGAGGGGATCCTGTCGAGCACGCAGATATACTTCCTAGGCTGCCCAGTAACCAAGGCTGAAAAAGGGTGCCCTTTTTTGCTTAAAGGGGTGCATAAGGGAACCTAAACCCCCCAAAAAGGGAATAAGGGTACTACTGGGCATCCCAGCTTCGTTTCAGAGTTGCCTTTGGCGACCCTGAAGATCACCGCTGTGGACACGCATTCAGGAAGGTGTAAAACACCGAGGACACGCCAAGGCGGAACCCTTAAACTTCAAGCAGAAGCTCAAATCAGCTCGGCTGAGACATCATTGCAAAGACGAACGTCCTCACTTAAGACTTAAGAGAAGCCACTCCCCTTTTTATACCACAAAAGGCCAGAGAGTATCACATTCGCCGTGAAGAAGATGAGACGAACTTCGACTCCTCCGGATGCATCCATCAGGGATGCCAGCTGAAATGCGCAGGCAGCCGACGTCACCGCCGTAAGCCAGATCAGCCCAGTCTTCCCGTAATCGCGCACGCCGGGCAACGGGTGGGAGAGATAGTCGCACAAGTAGAAGATGAGATGCATGATGTTCATAAACATCAGCGGACAGGCAACCACCCAGGCCATGAACTGCGTAATCTTGTCAGCCAGGGTGGGACGCATGGTAAGGCCATGCAGAAACGTATCCAGGAAGAGGGAGGCGATAGGTGACAAAGCCATCAGCCAATACACCACCGGCAAGTCCAATCGCAAGAACGGTTCAACGATCTCGTCACTCAAAGGGCCTCGCACATAGTGCTCAAACGCCTCCTCACTTCCTAGGTTGGTTTAGGGTGTAGGGTTTTAGGGTTTAGGGTTTAGGGCTTAGGGTTGGGGTTTAGGGTTTAGAGTTTAGGTTTAGAGTTTAGGTTTATTAGAGTTTAGGGTTTAGGGTTCAGGGTTTAAGGTTTAGGGTTTAGGGTTCAGGGTTCAGGGTTTAGGGTTTAGGGTTTAGGGTTTAGGTTTAGAGTTTAAGGTTTCGGGTCTAGGGTTTAGGGTTTAGGGATTAGGGTTTAGGGGTTTACGGGTTTAGGGGTTTAGGGGTTGGGGGTCTGGGGTGTAAGCGCTGAATATTCCTGCATCATCCCTGAGCCCAATGGAGGAAACATAACACACTCTCCCAAGGTCTATAAGAAGTGCACAGAAGGACAAACATCCTAAACCCTAAACCCTAAACCCAAAACCCTAAATCCCAAACCCTAAACCCTAAACCCTAAACCCTAAACCCTAAACCCTAAACCCTAAACTTCCCATAACACCTCAGCGTCCGTACCAGTCCCTGATGCCGGCATAGATGAACTCTCGGTCGGACTCCTTGCGGCAGTCGACCTTCGCCAACTCAAAGGTCCTCATTGTTTTCATCTAAGGTGAGGGATGTTTAAGGTTTAGGGTTTAGGGTTTAGGGTTTAGGGTTCAGGGTTTAGGGTTCAGGGTTTAGGGTTTAGGGTTTACGGTTTAGGGTTTAGGGTTTAGGGTTTAGGGTTTAGGGTTTAGGGTTTAGGGTTTAGGGTTTAGGGTTTAGGGCTAGGGCTTCTCGGGTTAGGGTTTAGGGGCTTTTGCGAGCCGCGGGTCCTCATGGCTTCAACCAGATGGCGCTTCTCGCCGCACAGTCGGCGAAGGTGATGCACAAGCAGGAAGGGCACCGGAAGGAAAACGCAGAACACCAGCATTGAGGATGACCCACCTGGAGGTTTAGGGTTTAGGGTTTAGGGCTTCGGGTTTCGGGTTTCGGGTTTAGGGTTTAGGGTTTAGGGTTTAGGGTTTCGGGTTTAGGGTTTAGGGTTTAGGGTTTAGGGCCTCCCAACGCACGAACTCGCACTTCGTCCAGAAGCACCAGAACACTGATGGCCTTGGATGTGCTTCAAAAACTTAGGGTTTAGGGGTTTAGGGTTTAGGGTTTAGGGTTTAGGGTATAGGGTTCAGGGTTTAGGGTTTAGGGTTTAGGGTTTAGGGTTTAGGGGGTTCAGGGTTCAGGGTTCAGGGTTCAGGGTTCAGGGTTCAGGGTTCAGGGTTCAGGGTTCAGGGTTCAGGGTTCAGGGTTCAGGTTCAGGGTTCAGGGTTCGGGTTTAGGGTTGGGTAGGGTTTAGGGTTTAGGGTTTAGGGTTTAGGGTTTAGGGTTTAGGGTTTAGGGTTTAGGGTTTAGGGTTTAGGGTTTAGGGTTTAGGGTTTAGGGTTTAGGGTTTAGGGTTTAGGGTCTAATGACAACGCACACCTGCAAAGGCAACAGTGCTCTAGGCATTGTTTCAAAATCATATGAGAACGGCCACCTATGCATTCTGTGGGGCTCTTTTGCACATCACCAAGCGGCGGGAATCAAGTACAGCAAGCCGGTCTCCACGAAAAGCGGCTTCAACACAATCTTGCCCGAGGGGTTCGCTTTGCGAAATGCCGCAAGCTCGAATATGCACCAAAGCCTTGACAAGTATGGCGGACCTGAATGTGGAGCATCCAAGGAAGCTTCCAACCCTTAACGCCTTTAGCCCTTAAAACCCCCCAAGCCTTCGGAAGCCAGCCTGTCACACGACCATGTGAGGCACACGTAAACCCTAAACCCTAAACCCTAAACCCTAAACCCTAAACCCTAAACCCTAAACCCTAAACCCTAAACCCTAAACCCTAAACCCTAAACCCTAAACCCTAAACCCTAAACCCTAAACTAAGTGAGGGGTCGCTTCCGTCGAGCGACAGACCCCGAACGCTCGGCCGAGGGCCTTACAGCCCGAGCGCCCAAGCGAAAAGAGAAACGGAAAGGTGAGGGTTAAGCCTCACCGTCTGTCCTGGACAGGCCAACGGACATCGGCCTATTTTACGACAACGTCAGTACTCGGCTAAGGGATGGCGGGCACCCAGACCACCTTTAACGTTGCTTAAGTTTTTTCACCCCAAATCGTAACAGGGTTTGCCGGCCCCCCCCCCCCCGGCGGGGGCCCCCTGGTCCCTGGTGGCTGGATTCCTGGACCAGGAGGCTGGCGAGGGGTCCAGGCAGGCTGGTTGCTCAGATTTTCGCGTACCAAGGACCCCCCCCCCCGCGCCAAGGGCCGCAGGCCAAGGGCCCCCGCCGGGTCAAAGGGATCCACCAACAAAGGGCAGGGGGCTAGAGGACGCCCCCTCCAGGCCTCTACGGGCCCTGACGTGCCGAAGGCCCGAAAGGGCCGAGGTTATTTCGAAAGCTTAAACCCCAACACCGCAAAACCCTGCGAAGGCCTTCAAGCAAATAAGGGCCTCTACGGGCCCTAACGTGCCGAAGGCCCGAAAAGGGCCGAGGCTACCCCGAACCCCAGCTTAAACCCTAGCGATTGACATACTCATTGGCGAAAAAAACTAATAGACCTTCAAATGAATAAAGCCTCTACGGCCCCTGACACACCGAAGGTCCGAACAGGGCCCCGAGAGACCCCAAGAGCCACCACAAGGCTTCAAAAGACTTCAAAAGGCCGACCCCAGGATGCCCGTACCCGCAATGAAAAATGCGATTTTTTTGTACTGAAATCGATGGTTTTGGGCACCCCTTCATTTTACCCCGGAAGGGCCAGGAAAGCCCCCAGGAAGCCCCCAAAAGGCCCAAGAGCCACCAAAAGGCTTGAGGCCCTTAAAAGGGGAATCCAGGAGCAGGCACAAAGGGTTTCCCTGACCTTCAAATAAATAAGGGCCTCTACGGGCCCTGACACGCCGAAGGCCCGAAAAGGGCCCCAGGCTACCCCCAACCCCAGCTTAAACCCTAACAGCGCAACTTTAAAAACATCAAAGCAAGCATCAGGGCACAAGAAAATAAATTCCACAAACCCTAAACCCTAATAGAGTATAGTTTGGGTGGCCGGGGTGGGTTGACGGGCAACGCGAGCGCGCGCCCTCCCCTGACACACCCTAAACCCTAAACCCTAAACCCTAAACCCTAAACCCTAAACCCTAAACCCTAAACCCTAAACCTAAACCCTAAACCCTAAACCCTAAACCCTAAACCCTCACCTGCTTGAGCGTGCCCCCTCTACGTAGTAAGTAGAGAGCGGAAAACCGTTTGGCGGCCACCTGGGGGTGGATCTTGAGTTCTTGGGCATCTCGAGGTCTTTTTTGCAGCTTTGCTCTTCTTCGGTGAACTGTCCCGAAAACCTTTCATACACCAAAAAGTCCCCAGGCCCTCCTGTTTTGGGGGGGGGGGGCACGGAAGACAGCTGCACTCTGGTTTAGGGTTTAGGGTTTAGGGTTTAGGGTTTAGGGTTTAGGGTTTAGGGTTTAGGGTTTAGGGTTTAGGGTTTAGGGTTTAGGGTTTAGGGTTTAGGGTTTAGGGTTTAGGGTTTAGGGTTTAGGGTTTAGGGTCCGCCGACCCTGGCGGTGTGTTGAATGGGTGAGGTGAAAACCTCCCTCCCCCAAAACGCGGGGGGGGGTAGGGGGGGTCGGTGCACAATTTTTTCGTGGAGGACCGCACCACCCGCACAGCGTAAACAGGCGGTTCAGCACAGGGGGGTAGGGGCGCCCTCAGCAAAATCAGCGTTTTTCACCCCCCCCCACCCCCCCAACCCCCCCCCCCAACCCCCCCCCCCCAACCCCCCCCCCCAACCCCCCCCCCCCACACCCCCCCCCCCCCCCACCCCACCCCACCCCCCCCCCACCCCCCCCCACCCCCCCCCCACCCCCCCCCCCCCCTACCCCCCCTCCCCCCACCCGCTTTTGGCTTGAGCCCCTACCCCCCCCCAACGTTTCACACAACTCTGCCCAGCAGGCTGGGATGATCTTCGAACTATGCGAGCGTGTTTAGACCTCTCAACTATGCTCCAGCGGGGTCGGCGGCTTGAGCCGGAGGCTCTTAAATTTAGGGTTTAGGGTTTAGGGTTTAGGGTGTAGGGTGTAGGGTGTAGGGTGTAGGGTGTAGGGTGTAGGGTGTAGGGTTTAGGGTTTAGGGTTTAGGGTTTAGGCTTAGGGTTTAGGGTTGTAAATCCCAACCCTCCAACCAAGCAAAACAGCATCCTGCTTCGAACATCCCCGCCCGACAGATTTGGAATTTGTGGACCTGAACCCTAAACCCTAAACCCTAAACCCTACACCCACTGTGGGGCTTGGGCACTCCAGGGATTCTCTGGGGATACTCAGGGGTTGGAGATTTGGGAGATGGGCGAGGAGTAGACGGGGCGAGGAAGGAAGAGGCTTGTTTGACAATCTAACAACGCCACATTGAGGGCGGGGAACGAAAAAAAAAACACACACACACACACACACACACACACACACACACCCACACCCACACCCACGCCCGCACACGCCCGCCCGCCCGCACGCACGCCCGCACACCCTAAACGCCCTAAACCCCTAAACACCCCTAAACGCCCTAAACCCTAAAAACCCCTAAACGCCCTAAACGCCCTAAAAAAGCCCTAAACGCCCTAAAACCTAAACCCTAAACCCTAAACCCTAAAACCTAAACCCTAAACCCTAAACCCTAAACCCTAAACCCTAAACCCTAACCCTAAACCCTGAACCCCTAACCAGCCCAGCGGCTCCACAAAATCCGAAGCTCGGAGGCCGAAGCCAAGAAGCCGCCCAAGCCGTAGATGCCACGCTGCATGAGCCTAACATAAGGGCCTTATGAAGGGTTTAGGGTTTAGGGTTTAGGGTTTGGGGTTTGGGGTTTGGGGTTTGGGGTTTGGGGTTTGGGGTTTGGGGTTTGGGGTTTGGGGTTTCGGGTTTCGGGCTTCGGGCTTCGGGCTTCGGGCTTCGGGTTCAGGGGTAGTAGGGTTTAGGGCTTTCAGAAACTTAGAGGTTTAAGGTTTACGGGTTCGGGGCTTATGGGCTCGGGGTCAGAGACAAAAAGGTCTGGCAAGGCTGCTCACTGTAAGGCCCCCGAGAAGCTGGTTGTCGGCCTGGTTGATGCAGACCACATCTAGAAAGCACATGGAGCGGCCCCGGCGAAGTTGGGGCAGGTAGGGCGAGGCCAGGAGGCCGACGACGGAGCCCAAGAAGCCCCCGAGCCTGGAGGAAGGCCCTCCCCCATGCATGTACCAGCCTGGGAACGCGCCCAAGAGCCTGGGTAGCCCGGTAACCATAAGATATGATGAGGGTACCCTTCCGGGAGTTGGTTACTTTGTAAGGGAACCTTGAAAACAAAAAAACCAAAAAAAAATGGAAAAGGGGCACCACTGGGGGCCACCAAGAAGCTCCAGGGTATTGAAGAGGGTCACGCCAAAGAGCCAGCCGATGAGAAAGCAGTGGAAGCCCGACTGCACCAGCAAGGCCCGGACTTTCCTCATGCTGATCTCAGAACCCTAGCAAGAATTAGAATTCTAGCTGTTTTCCTCACACTGATCTTGGAACCCTAACAAGAATTAGAATTTCTAGCTGCTTCGTAGGAATATTCGGTACCCCAAAAATCAGGAGTTATTTTCCAGGAAAACCCTAAGTTTCTGGGACCCCGGGGTATGCCAGGTGTGGCTGAGAAAGACGTCCAGGTTGGACACGGCGCTGGACCTCTCCCACAAGGAGGCGCGAGCTGCATCGTCTGGCAAGTCTACAGGCGATTGGAGCCTGAGTAGCCCAGTAACCATGTTCTGATAAGGGTTTAGGGTTTAGGGTTTAGGGTTTAGGGTTTAGGGTTTAGGGTTTAGGGTTTAGGGTTTAGGGTTTAGGGTTTAGGGTTTAGGGTTTAGGGTTTAGGGTTTAGGGTTTTGGGTTTTGGGTTTAGGGTTTAGGGTTTAGGGTTTAGGGTTTAGGGTTTAGGGTTTAGGGTTTAGGTTGGCTGCTGTATAAGGGAACCCATACCCAAAAAAAGAAGGGGTAAAGGGTACGACTGGGCCACTAAGGAGCCATAGCCTCCCGAGCCCATGTAGGGAGGAAGACAGTGGAATCCCTCTGAGCAACTCTGAGTCCAGGTGGAAGTGCGAGTGCGACGCCGAGGTCATCGAGGGCATCTCCGACGGCAGGTCCCTGGGCAAGACCGGGAACGCCTGCGTGTGCAGAACGCGCGCTTCGCGGCGAGCCTCGCCTGGCTGCGACTCGCCCGGCTTCGACTCGCCGGCGTCCTCGGCCTCGGAACCCGGGTGCACGGCCACAGCCTGCACTTCGACGTCGGCCACGCAGCCCGAGTCGGCGCAGCATCTCGCCTTTGCCTCCTGGCAACTTGCGGACACGCCCATTGCGACCCGAGAGCTGTGCCTCCCCAGGAAGAGGCGGGTGAAACAAGAATCGTTAGCTAAGCGGCTATGCACAGGCTTTGTCCCTGGCCGCGGCTGCAAGCATAGCGGGACCGTCACAGTGCTTGCGTAGAAAAGCCCTGCCAGCAGTCACAACCCCAAACCCCCAACCTCCACACCAAAAACCCCGACACATGACCCCCCCCCTTGGAAACAGGCACTTAAGCCCTGCAGCCTCTAACCCCGAAGAAGCCTCAAAACCCAAGTCGGGTTTCATCCAAGTGTGGAGGTGGCAAGACCTCTGTCCTCATGAAGCGGCAACATCCCTAGGCATCCCGAAGCCCGAAACCGAATGCACCCTGAACCCTCAACCCTAAACCCCAAACACCCCACACCCCAAACCCTAAACCGTAAACCCTAAGCCCTAATCCGAGCGCACACCAAACTACCATCCCCCAACCGTGCGGCCCCCGACATTGGCATCTCTGGCAGCCGTGGAAACGCGGAGGCCCAGAGTCAGCGCCTTGGAGAGGTGGGGCTTAGGATGTGCGGTGTGGGGTTTAGGGTTTAGGGTTTAGGGTTTAGGGTTTAGGGTTTAGGGTTTAGGGTTTAGGGTTTAGGGTTTAGGGTTTAGGGTTTAGGGTTTAGGGTGGGTAGGGTTTAGGGTGTAGGGTGTAGGGTGTAGGGTTAGGGGGTTTAGGGTTTAGGGTTTTGGGTTTGGGGTGTAGGGTGTAGGATGTAGGGGTGTAGGGTTTAGGGTTTAGGGTTCATGGTTTAGGGTTCAGGGTTCAGGTTTTAGGGTTTAGGGTCTAGGGTTTAGGGTTTAGGGTTTCGGACTGTGGGCCATAGAGTTTAGGGCTCAGGAAGGGGCCAGGGTCTTGGGCTTCGGGTCCAGGGCTTCGGATTTCACAAAAGGCCCCGCCATCCCTTCATCCAAGATGCCAGGAGGAGCCATGCAGGTGCCGCCGGCATGTACTGACATGGAGGGCCTGCAAGCTAGACTGCCAACTCTTGGCTGGCAGAGCCCCGAGATGGGCTGCGGCAAGGGAAGGTTCCTAAACCCTAAACCCTAAACCCTAAACCCGGAAGACCTCAAACCCAAAGCCCCGAAGAGAAAGACCACAACACCCTGAACTCAGTACCCCCAAGCCACTCGAGTTCTAAGCCCTAAAACCTGAACGCCAAGTATACTCCAAGTACTGCCATTCCATTCTGGCCGAACAGTCCCGCTGGCGACAACTTACCGTTTATCCCGACGCTGCCCGAAACCGCAGCAAGGGCCTGTTTGGGCTTCAAGATGTGAGGGGGTTTAGGGTTGAGGGTTTAGGGTTTAGGGTTTAAGGGCTTAAGGGCTTAAGGGCTTAGGGTTTAGGGTTTAGGGTTTAGGGTTTAGGGTTTAGGGTTTAGGGTTTAGGGTTTAGGGTTTAGGGTTTAGGGTTTAGGGTTTAGGGTTTAGGGTTTAGGGTTTAGGGTTTAGGGTTTAGGGTTCAGGGATTCTCGAAACAACGACTTGCGGGCGCTCGCCATTTCTCCGCTGGCTGGTCCCCCTCTAGGGTTGCTGTCTGTTGCCCTGTCAGGCACATTTGGCTGCGGCCCTAAACCCTAAACCTTAAACCCTAAACCCTAAACCCTTAACCCTAAACCTGTGTCCGCAGGGGTACAACGCTGTCAGTGGAAAGGTACGTCAGAGTCGAGCAAAGAATTCCAAGGGCTCTTGCATTCTACATGCGCTGATGGACATGAGAGCAGAGTTCTTGGCGACGGTATAGCTACCCGGAGTCAGACATGCCGAAGTGTGTGGGGGCTAAGCAAACGTTAGGCGTAGCCGTACATCTTACGGGGCATGACCCACAAGTCGCATACCCTCACTGCGACTCCGACGCACAGATGCGGCTTCGAGATCGTCGCCCGTCGCATGTCTGTACGCGTACGGGCCGCTCATGAGCTCCGCATGTCAGCCGTCCTTCAAAGCTTCTGTGGCAGCTGACGACTTGTCAAATGCACCCGGGAGTTCCCACTTAGAACCAAGCAACCTTCGACGTCGAGAGGTATCTGAAGAAAATCATATCATCTACGTATCAAGTCGAAACGATCGTCATCCTCATTATCATGTAGATGGTTCCTGGGCCACGGGGCATCCAGTGCGAACTCAGGGGGGGGCACAGCCCCCCAGAGACCCTCAGCCAAGCAGCGTCCTGACCTCGGCCACTGTGGACTACCACGGCAAGAAGCCCTAAACTCTAACCCCACACCCTCATCCTAAACCCAAAGTCCTGCGCAGCTGTTGGCTCCTTAACCCCTTCTAACCACCTCAACCCTAAACCCTCAAAACCCTAAACCCTAACCCTAAACCCTAAACCCTAAACCCTAAACCCTTCTGGGCTCCTCCCACGGGCTTCGTTGGGTTCATGATGTTGGGTTTTGGGGGCCCCTGGGCTTCCATGTCTCCCAGGGCCGCCGCGACTTCTTTGGCTTGCATCTTCCGGAGGTGCGTGTACCTCCCCACCCCCCCAGAGAGGGGGTTTAGGGTTTAGGGTTTAGGGTTTAGGGTTTAGGGTTTAGGGTTTAGGGTTTAGGGTTTAGGGTTTAGGGTTTAGGGTTTGAGGGTTGAGGGTGGAGGGTCGAGGGTTTAGGATTTAGGGTTTAGGGTTTAGGGTTTAGGGGTACCTCCCCCCCGGGCCCCGACCCCCGTTTCCAGGGCTGCGCGCGCCTGAGGTTTAGGGCTTAGGGTTTAGGGTTTTAGGGTTTTAGGGTTTTAGGGTTTTAGGGTTTTAGGGTTTTAGGGTTGTAGGGTTTTAGGGTTTTAGGGTTTAGGGATGAGGGTTTGTGCGCGTCACTCAAGGCTAAGAGCGACACTACGCAAAGAGATCGACATGAGAACACAACACCTGGTGATGGCTACTGCGTACGGGTTCACGTGCCTCTACATGCTATACTCTCGATTATTTGCTTTCCTTCACCATGAGCTCTGAAGGGGTCGAAGGCCAAGCCCTAGATCCTTAATCCGGAACCCGGTAGGGCTTAGGGCTGAGGGTTTAGGGTTTAGGGTTTAGGGTTGAGGGTTGAGGGTTGAGGGTTGAGGGTTTAGGGTTTAGGGTTCAGCCCTGACCGAGGGCACTTCTGCCCAGTGCCCACGAAGACGACAGGCTGGCCTTCGCCGGCTGAGCATTAAAAGCCCTCAGCCCTAAACCCTAAACCCTAAACCCTAAACCCTAAACCCTGCAGCCTTCCTAAGCCGGGGCAAATCTAGGAACAACAAACGATGCTCACATTTGTTGTCTACTCTGAGGTTTGTACCCCGAGTGGCGCCGTCCAGCAGTGAAGCTATTTGGGCCAATTCCTTTAGTTGACGACGCACACCTCAATGGTTCACCATCTGATCTCCTCTCATGTCCCAGCCCCCACCACTGCCATTCCTTCTGATTCTGGTTCCTCCTCCCAAAGCATCCCTAAACCGTAAACCCTAAACCCTAAACCCTAAACCCTAAACTCTCCCACTGGCAGTCGACGAAGTGCTCAGCCTTTAAGCCTCTTCACAACATCCACGAAGTCCACCAGGAAGCCCATGAGATCAGATTGGGTTTCGGGTTTCGGGTTTAGGGATACTCTGGAAACCCGGTAGCCCGTGGCCCGAAGCAAACCCCCAACACCTTGAACCCCTAAACCCTTGAGTCCCCAGACCCCAACCCCAAAACCCCTGAACACGCAGCCATATGGGTTTAGGGTTTAGGGTTTAGGGTTTAGGGTTTAGGGTTTAGGGTTTAGGGTTTAGGGTTTAGGGTTTAGGCTTTAGGCTTTAGGCTTTAGGGTTTAGGGTTTAGGGTTTAGGGTTTAGGGTTTAGGGTTTAGGGTTTAGGGTTTAGGGTTTAGGGTTTAGGGACCCCACACCCTGAACCCTGCGTCCACCTGTCACGTAGACCATGGACAGGGCGGCACCAACCTCGCATGGGTCGAGGGAGCTGGGGCCCACCCAAAACCCAAAACCCTGAACCCTGAACCCTAAACCCTAAACCCTAAACCCTAAACCCTAAACCCTAAACCCTAAACCCTAAACCCTAAACCCTAAACCCTAAACCCTAAACCCTAAACCCTAAACCCTAAACCAACGTCCAGCGCCTCCGACTTGGGGGATTCCACGTGGAGGGTCCAGGTTCGTTGCATTCGGGCTCTAAGAGAGAGAGATAGAGAGAGAGAGAGAGAGAGAGAGAGAGAGAGAGAGAGAGAGAGAGAGAAGTTAGCCGGGGGGTTTAGAGATAGGGCTCAGGTTGAGGGCTGCGGCCATTGGGGGTTCGGTAGGGTTTGTGGCGGGGGGGGGGGGCCGCGCAATCCCCGAGAGAACCCTCACAGCTGCTCGTTTAGAGGCAGGTTTTCTTGGTAGTTTACATTGTAGGTGTTATGGGAACTCTCATGGGATAACGCTGATCATCATGTATGCGGGTTTCCGAAAATAGGGGTGCCTTCTTGCAGTCCTCA